GCAATGTTTTCACAATCTTTGAGAATTTCGAACGACTTTGATTGGCCTTGTATGCGCTCGTAATGTTTGACATGAACGAAAGCATTTTCAGGGGGGCAAAGACACCAGCGTGGGCCGATGCACACATCGCCATACGCGACCTGCTCTTTCTCAAGTACCTTTTTGCAGTCATCAGGTAGCATTTCTTCCATAAACAAAAGTCCCTCACGTACTGCATCGACGTGTTCGGGAAATTTTCGGGAAGCATTTTGTGTGTCTGCATAGTTGGCCTGGTAGACATTTGGTTTGTAGTAAATGTTGTGGAGTCTGAGATCTGCCCTGCTGATGTCTCTGCCCATGGTAGAATTTGAATATAAGAGTAGTAAAGCGATCGCGTGAGATGTATATGAGCGAACTGATGATTATTTGCTTCTTTTCTGCCTTTGGTTTGAGATACTGCAATCTCCGCTCCCAACGGCTAGTGTGCATTGTTCAGGGGCTAGGCACTGACCATGAGATTGCACGTGACTTGCCGCTGTGAACCGACGCCTACTGCGACGTCGATGCGCAATATTTGGCCAGTAAATGAAAATGAGATGTATGCTTCATATCGAATGACATTGTATTGAGTACAACAAGCAATTGTACGTAGCAAAAATACACGGCGTCGCAACTGTTCTTCACGCTCTTACGTTCCATTATATAACACTGCCGTGCATTCTTCCCTTTTCATCATACAAGCACCTCAAAGCAAGCCACCTGGGTCATTATAACGCCTGAGGCAAGCAACGAGATATACTAAGGCTCGCATTGAACCTGATGGTATCATGTTAGCGAAGTGGCGTTCATTGCAGCTTTAGCTGCATATTACAATCAATGCCTTTCAATTCAGTATCTTCGGTATGTTATACCTGATAAACGAATGTGCTAGATAGACGACTCTTCAATTCAACCCCACCGTCGAATCCACGCGTGCTGTTACCGACGCCCTAGCAAAGATACACTGCAGATTGCTTCTCGCCTCATACCTACTAAGCTGTCACCCTCAAGCGCTAATCCAAAGACAGGCTGTAACACAGAGCTTTTGGTAGTACCTATTATGGCCCCCCGCGCGTAGCTTGTTTAAGCGCTCCGCTTTGGAGTCGCACACATGAAATGGCATTTATTAGAACTCACAAGATCTTCATGGACCCTTCTTAGGCTAGAAGAGATGATCTTGGCGCCCTCTACTTGAAGACGTGACCCATTGACAACCCCTCCGTTGTTATTCTGACCTACGACGAGAACCACATTGACATGCTCAGTGTAAAGTAGGTTGCTTAGTGGTTAGGTATGTGATTGGCTCATCCAACATGGAGGGTGATATAGTACCGAACTTTGAGGAGGGGCACGTGGCTGATCAGGTTGCAGTGTGATGCAGTATGTAGCTGTGCCGTGTCGCTCATGTACGGAGCTTGAGGGTGGATTTGTAATTATTTGGATGTGATTCACTATTAACAGGTTTGTAGTCATGCAAAGGGAAAACACATTAGTACAGTACTAAGACAAAAGTTTCCCCTCGCTAACCGAAATCGGCCCATCACCAAAGGTTGACGGCTGTGCTTCCGCCACCGATATCTCCACCAAAACTGCATGATTTTTAAATCTAATAAATGTAATTGATTGCTATATACTAGTATTTAGTTTAATAACCTCGTGCGGCTCTACAGGCAGTAAGGCGTCGCGGCATTAATACAACTAGAGTCTGGATAAGGCTGCTAGGTATCCTACGCCAGCACTCTTTTAGAGCCCTACAGAAGCCATCCTACTATTCCTAAGTTTAGCTGTAATTATAGTATTCTAGATAGAATCAATACATGTTTCGTTTAAGGGTCCACTAGAGGTGCTTAATAGGGTTAAGATCTAGTAAATAAGCCGGCCAGTTGAGCGGCGTGATGTGGTGTTAGGTAAGAAAATTTTAGACTATACTAGCGGTGTGTGTGCGCGCGTTATCATGCATAAAAAGCTGCGAGGGCCGCCAGTGAGGTAGAAGACCTTATTCAAGAGTCTGGATGTAACTTTGGGCGCTGTAGCCACCGTAGGGAGCATTAGAATCCCTATCTATAATTACTAGAGGACTGCGTCGCCCTCAGCCACGTTCATCCACCCATATAGCCCCCTACACCATCTGCCATGGGCCCTAGCTGGCCTGAGCCTCTATAAGCATTCTGCGCTTCTATTTCTCTTCTAGATACCGAAAACACTACTCCTGTGTAGCGCCAGATCTCTTTTAAACTAAGCATTTATCTAAGAACTTAACTATGCGCCGATACTAAGGAAAACTACGGTACTGACATGCGAATCTATAGCGCTAACGAGCATGCTAAGGGGTCAGCTTAGGTCGTTTTTTACACCAGTATTTAGATAAGTTTCGTTTTTTAAGAACCTAGTATAATGTTTTATAGCTAGGGGCCTTCGAAGAGGTCCCATCTGGGTGTACGAAGACGGCTATCTTAGCTAGCTCTTTATATAGAATCTTAGGCGAGGTGCGTGCTGCGCGATAGATAATCTTCTTCTAGTAACGCGATAGTATTTCTGGCCGGCCGGAGCGAGGTTTATCACATACAGATCCAGTCTAGTGGAGCTTATTATATAGCTAACGGATAGTAGATGGATCCTGGTTGAACCGCGCTGCTACATCTTTGTAGCTTGCGCCCTCGTCTAACATCCCGGCAGCGACATTACGTTCATCAACTGTTATATTTGGGCGACGGCGCACATTTTGAGATAGTTCACGGCCGAATTGGCGTGGTATAGCGTTGGTTGTGGGCATTCAAAGATATTGGATTGATTGGTGTCGGTGGGGCAGAGGAGCTAACCGAGGTGAAACTTAAGTCTAGTAGCTGTACTAATCAACTGTTTGACCTCATTGGCTGTAAGTACACTCTGCTCTTGGTCCCAATGCTGACTGTGTAATATTAGACAGGGCTAGTGAAAATACGCTTTAAATCCGAGGAAATTATAGCTAACTTTCAAAGAAAATCCTTTGTCTATTCTTTGTTCTTGTAGGATAACCGAACTAACAATCATTAAGACTGTCCATTTTTCCCCTCGACATTCACGTTATTCTTCGCCTTATTTCCCGGCTTACGAATGAAGAGCTATGGAAACCAGCAAATTGCTACGGCGATTTGAGTGCAACACACGCACTGTCTCCCATGCATAGATAGAAGCCTCCTAGAAACCCAATTTTATACTCACGAGTCGTGACTACCCAATGTTTGTTATTGCACTGCTCATGTTAAGGTAAATGTGGCGGGATCTTGCATGCATAAGTACGGACCGATGTGGGACAATGCATTCGGTTGGGGCGGGGTAGTAATGAGCTATCACGTTGGCGACTTTGATGATCGGCCATAGCAGAATAGTTTATAGGGCGGAGCAGTCAACTGGACGAGTAACAACTAGCAGATCTTCTTCTCTATGATCCCGGCTGTTTACATGCCAAGAGCCAGTCATGTGACATCCTTTATCTCTCAATCTTGACGCTTGCACCTGGAATGTCTCCTCGAGCAGACACTTCACAATGGCCGCCCGCAATCAATCATGGCTTCATCTGCTATTGGTATTATGCTCAATTCTAGCAAGTGTCACAGCAAAAACGTCGAAGCTGAGATACATTATGTATCTGACTGGGTAAACTATGCCCAGAGAGATTCCGTGTCTCAACACAGGTAACTGACTGCTTTCAGGCAGCACAATGTCGTGCCTGAGCCGCCTTTAGTCGAGAATATAACCGAAGTGGCTATTGCTTTCATGCGATCTGGCACTTTCAACAACCCTACGCAAAGCGAATGGCCGCTCTTCACTACTATAGATGAGGTCAGACCCAAGTTCGCCCAGGGAACCATTATTCAAGTTGCCATTGGCGGATGGGGCGACACGAACGGCTTCTCAACCGCAGCAAAGACGGACGAAAGCCGTAAGCTCTTTGCAAAAAATGTTCGGGCCATGCTAGATGCGACAGGTGCAGATGGTACGAGAAGCCCGGCAATTGAAGAGAGAGCATTCACTAACTATACGCAGGCATCGATGTAGACTGGGAGTACGCAGGCGGAAACAGTGAAGACTACAAGCAACCCGGCCACCTCAACAGCGACAAAGCATGGGAAATCGATGCCTATCCCAAACTCCTTGCCGAGATCCGCGCTGCCGTTGGCCCCAGCAAAACCATCTCAGCAGCCGTTCCCGGTCTCCCACGTGATATGCTCGCCTTCACAGCCTCCACCATCCCCAGCATCATAGCCTCAGTCGACCACCTAAACATCATGATGTATGATTTGTTTAATCGCCGCGACAACGTGACCAAACACCATACTGGCCTTCAACTCTCCCTCGAAGCCCTAGACGCATATCTCGCCGCCGGCGTGCCACCGGAAAAAGCAAATCTAGGACTAGCTTTCTATATCAAGTGGTACAAAACAGCCGCAAACTCTACTTGCAACACACATCCGATAGGATGCGCGACGGAACTCATGGAAAACCCAGTCACCGGCGCTGATTTGGGTAAAGCTGGTGCGTTTTCCTGGCACGATGCAGTACCTGAAGACTTATCTGCATCGTTTAACCGTGCGATGGAAAAGGGTGTGTATGATGAGGTAGGTGGTGGTCACTACTACTGGGATGCGGAGGAGAGACTATTTTGGTCTTGGGATACGCCTGGTGCTATTAAGCGCAAGATGCAGATCATCATGACGGAAAAAGGACTGGGAGGCGTGTTTGCGTGGGGATTGGGTGAAGACGCACCGAAATTTGAGCATTTGAGGGCGAGCAACGAGATGGTGGCTGCTCTGAATGAGAAACGTGGAGAACAAAATGCGAGAAGTCCTGAGAATAGAAACGAGCTATAGTAACAAACGTGCTGGGCACAAAGTATGCACGGAGAGGCAATAGTTAGATGAGAGAGCAAGGGCAGTGATACTGTCAATGATAAATTGTGGTTTTATAAACAACATTACAAGAATATTTACAGAGAACATAGGGTACTGTTCTACAGGAAAGGTGGGCTAATCAGCTCTATATGCCGCGCGTAACATGCTAGCTTAGTTCTGTCCCTGCTTGGCCTTGAGCCATGCGACGAACTCCTTGATGGTGAACTCCTTGGGGAGAACAGCGTCAGAGCCAGCACCAGCACCAGATCCAGCACCAGGAGCAGGAGCGGCAGAAGGAGCGGCAGAAGGAGTAGGAGAGGCAGGGATCACGGAAGTGGAGAAAGAAGACGGTGCAGCGCTGGGAGAAGCAACAGGAGCCTGTCCACCAGCCTGGTTCTCCGGCTTAGTAGCAGCAGGAGAGGGAGTAGGAGTAGGAGAAGGTGCAGCAGAAGAGGGCTTAGCAGCAGGAGTGTTAGGTGCAGCAGCACTTCCATCACCGATCTTGGTAGTCAGCTCTCCGTCCTCGATGTACACGCCGCTAAAGAACCAATCCTCGGCACCAGCAGCGTCATTGGCGCCCGGCAGCCTCAGGATACCGACGTGGAAGTCGGCGCCGTTGGACTGCGTGCTGGCGGTGAAGGGACCGGCAGTCTTCTTCAGCTCATCGCTGCCGGTGGAGTGCCAGAAGGTGACAGAGCCGCCGGAAAAGTCAATCTCGTAGGCGACGTTGTGCCACTCGTCGGCCTTGAGTTCGACATCCCATTTTGAGACGCCGCCGACGTGCCACTGGAGCTTGGTGTTTGCGGATCCCGAGGCGCCGTACTTGAGCTCGGTGAAGTGGGACTCGAAGAAGGCGATTTGGTGCTCGTTGGTGGCCGTGGGCTTGTTCTCGGTCGAGGTCTTGATGGAGAAGTGGTAGAACTTCTTGCCCTGGTTGATGGCCGCCTTGGTCTGGGGGATGAGCTCAGTGCGCAGCATGGTCTGGCCATTCCACTTTGCCGTCTCGTCGATGGTGATCTTGGCACCTTGCTTGGAAGCCTTGTCGGCGGGGTTCTTGAACGAAGCATCGAGGTTGACGTAGTCGGTCACGGGGCCGGAACCGTGGATGTAGTATTGGTAGGAACCGACGGGGTTGGCGAAGGACCATTTGGACAGATCGGCACTGGAGGTCATGTCGTTGAAGCGACCGTCCCAGACGATTTCTAGTGTCACCGAATTAGCACACGGGCTCCGAGTTTCTCATCTTTTTGTTGGCCTTACCAGCTGAGACAGCGCTGAGCAGCGCGCTCATGAGAGTAGCCTTTCCAAACATCTTGAGTATGTTGTTTAATCAAAAGTAAACAGAGACCAGCTGTAAGTGAGTGTGGAGAGAATGTTAAGTGAGTGTCTACTTGGGACGAAACGAAGGAATGAACGAATGAATGAATGGCCTCAGTGAGCAATGGAAACAAGACAATATAACGCGAGGCACTCCAGTGTCATATAAGCAGTACCTCGACTCAGTTCAAGCTGAGGCTTAGGCTTAGCCTACCGTCTCGGCACAACAAAGTGAACCTCAGAGTGGAATCGAAACGGCGGCATGGCTACATGCAGTATCGCGCGCGCTATAGCTACTCGCATGAACAGCTTTGACAGGCCGACCGATGACATGACAGCTGTTTGGTGGTGCAAACGCCGGTATGAAACGTTCGCGCTGGATGCACTAAACCGGAATCAGCGGAGACGGGATCCATAGCCGGCTTATCGGGGTATAGCGTGGGCGGGTCGATTATGGGAAGGATCTATGAAACGCTCCCTGCTCATAGCAAATTGTTTCATGGTGATTAGCGAGCTTTATAGAAATTGTATATGCACTGAGGCGGAGATTACCTTTTGGTTTTTCTTGCTTCTGCGCGGTGTTGAGCCTCATTGAACTAATCAGTTTTCGCAGAATTCAATAGTCTTGATGCCCGAAAAAGGCGTCAAGGTGGTATACATAGATTCTTTTAAGTTTAAAAGGAAGATCATGGTGAGATGAACGAGGGAAGTAGGTGCCGTCGCGTCTGGTGCCAAAGTGAATCAAGGCTAGCATGATGACAACGGGCCGGCGTTATTAGCCGGCAAGTTCCTATTCTTCCATCTTCTTGTTCTGCTGACGCTTTGCACTTGTTTCAATAGTCTTAGTGTTTCTTCGACATGTTAATTCTCCGACCTTGGCTGCACATCTGGGTCCCGACTGCATGGTGGTAGAGCGGATACCACATCCACGGATCGGGACTCTAACTCATTTCAGCCACCGCAAGTATCCAGCTCATTCTACCGCAATTCATTGGCTATGATTGCGGTAGTGATTTTGCATTTTTGGTATGCTATTATTGCCTAAAGTATCGTTGTGCAGCAGCTGTACGGCATCCTCGCAAGTATCCAGGGAACCGCAAGTGCTCTCTTTGAGCGCTATCAAGGGCGATGCGAGTAGTTGTTCCGGATTTTCTACCGTTGGATACAATCGTCGGTGCTAAGCACTTGTGTGTCAATGCCGCTGGCAATGCCAGCAACATGATACAGACTAGAAACAGGAAAAAAGTAATCTAACAGTATACCAGAGCGTCTCATACGTAGCCCTATTCTTGAGCTATGCATCTCATGGATTCATAAGGCCTACACCTATTCCGTCGATCCACACTTAAGATGAACTGCCTTAGAACTATCTACGCACATGTGGTTTTGACTAAGCATATTAGCACATTGTCAACATCACTACTGCCTCCTGATACCTTCTGGATGTTCTATAATCAAAGTCGCAACTTTTCTACAGCCGCTAGATAGCTGCAGTTAGGAATTCAGTAGGTCAGATCACCGTGTTAGTAATGTAGAACAAGTCTTGCTCTTGGTCCTCTTATCTAGAATCTAGGTGGAGAGAAAATAACGAATAGTCCGCTCGAGATTGGTCGTCTCATGGCACAAACTGTCGTGAAAGCGCAAAAAAGCTCGCTAACAAGTCCATTACTACTCACGAGATGTTTTGTTCCAACCTGTTGGTATTGATGTCAGGCCATGTGGAGAGATGATAGATTGATGGAAGCTAGAGCCATTTGGGAAGAATAGCTTAGACAGAGCCGATGGAAGTATATCCTCATCAGCCTATAGGAGATTTTTGCATCAATAGGATTAGGTAAGTAGTACTAGGGTTCTGATTCTAAGAACGATCAACAAGCGAATAAAATGCGGCTGAATGCAAGCGACAAGCCTTAATGTTCATGTATAAAGTGTTACTGGTTGTGGTTGTGATCATTGGCGGGTGGCGCACTTTCATCGGTGTCTTTAATTCCGTCTCTATTCGCCCATTAATGTTTCGCAAACATGTTCGGTATGAATATGGCATAAGTATGAGTGCGATCGTATACTTAGCGGGACGGCCGATGCCGCTATATCGTCTATGATGGACCCGTGCACGGACACATGACTGTTGTTCAACGTCAGCGAAGTATCATACTCCATATTCGCTCATGTGTTTATTTGGTAACTTTACAGCCCGCGGTCGTTGTGTATTACGTGTGTATACCTGATGGCATCAATACATTCGAGTCCTTGCTGGATAATATGATCTTCGATCGTTGCCGCCGGATGCGCGCTAGGAACAACAAGCGTCGAAGGACAAGACCCACATGGTAAGGCCAGGTGCCTGGAGAAACTGCGCTGTCTTGCCAAACACTCCGAGCTACAGCAACGGGTGTCCCGCATTACCTCAATACCAGCGACATTTAGCACGTTATTCGGTTGGGCAAAGTGCCTGCTCAAGACGAGGACCAGCCGCCATATGCAGTGTTGAACACGCACCATGGCCACGCCTGCACGCGACCCCGTACTTCCAAAACAGTCGAAAAATGATGTACCACCACTCCATCGCATAGGCATGCTGGAACTTTTGCACAAAGATACTCGCCCTACCTTTGTAATTGACACGAGACCAGAGAACGCCGACTGTCTGAATCCATATGTATTGGATTATTGGAATCCGGCCATGACCACTGCAGATCCTGAAGGCCTGTTGCGACACCTAGGCCGCAAAAGCATTGGGAAAAACACCCATGAGGAAGAATACCTGCCATTTACTCCATTCCAAAAATGGTGCCAGGAGCAAGACGCGCCAAAGGTGTCGTTTCCGTACCTTGGGTTCGACTGGACAAAGGTTCAGGTCGCTAATCGTTGGAACGTCATCAGCGGTGTCTGCGTTAGTATGCGCGCGAACAGAAGTAACTCCAACAGAAAGGCTCCCACAAAAGAGATTTATAACGCAAAGCCATCGCGTTTTGACTGGACAGATGAGGAAATATCTCCAGACCGACTGTCTCCTCATGCGGCATGGGCACGCAGTATCGATTGGTCCTCTACCCCTCTGGGCCCAATGCGCTCCTGGTCGTCTGAACTGCGCAGCTTTTGCAACTTGGTCATGATGGACCCGCAACCCGCCGTGATATTCTATGGGCCAGATCTCATCATGATATACAACGAAGCTGAGATTGGCCTTCTAGGAGGCTTCCATCCATGTATGGGAGAAAGTGCGCGTGTTGCACTTGCCTCAGTCTGGGGTGAATACTTTGAACCAATCATCAAAAAGAACCTTGCCGGAGAGACCGTTCAGAAAACCAACACTGCGATCCACATGGTACGCAATGGATACATGGAAGAAACGTACTTTTCGTTGAAGTTCATCCCAATATTGGACTCCACAGGTACTACCGTTGGCCATTACGAACCTTTGGTGGAAACAGTACGTTAAACCCCCTGTTCTTGCACTTTATAGATGTTTTGTGCTTTTTTGGTCTCCCTAGGGTTCTTGAAGAATGATTTTTTCCCTAAACTCATCCGAGACCACCACTTTAGATTCACACGACTGTGATCGAGAAGTTAGGCTTTGTCCCAAACTCTTTGGACGGAAGCGAACATATATGGTCATTTCATTTACCCTCTTACAAGCCTGCTAATGCCCACATAGACTGAAGAAGTGGTTGCGCAAAGACGCTCACGTACACTGCTTGAGCTGAGTGAAGAGATTCCAACCGCACGAAACTCCGATGCCTACTGGAATGTTGCTACCGAAGTCTTATCACGGAACGACAAGGACATGCCCTTCGTTCTTCTTTACTCTGCCGAGGCTGACACCAGCGGCTCTGCATCAAGTAGGACTCGATTTTCCGACAATAATCAACAGCATTGCAAACTTCGAGGCTCCTTTGGACTCCCCAAAGGATCACCAGCCGGTCCAGAGCACTTGGATTTTCAGCAGGACCATGGATTCACACCATATTTCCGACAGGCTCTTACAGCTCGAAAACCAATCATTGTACACTTTGACCAAGATCCAGTCGCTGCAGAACTTGTTCATGGTGTTGAATGGCAGGGGTTTGGAGATCCTTGCAAAGCAGCGGCTATCTGTCCCTTGAACCCAACTTCTTCGCGAGATAACATACTTGGGTTTCTAGTTATGGGGCTGAATCCGCGTAGACCCTTCAATGACACCTGTTATCAGTTTATTTTGGTTGCTAGCCGCTTACTTTCCACATCTCTCACATCAATCTTACTTCATGAAGAGGACATTGGGCGTCGGGAACAAACGATAGCCACCGCCGAAGCGATGAAGTATCAGCTCAGACAGCAACTGACGCAATCCCAGCTGGAGTCGGAGCGTAATTTGTCAAAGTTTAGGCGGTTTGCAGAGCGTGCTGACATTGGTATTTTTCTCGTCGATATGGATGGAGTTTATTCGTATAGAAATGAGGCCTGGTTTGAGATGTTGAGTCCAAAGAATCGCGATATCAGTCTTGAAGAAGCGTGGGACGAGATAGTAGATGACGACTTTATTGATATAGGGCATGCTAAGTTCAAGCAACTCATAGAGACTAAAGAGCACCAGTAAGATGCCCGTTTCCTGTGTTAACATCTAGCTCATATCGATTAGGTCTTTCGAACTGCGTCTCAAGAAGACATGGAATGCACCAAGTCAGAGTCTAGATGATACAATGTCCGAAAAACAGCCTGTGTGGGTCCTGACATCAATTTTTCCTGAGCTTAGCGACGACGGCGCAGTGATTGAGTTGATTGGTTGTTGTACGGATATCAGGTATTGGCCTTCCTGGTGCGGTTTCTACAAGGGTGCTTACAACTGCTAGTCAACAGAAGTGGAGTGAGAAGCTCCAAGCCACTCAAGCAGAGAGAGCTCAAGAGTCTAAGCGGTACTTCTGCACTCGCCTAACAATAGTTCTATTCTGACTGAATGTTTACAGGAGCTTGGAGAACTTCATTGACACTACTTCGTAAGTCTAAAAGGTGCGGCTACCTTATAGAAATGTGTACCATCTGACTTCAACCTAGACATGAGATGCGCAACCCTCTTTCTGCAATTGTTCAATGCGCCGACGTACGTAGGGATGTTACGCGAAGAGGGCTAAGATGCTGATTGCAACGCGTAGAGCATCATATCCACTCATAGGTCTTTTGGCGAGTCACTGGATTACCAAAAAGTCTATCGAAACATCTTGGAAACTACCATTGACGCCGCCGAAACCATCGTTCAATGCTCAAAGCATATGAAAACCATTGTTGATGGTATGTACCAGTCTGAGATATAATATCCTGAACCTGCCAATGTGACTAACTCTTCTAGATGTGCTCACCATATCCAAACTCGATTCTGGCTTGTTCGTGATGACACCAGTTGATGTGCAGCTCGAGTCTATTGCTAGAGACGCAGTCAAGATGTTTGAGGGTGAAGCAAAGTCAGCCGGCGTGGATTTGAAATTTCTGGTAGAAGATTCTTGCAAGAAGGGCAATGTTGAAATGGTTTCACTCGATCCAACACGAGTCTTGCAGATACTTATTGTAAGTTGTTGCCAAGCAATAGACAAGCACTTACTAACTGTGAAGAATCTCATTACCAATGCAATAAAATTCACGCGATTGGAACCTATTCGGAAAATAAGCGTCAGTCTAGGTATAACTTTCGAACGTCCGACCCATAGTGAACACGGCAAAGTGCTGTTTTCGCGTACGTCGGAAGCTTCAGAGGCGCAGACACTGCAGGCAGATTGGGAGAAAGGTGATATTGTAGGTTTCTTCGTATTGTAGGTTGATTTCTTTGCTAACACAAAAAGGTTTACATTATATTCTCTGTGCAAGATACTGGCCGTGGGCTAAGTGACGAAGAACACCAACTCCTCTTCACCCGCTTCTCTCAAGCATCGCCACGCACACATATCGACTATGGTAAGCCCTGACCTTGACGACTAGCTTCCCTCCCACTAACATATCCCAGGTGGGTCTGGTCTTGGCCTTTTCATCTCACGACGACTATCCGAAACGCACGGCGGCGCAATCGGCTTCGCCTCTAAACCAAGTGTTGGCAGCACATTCTCCTTCTATGTGAAGAGCCGCAAGAGTGGTATTCGCGCCAATTACAGCCGAAGCGAAAGCAACGCTGCAGTCAGCGTGAGCATACGCGCACAAGAAACATTGCTATCCAGCCGAAGTCGCAACGAAGCCACCGAAAATAACGATTCATGCAGTACCAGGGCCGTACCAACAGACATACCGAACAAAGACCTTCATGTCCTGATTGTCGAAGATAACCTTGTCAATCAACGCGTCCTCGCCAAACAGCTTCGCAACACTGGTATGCACGTTACAGTTGCAAATCACGGTGGAGAAGCCATTGAGCACCTCCATACAACCAACTACTGCGTCTTCGACGGGTCTGGCAAGCCTCTCTCACTCATCCTGATGGACTGGGAAATGCCCGTCATGGACGGTCTGACCTGCGTTCGCAACATTCGCGACCTGCAGAGCAAAGGCGTCGTAACGGCCCATGTACCGGTCATTGCGGTGACGGCGAATGTGCGGAGTGAGCAGGTTGAGGTGGCATTGAAAGCGGGTATGGACGATGTTATTAGCAAGCCGTTTAGGATACCAGAGCTCTGTGCTTGTATACAGAAGACGCTTAGGGCTACGGCGGGTGCATAGATTTCTTTTGTTTAGATTCGTAGCGTTGCATTGGAGAAAAGCAGAATTATAGACTAACTATTTCCTTTTGCATCTCCCTTTTTCCTTCCCAACTTGTCACCCACGCTATATCTGAAAGAGAGCATGCGCAAAGTCATTCACTATGACAGTAGATTCAATCACTCAGGCGCAAATATTTTGCATTTCTCAAGATCGTGGCATGCCAGTACACAGAAAGCTTGCAGACACAAAAAGAGGAAAATAAAGAAAATGAAGCGTGCACGTATGGCACTAAACCGTTTCTTTGCGAAGGAAACCCACATTAACTACAATATGTATCCTTGAAAAACTTCTAGTTTTCTGTTTCCAAATATAAAAAAAGACAAAAACATACAACAGCGGGGATTCGCCAGTGGTCACCCACCTGACTACTAGTCCGCCGGTCAAAGACTTAACGTGTGGAGAACGAACGGGATCCAGTGCTGTAATTTGCCGATGGTCGTATGTGAAAGAATTGCGTCGGTGGATAGTACATGTTATGCGTTGATACGTACCTCAGCAAGCTGATGTTGGACTTGATGGGTTTTTGGTGTTGTGCTATCGGATAATAATGTGCGCGTTTTTGTGTGCAGTTCAAGGAATGCGATGGTAAGTTTATTGTTACGAAAACGGAATGGTATGATGTCAGGGAGTTTTTTTTATCGCTTTAGTTTCACTTTCAGATGGTGGGTGGTGAGAGATGTGTGTCTATACTTTCTCCATCCTCTCGACGTTATGATCTATCCAAAACGGCAATCCTCGTATTATCGTGATAGATTATAACCCAGGTATCAAACTCCATCCTCGTAAAATCCTAAAAAATAAGCTCGGCTTTCAATACCGAACAATCACGTTTCCATGTCCCCTCCCCCATGACACATCCTAGATTGTCGTGTGTTCTGAAACGCGGATTCGTGACGACCAAGACCCCAAATCACGTCACTTGTCGTCATGTTCACGCATGTTTGACCGCAAGCAAAAACCTTGCTTTGACTTCCTTGTCTTCCCAATAGAACAAAAAACAAGGAACTATGTGCGCTGCTTATTTTTCTTGTCTCGCGTGCAGAAAAAAATGCACTAGGCTATCCCATGTTTTTGCACGGCAGATGTGACCTTGGACCGGCCCTGTTTGTAAGTGTTGAGAGAAAGAGAAAGTGTTTGGCAAAAAAAACCCTGCATTGCACCCACACACCCTCATGGATTAAAAATGGCAATGAGGACGTGAGCACATGTCTAGGTTTATGTAAACATGGTGAACGCTGCTTTCGGCCAGATTTCGTGGCCGGAATTTACTCTTCTGAGGGAAAAGCTTTACCGTACGTACAGGTACATACGCACGAGGGAACTCACGCGACGTGCGGTTCACGGCGGCGATTTTTGTCATCGGATGGCTTCCGCACCCCCCGCTCAAATCGCGAGGAGTGCTTATCAAAGCGGCGAGCTGAAAATAAGGGTGGATGGAGGCAAGGGTCTAGGTCTGGTCTCTCGCGTGCGAGTTGTGTGGCGGTGGTCCCATGTTCGCTTGCACCTGGGGAGAAGGGAGAGCCCTGTGGCGTTGCTAGTCACGTTTGTTAGTCGACTCAAGTCGGACAACCCGCCCGTCCGCTTGTTACTCTAGGATGAAGGCTGTTAGGCTAGGAGAAGACTCCGGTTTGCGCAGGGTCATTGCTGGCTATTCTTTCCCTCGGTTCAAGCCACTAAACTAGGCCACGCCCCACGCATCATGTCATGGTCTGCATTTTCAGGGTTGCAGGAGGAGGGGAAGGCGGGCTCGGTGATGGCGTGCATTTAGTTAGTGTTGCTTGGGTTCGCCCCAGGGGCCTGGACTGGGACGCCTTGGTACGCGCACAATTAGCAATAGTCCCAGCCTTTGTCCGCCACAGCGTCATTTGATCGTTACCTCTGCAATGCAATCATGGATGCATCCACATGGCATGGTATCATGACTGCCTCGCTGTTGCGAACTAAGATATTGTCGCTTGTGGCTTCTCAAGCCATTTCCAGTATGTGTGCGTCGCGCGGCTGGCGTTGCAGGAGATGGGCGCACCTTTGCCTCGGCGTCACAAGCTATCGAGCCTTCGCGTTTCCCCGTTCGAGAGCTGAGCTGTCTGTAGCAGTGCCGACCGATTGCTGCATTCACCCCCGTTGCCGCAAATCTTGGCGCCTCGGATTCTCTTGCACTGTCTGTTCATCGGAGGTTTGATTGTGAGGGGTTTCGGGGGGTGTGATACGCTTGGCCGATATGTACGCGGTTGTACTTGGACGGCATGCGGGGTACGTCTCTATCGCATTCGCATCGAAATATGCTGGTTACGAGAATCCCGGATCTGGTGCGCATGTTCGATTGGTATACTTTTTATTCAGCATTCAAGCAACTGTCTCCGCTGTCAAAAGTGTCCCTATCTTGAACTCTCCGCAGAGGTATCTGAATGTACTGGTGGTGGTGATGGCGGCCAGCCAGCTGTACCTGGAAAGAAAACGAGCTATTCACATTAGCAAAACAACAGACATGTAGTAGGAATTTGAAATCAATTTTGTGAGCATTGTGTAGCTACATGCCAAAATGACGGTGGGCGTCACCATAACTAGCGGCCCATGCGCTATTGCATCCTATGTTAGTAGATATAAGGATGCAGTCCAAACCTTACTTACACCGCAACCTTAATCTGTTTCGATGTGAAATGCAGGGACTCTTAGTGATTTCAAGGCATCCAGAAGCAGATTTATAGTTTATGTCTATCAGAAAGTGTAAAATTACGAAGGGGAGTCCTAACTGAACAACACATCATGCATACACTAAGGTACTCATTTCACGAAGTTATGCACTTGTCGATGCAAAAGGCCTTAATTAAATGAGAACAGTCGATTGAGTTTTACAATGCATGTATGCGGGAATGGGCATTGATCGAGCTGTTCAACGGTTGTTCTGGCGGCCGTTGGTATGCGAGGATAGCGTGATACCATAGAGCTGTACTGGGAACAAAGCATTCAATAGCTTGCTCGCTACAGGCAAATTATCAGCGCAGAAGATGTTCACGTCTGATAATTTACACAAGTGCATGTTGCATGCCTCAACATTTCCTACACTTCCCTCTACTATGCTGCAATGTATAGACAGTGATGCAAATATGGCTGAACATCAATTTCCTTTCCTTTGAGAATATCAAAAGTTCTTTGCATGAGAAAACTTGATTCCTGGTCATCATATGTGCCAATATACCGCTTTCATGATCACAACTTCTGTCTCCACTAACGGGCCTTGATTGCAACTCAAGTAATCGATAGTCCTTTGGCACATGCAGTTATCCAAATCACTCACAGAGTTTTTAGTTTCCTTCAAGCCCATTGCAGGATACAGTTGATAGCTCCGGGTCTAGTTGAGGTAGCCAAAGCCCACACTGCCCACACTCGATCTATTACTTTTTTGCCTCAAGCATACGATGGACATAGACATCTAGACATGGCATTCTCATTTCCTGTTCTTTCTGAAAATTTAAACCCTGACGCCAAAAGTATAACTCAGCCTTGGTCCGAGTTTCCTTGAGACAGAGGTGCCTCCGCGGAGCTTTTATGTTCTTCAGCCGCTCTAGAAACATCAACTGCAGGAACGATTTCGGACAATAAACTATGTGTCTTACATTAGCTTCCTCATAAAAAGCTACATCTCGTAGATTTTTTAGCTTACACTAATGCAGGGCAGCATATCTCCCCGCATGACCGGAAACTTTTGTAGGTAGTCAGGACTAAAACCATTCCCTCCTGCTCACCTATAGCCGTTCATGCTTGTATGACGCAGTCAACTCGAGATAAAGTGGCAGTACTGTACTACTTGACTTATTCTAGTAGCAATTAGACAGCTTCAACGACCGTCTAAAGCCTATATTCGCTAGCATATACAGATATATTTATCCACTCCCTCCCACCACTCCTGCTGTATTCAAGATATGTTTGACAGCCCAATTTCTATAGGATTTCCCTGAGAAACCTTTCTACTATCCTCCATAGTTTTGTCTAAATCAACGAAACCAGATAGCACATCGGCATCGTCAGTGCCGGACGAAAATGGCAATGCTAACGAGCTAGGACAGCATGAAGTATTCTGTCGTCGTGCTTTATCTCAAATTCAACTACACTGGTGATGAGCAACCGTCAGTTATTCTCTCTGCAAAGACTCCTCAAGATTGATGCTATTTAGGAGACAACACAATGAGTATAAATCTACGAAAGCGGATACAAGTAGCTAGTGCCACCTCCGAGGGCGCTAACCTCCTTACACCCGAAGACTAGTACTGACATGTCTTTTCTTATAGGTAGAAGTACTACGGGTACTGGAATGAGAACGAAAAAAGAAGCCTTCAGTGGAGGAAGATATGTTGTAGATGTAAAAGACGACTATGGACGGCATATCTAAACAGCATGCAATGCAGCGTACTTCATTACCTTCCTCAAAAACCCACGCACTCCAGAAGCCCAAAAAAACAAGAAACAACTCGCTTTCTCTCCCCTCCTAGCCTGTTCCCTTAATCTTGGCGTTTATACACAACATTTCTAATCAAGACTCTAGACCTCACCCAGCAACGTAAAGACATGAGAAACAAGACACAAACCGAGGCACCTTCCTTCCGCATCCATCTAGACAACGCATCTCGCCCCATCATTTCTTCTCCTCCTTCCCTCCCGAAGCAGACCTGATAAACCGGGAACTAGGACCGGAACCAAGCCCAACCACTAGTCTACAACTACCAAGATGCAGAGCAGAAAGCACAAATATTCCAGCTATACAAAAAAGGCACCACCTAACAGACATCTCGCACCATCGCATCTCCTCAGCGCGCGATGATTCCGCCCGTTCCCCGGTCCACCCCGCCCCCCTCCCCCAATCCATCCTACCACATTTGTACTTAGCTACGCACGGTAATGATGGCGCGAACGTCCCAGAAACGCGGTGAAGCTCACGCATCTAGACCACCACGTCTTTGTCAACCGTGGTTTTACGCATGGCCGCCACGTCATGCTACACGTGTTATATATACATGGACGGGCGACAAAACAAGTAGCTTGACATGGAACATGGTAGTACGGCCCGAAGTATACTCGTCATAACAAGTACCGGTATAGTAGTAGAAAAGGGACATATCATGTGAATACGTGTGGATACATACACGGCTTCATGTGACCGTGGGCGGGCAAGTATGGGTTATAGGCGTCATGGCTACCGACGTTCTGCTAGTGGTCAGGTGAGGCGAACCGTGGTTTGGTGGAGCTACATTGAGGCTCTGGGTTTTTTGCTTCTTCTTGACCGCTAGTTCGCTTGGTGTTTGCGGGTGTGGCTGCACTTCTTCCTTTTTTTGTTTCGTGTTCTCCCTTGGCTCTCTGTTACACTACTTGCAGGCTTATGAGTGGTTGTGTCAGATTGATATTAGCGAAAGGGGGATAGTTATGTACCTGGTTGTGCATTGTATGTATGTAAGCAAAAAGTGGGCCAGCAATATACAAGTCTTTTTTCCATAGGAGAGGGCGTATATGGGGATAGGAGAAAAGGGACAAAGCAAGAGTCTCGTCTCTGCACTTTTGGGGAAAGCTGACATATGCGTACATGATTTGTGATATGCCGGTATGGTCAAGCAATGGGCGAAGCAAAAGATGTGGGGTTGGTGTACAGGGTGTCTCAAAACGCATAGTGCGTCTATAACATTTGTGTTCCCTACTCTTCGTTATGCATACAATTGCAGAATTGGCTAGAAGAATGAAAAAGACATAACGGCGACTTACGATCACGTTAACACCTCAACACCATTTCTCACACCTAGGAAGCACTCAAATTTCATAACGTAAAAACCCCTCATCAATTGCGCCCTCTAATAAATTAATAGCACAAACAAGTTATACCAAAGTAAGACCGTGAAAGCCGTTGTGCTCACATGACATTGCAAACATGTGAATGAGATCTAACGAGGGGGGGAGGGGGGGTTGGATGAGCATTTCTCCGCGCACCCAACTCTAGCATCATGAACTACAACCACAACATGACATTGTAACATCACCATCTGAAAGCAACAAAAAATCAAATCTCAAAATCTAAACTTTGAACAATCAGCCCTACGCATTGCGCAAACACAAACGAACTTCCCCCTCCCGCAGAAGATCAAAACCTCCCCAATCGCCCCGATCCATCCCCCCCCCCAACCTTACCTCTCTACCCAACTGCCGACCCGCGCCCATCTCACCCGCACACACCGCACTCTGCACTTGCTCGCCCAACCGCCTTTTCCCCCTCCCGCCCACTCAAATGAACCACCCGAGAATCTCTCCCTTTGGTAAGTAAAAAAAGAAAAGAAGAAGACAAACAAGAACTACCGTACATACCCATTTCCAACAGAAAAGTCCCCATGAATCAAGCAGAGCAAGGGCAAAAGTTGCAAGCAATGGGATCTCTACAAGGTCGGAGCAAAAAAGCGACCGCTCGCCCCACACAACCCCATAAGCGAGCTGTCCGCGCGCGTGCGTCAAGCGTAGTGTAACTACCATGTCAACGAGCATCGTGAAATGTCTGTCCTCTGTACGGTGCATTCACCTTCCCTTTCCCCTGCACCCTCCCACTGTACTATAAACCTGAATCTACAATCCCACCCTCAATCCCATCCTCCACCCTCTCTGCCCCCTTCCCCCTCCTATCACAACACCCTTTTTTTTCCAGCCCAACTCAACCCAATCCATCCCGCTCATGCATCTTGCACGCCCCCCATCCCATCCCCCCGATCGGCCCTTCTGTCACCCACCGAACAGAAAATACTGCCGACCGACCGACCGGCCGACTGACTGACAGGCGTACCCCCCCCACTTTCCCTGTGCCATGTCCGCCGCTCACAGACACGGAATGGTGGACTATGGATGATGCTAAGACAATGTATGTGCGCGCCCGTTGCTTGGGGTGCAATGGCGGTTACGTATGTGGGGGGGGGGGGATGTGCCGTGGGAGCCGTGCATCGTGCGCAGTGCACAAGGTAGGAGAGATTGTGTGGTGATGGTGGGCGAGTAGGGGAAGGGGGTATGGTGATGGGTGGTGATGAGTTGAGGTGAGATTTATTATTATTATTATTAGTAGTAGTAGTAAGAGTGATGTTGTGTGTGTGTGTGTGCGTGTGGTGGGATTGAGGGATTCAAGGGGGTGGAGACAGAGAAAGGAAGAGGAATGGTGAGACTCAAAACACATGATTGATATATCTAGGTTTTTTTGCGCGAATTTGCTTGTAGAGTTTGCTTGCTACTCTAGAAAAGAAGACAAAAGAGAAAAAAAATCCCGCCATGGGGAGGTAATGTTTAGAAAGATTAAGGTAGATGCCATCAGATTAGGTGATAATTGTACAAGGGTATGTTGGTGATGGTAGATGAAGAAGCCAAAATGCTATACAGGCATATATGCCTGATGAGACAGACCAGGAGGGGAATATAAGAAATTACACAGCATAGAGCCAGACGCTATTACCAGAAAACCAGCCATTTTGAATGTGTTAAAAAAACCAAAATCAATTTGTATAGCAAAAACACCTGAATTGCTCTTAATAGCATAGAGTACGGCCCAATTTTTAAAAAAAAATTCGAAAAGCCCATAACCGTACGTGGAACCAAAGGATATATGCAGACCGCCGATAAGAAAAATGTTACTGCGTAGTGCCAACCAAAGTCCAAGAATGCTCGAGTAGGAATAGTTATCGCCTTCGCCAAGGGAAGAAGCGCCGAGGGGTATCGCATCCAAATCATCCACCATGAATGTCTCGTGTATGCTTGGTAATATCGTAGGAGAGTGTAGCAAATTTGGGAAAAGGTCACCTCGGGGGCGGTCTGAATCGCCTCCAAGATGATGAGTGATGGGAGATGGGGCTTAGTAGCCAGGGTGCGCGCTCGCATTGTACTTTTCCTCGGGAACATACTTTTCGTCCGTAACGTAGTAGGAGTGAGGGTGAGGAGCCGAGGGGTACTGCGTTTGGGGCAACGGCTGAAGAGCAATGGGAGCCGAGGACCTTCTACCTTGACTCGCTTGGGAAACTGGAATCTGGCTTGGTTGTTGCGATACCGGGGAGCTCTGGGCCGTAATGGCTTGGGGTTCAAAAGTTCCGGGCTGGGCCATTGGGTATGAGGTCGGCTGTGGGGCTTGGTATTGCGAAGTGGGTCCATGATGAGAGTAGGAGGTGGATGGTGCGGCTGATGGGTGATCGTACGAGTAGTGGCGAGCAGACTGCGAGGGGTAGTGCGACGAAGGAGCCGTGTGAGGCGATGAGAATTGTTGAGGAGATGGAGGATGGGCGGCATAGTGCTGCTGACCTGTGTATGTTTGAGGCGAGGGCTGCTGGACTGGGTATTGATGGGCAGACTGCGAGGCACCATAGTGTTGTGGGCTGTTGTGAGTCGACGTGTATTGGGATCCGTGCCAGTATTCAGGAACGCCCAGGTGGAGGGGGGTATGTGTTTGCATCACTCCCTGAGCTCCAAGTGCCTGTGTTACCGCTCCGAGCACATGGTGTTGAACATGGCTCGGCTGGATGTGGTGTGGGTAACCGGTGATGAGGGGCATGTCCTTGCTTTCCTCATCTTCAAGACTGACCTTCCATCCACTGAGGAGTTCAGGCCTAGGTTGGATATCGGCTAGCTTGGGGTCCTGGAACGGTCGCTTGAGTTTGCCACTCACGACGTCCTCGAGACTGTAGTAGGAAATGACGTGGTGGTGGGTGCCTTGGTACTTGACTGAAATGGTCTTCTTCATCAAGCCACCCTCCTTGAACTCGTAGCTGTCGATGAGGGAGCCACAGAATCGCCGTTGCTGGTCGGGTGTTAGGCTTTGGGCAAAGTTTGCGTAGACCTTGTTCATCGGGTCGGCATCGCCAGCGAGGGAAGGATCAAAAGATTGGTTCTCGTATTCGTCCTCGGAGTTTTCGAGCATCTCGCCAGTCTTTGACCGCACAGGACCGCTGCTTTCCTTTCGCTTCCTCTTTGAGCCACACGATGGGTTCAGTGCAGACTTCTTCTCCTCGGGCTTGAGTGCTCGTACAAGTTGGCGGTAAATGAGGCAGTTATTCATGACGCGGCTGGGTGACCAGTGAACAGCATCGGTCCAGCGCTTGATTCCAGATGCGTTCTCCTCGTAGACCAAGACAGTTCCCGAAGTGAGCATCTCAGCGCGCTCCTTGTCATGGGGCCGGCGGCTAATATGGCTGAGGCGGCCCTGAAGTGCGGCCTCGACTACGGTCATGGCATCTTTGGTAGTATCGAGGAAGCCGTGCCATGTGGGTTTGAAGGCGGGTTGAGCTTTGACCATGCTGCCTGCGACCTGAGGCCTGGGGGGAGGTGGTGTGCTCGCTGCGGTTGAAACCACACGAGATGAAGCAATCGACTGGTGGCGTAGGGGTTGACGCGCTGTCTGTTGCATCTGAGGTGTGAATCCTGTGTACATTGAGGACTCAAACATGCTTGGGTATGGGGTCTGGTTGGTGGTTGGTTGTTGGGGCCAAGACCATGAGTCGGCGTCGTTGTATCCATCCACCTTTGGCACGCCGCCGAGGGACATGTCATGTCCGAACGAAGGCATCGTCAAAGTGGATGCCCGGATACCCTGCAACATGGGGAAAGTGGGTTTTTTGTTTGTTTGTGGTGATGGGCAAAAGGTTTTTGGTGAATTAGAGATGTGATTGGAAGACAAATGATCCAGATGGGTCGAAGATACGGTATAGTCGTGTATAGTGACCGAAATCACATGAGAGAATCTTCACTCGGAAGCCAAAAAAAACAAAAATCCTGGGCAACTGGATATAGCCTAGAAAGGAAGCTGTTCGGGTCAGCATTGGAGAATCCAGGTCGAGTCGTTTTCCAAAAGAGGCCATACTCACGTGTGATGGAAGTGGGCAAGGGAAAACAAAAGAGGGGATCAAGATCGCACAGCGCAAAAAGAGGGCGAAGCGTCTGTGTTTGCAAGAGGAACGGTTGGAGAGGTGAGCAGAAGACGCAGGTGGGGCAAGTGCGTATGTGTGTCTATGCCCGAGTTGAGGGTGGGATGATGCGGCTTGGGTGGGGAAGGGAAATGGGTTGAGGGTGTTGGTGGTTTGGTGGTGGTGGTGGTGGTTGTTGCGATTTGCAGAAGCAGCAAGTAGGGAAACAGGATGAATGGCCAGGAATTTGTTTGGATAGGTCTCGAGGCCACAGGGTGGTAGATGTAGAGGTGTGAGGCGCACGTCTAAGCGTAGCAAGAAAAAAATGGCAAACACCGATATGTGGTATATAGGTCGACGGCGAGAGGAGGTACCAGTAGGTGGTCCAGGGAACGAGTCGATGTATATTTGGGGATTATATTGATGCGTCGGCGAATTGCGAAGCTACTAGTATGATCAGGGTTGGCAGGGCCCCAGGACGATAATAGGGAGAAGAGGGAATAGCAGCAACGGCGGAATCAGCCAGCGGACCAGGACATGGCTCCTAACAAGAACGACGCTATCTCACTCATGACAGCCGGGATGGAGGCGGTCGGAGACAAATGGCTCGCCCTGGCAATGACTCTAAGTGCATGGGGCAAGTCAAGCGTGAGGGCATATGCACGACTGGGACGGGGCAAGCACAAAGGGCACTACGTGACAACGTGCCTGCTTGGGGGAGGAAATGGCATGTACCCGGCAGCCATGAGACGCATACGACAGGACTGGTCGCTTGGAGGAGGGAGGGGAGGGGGGGAGGGGGTAGGTTAGCCCGGTTGGGGTGGCCGACAGTTGATGGGCACAGTAGCGCAGCGATCGCCCCTGCTGAGGATGCAGCTAGTCCCTGGACGGACAGACTCGACCTGAGGCAGCCCTGCTGGGGCGGGCTGTTCTGGGGCGGCCGCCAGTTTGCGGGTTCTGGCCCATGAGGCGATCAACAGGCAGTACGAGTACTAGGACGTGTGTAGCCATTGTGGTCGCAGCAGCACCAGACCAGTACTCTAGGAACAGTCCGGATGCACCGTCGTCGAGGCCAGGGCGCCGCGCCCACCGCCTGTTGATTGACCTAGCAGAGCCCACGGGCGCCCACTGCCCCATCCATGGGCGATGCTAGACTAGCGTGCCATGACTCCGCAGCTGCCGGGCCTGGCGTTAGGGCAGCGTAAGCTTCACGTTCCTGGACGGCGGCCGCTGGTGAGGCAGGACGCGAAACTCTGGCCATGCGGCAGCGCTGAGGCCCTGGTGGGCTCGCAGAAACGGCCGTCGGAGGAGAAATAGACATGGGCGCGGGTGAGGATGATGAGAAGGGGGGACGACGTCGGCCGGCGTATAACAAGGGCCGACGTCGGATCAAGAGGGCCAGAGGGGGCAGCAGCAAGCGACGGCACACGCGCGTGAGAGAGGCACAGCGAGGGGAGCGAGAGCGAGACTGCGCTCTCGAGCACATGGTGCGGAGATGGCCAAGAGTGAGCTCGAGAGTAAGAGAGAGAGAGAGCAGGATGCAGCCGGAACAGCGAGGCCAGGGCTGGCAGGCGTGGCCCCAGGGCGGCGCAGACACTGGCACAGGTTGGGCTGAAGCTCGCGGATCCGGGACGGTGCGCTACCATGTTTCACACAGTTGCGCGTGGTTGGCGGGGCTGACTGGCTGGGGGAGGGTGGATTGGGGGGAGGGGGGGGAGAGTGGGATGTGGACAGTCGGCCAGTAGTATTGGTAGGAGGTGGTGAGAGTAGTAGTAGTAGCAGCAGCAGTAGCAATAGCAGTAGCAGTAGCAGTAGAGCAGAGCGACGGGTTCGTCTAGGAGGGCGGGCGACGAGGCCACGGCCGGGTGTGCCTGTGGGAGTCGCTCCGTCGAGTGGTGTCGGTGTGCTCTGGCGGTTGGGCTGGAGGCGGCACCAGGCTGGCCGGCGGTGCACCGGGCTGGTGGGAGAGGTGAACCTTGGACTGGCGGCGCATCACCCGCAGCGGCTTGGCAGAAAGCGCGCGGTGGATGACGAGGGGCTTGAGGGTGAGGTTGGGATTGGCATGAAGGATGTGCACGCTTTGGGCGGCCGGGTCAAGTGACGTCCAGAAGCGGGTAAGCGTGCACGGACAGGGCATCCTGGAGTGAATCATGCACATGCATCACACGCCCGTTTAAGCAGCCAGTCGACTGCCAAGTGCCCGGCCAGCGCGCCCTCTGCGAACTTGGTGATCGCCGTCTGTGCACGGGATTTGCAGCTGGGCCTTTTTTGCGACCCTGGAAACATGTGTTGCCATGGCGGTGTGGGGAAGAGAAAGTGGGAAGAGCATGGGCATGGGCATGGGCATGGACATGGGCATGGGCAGCTCTTCGATACGGACATGTGCGCATGGTACTGTGCCATTTACTACTATGTACTATGTGTACATGTATGTACACGTGTATGGACGTACGTACACGTGTATATTGGATATCTGGATGCATCATAGTACATACATTTATACATGCTATAATACTCACACATACAGGTACATACGTATGTACCACGCCTGATGCTACCTACTACATTTGCAATTACCACTGATACTACTACGTCAAACCACCCACAGCTAGCGGGGCTGGGCAATGACGGCACTGTGGCTGGTTCATGTGCATGGCCCACGATGATGATAATGATGATAATGATGATGCTGCTGCTGCTGCTGCTGCTGCAAAAGATGCACGACTAGTGCGCACACAAACAGCGACAAAACATTACTCTGTTTTCCATCCACACCCCAACACCATCCCTGTCCACCTTGTCCTGTCCCCAGTCGTGCCCTCTCCACCTCCATCCTCGAGCTGAACTGAAGAGGGCGAAGCTGACTGTCATGGCTGCTACGCCCGACCGGCCTCGACCTCGACCTTGACCTCATCACACATCCCACCCTGTGTCAGTAGTCAGGAACGCAATCCTCTCAGCGCCGCCTTGGCCGCCTTCGCCCGCCACGAGTCGCGTCTCGCTCTTCGCCTTTTCACACGCTGACAGGCACCACACACGTACACGACGCCCCGTTGCCACTCGCTCGGCTCCACTGGCAAATTCTCTCTGTTTCATCCGCAGCCCGCAGACTCTTTCCTACACCGCACTAGTTAGCTGTGCTCTGTACTACACACCCTTCTCTACTAACCACCACTACTACCACCACCACCGTCACTACCCTCTTTGCATGCAATCTCCAGTTCGTTGCCAAAGACGCGCGCCAAATGTAACACGCGCCCGCCCTCGTGCGACACTGCTGCAAGCCAGGATCAACGCTGCTCCCACAAGCTCTTAACAAAAGCAATTATACCCTTTCGGCCATATAATACATACTGGTCTATACACCAGCCGTGAAGATGCTCGAGTTGACCGCACGTTCACTCTTTATCGTTGATCACACAGTCCGCCCTCGACTCTTGGGGCGCGAACAGACGGGGACGGGGGCCACTCTGTCCCCATTAGCCTCTCCTTGCATCGTTCGTGTTTCAACAAGTCACATCGCACTTTGCGGCCACTCAGAAGCCCCGTCGCCTCCCATCGTCTAGCCCCTCAACCCACCCCTCCCCAACCCATCCACCCCCCTCGACCCTCTCCACAACGCCTATCACGCTGCCTTTTCGCTGCCATGACCAGATGTTCTGCTACCGTCTCGCTTGCCCCGGATTGCTACTGACAGAGGGCTCCAGCTGGTTCGCACTCTGACTTTGACTTACCTGCCAAGCTCAGACTCGGCTGCGATCAGCATCTGAACTTCTCAACTGCCTCCCCCCCCCCCCCGTATACGCTAACAAGACAGCAGTAGTAGTATTAGTTGGCTTGTCACGCGCCATACCCCATTCAGTCGCACACATGGTACTCTACCTACATACACATGCTGCTATGACGTTACTATGCAACATGTTGCACAAATTTGGCCCGACTATTCCACGCCAACACGCGCGCCCGTCCGCACACACCGCGTTCTCACAATCGCCCTCTATCTCTCTCTGTCCAGCTGTCAATTTGCACTCCTGCAGCGCAATTGCCTCACCGCTGCTCAAGACTGCGACCCTACCCTCTACCCCAAGAGTCTGGTAGATGCGCCTGCGCTTGCGCCTATCCATCCGATAGCGTCAGCTCCCCCTTTATGCTCGTGTTCGCTCCATCTTCCCTCCGACATTCACAAAATGGTGCTACCGCACTCGATTGAGCCTTTTTCGGTTGCCAGTCTTACCGAGCAGTCATCCCCGGGCCTGTTCTATTGACTGATAGCGCGCGCTGCTTGGCGCCACACGCGTCTTGATTCGCCGTGCCAGGTACCCCCTTGCCTTGAAACCAATCTTTGTAAATCGGCAACCTCCTTTGGACCAAGCACATTATGGGTCATGATCGACATTGGCCGTAGAAGGTCCCTGGACGATCACGGAGATCCGGCTCCTACCACGTATCATTTCTCCTAGGCTTGCACTAACCTACCCTCACACATTGAATACACTGAACACCTCTCCAGGACTCACAGAAACTCGTCCTCTTGGTCCGGCCCTATCTCGGCCATTATCTTGTTCGTTTGCCGTCTGCGGAGGGTCCGGCCCGTCCACCTGTAGTTCACAACCCAAGTGCGGGATCCGTGTCTAGAGTCCTACCCATCTCCAGATAACCTGCATTTTCCAATTCTCCAGAGTTTCAATTCCACCACAAACCCACCCCTGGGGCTATTTTGGCCCTGCGTAGAGGAAACGTCGACGTCCTTGCCCGTCAAACTCTGAATATTAGTAGGGTGACGGAAGCGGCGAGACACGTCTTCTAGAAAGTCATTGCAACCTCTTTTGGCGCTTCTTCTCTTCACGCCAGCATTGCGAATTGCGATGGTTCAACCTCCCGACGTTACTCTACCTCACGCCGTTGACCCTGATGGCCCCGTTTCCTGTCTAGAGTTACACCAATACTCGGTTCGAGTCCGAATATTCACGGACGCCTTTTCGCTCCGCAAACGGCACCACAGCGTCCTTCGCTCCCGGCCTCAGGCACGCACATTGGGAAGTCCCTGAACTCTATTTCTCACCTGCCATGGGCGCGTTCATGGACCTTGCTGTCCGTCTAGTGCCCTAATAGATTGTCTAGAAACGCCATGGATTCTCCAGCAAACCGCCACCGTGCATCCGTAAATATCGCGTCGATCCGGATCAACGCCCGTGGCTTGCCCACTTCCATTGCGAAGTAGATTAGTTTCACGACACCAACAAGCAAGAGATACTGCATCTGCAAACCTTATGACTCGTGCAGACGACTAGCAAAAGACCCTTTGCGGGGCCTCCGGCTCCACCATGATATCCCCAAACAGTCTGTCACCTTGGTCAGCTTGTAACAATCAGCCTACTTTGCCCACTTCCGCACACTCAACAGTTTCACTAGCCGGCTCTCCTAAAATGTCTTGCTCAGTCTCCCGCCCTCCGTTGACCCTTACGTATGACATGCGTCGGTATCAACTCCGCAATCTTTAATCGCTCCTACTTCCTCAAAAACCCTCCACGACCGGCCATGTGAGCGAGCTGCCACCAGGTTGCGCCAGCTGTGTTTCAGGCCACCCAAACCCTAGCCGTTGCGCGCATTGCGAAGATCTGCTATGTGTATCTCTCTCTTTGTCTTTCTCTTTCTCTCAACTCTGCTTCTGGGCCTTAAGATTGAGCTTGGTGCGCAATGCTGTATGGAATGACGTGCGTTAGACATGGCCGTGGTGCAAACCTTGCTTCCCATATAGGATTTGCGAATCCAATAGAATCCACTGGAGCTTCTCGCCAATGTGGCAATGTCCAAAAGTAGATGTGTCTACCAAATTCGCATAGAGTACAGATTACACAATGGGTCAGGTACGGATCACTGTACTCCACGCGCCGTACATAGACATATGACCGTGTCGGCATATTTTACTCTTTCGGCCGCATCGCTTCGAGTATTACTGCATCGCCTGTTCGTCCAAGGCGCGTAACACATGCATAGAATAGACCGAATTCTGTCGAGCGGAATCCGCCACACCGAGGCCGCTTGTCCCAGACGCTCGTTCATGTTGCAATCAGCAAGCACCAATCTCGTTTCAGGGAGCGAAATCTCTCCGTATCTGCAAGCTGCTGCATTCATGTGTCTAGAAGCTCATGCCGTAGGGCTGTAGGCAAAAGAATCCGACACAATCACACATGTACGGAACCGCCCGTTCCAGGGTGCAACTTTACATACATACAGCCAGTTTCATGAAGATCACCCACGGATATACTCTTGGGCCTAGTCTCTCGCTCAAAGGTGGCAATTCATGACCCTGTTTCTTTTGTCGTAATCGTCGCTCGCCACGTGGGTTTAACATTTCACGAGCTTCTAGTCGAGACCATGATATACTACAAAGGAAATGACGATCGATCGTGCTCGGCCTCTGACCCCTTCCCCCCTAGCTTCTGGGTGGCAAAGTCTATTGTGCTGACAGGATGGGGACGGAGGGCCGTAGCCGCTTCACATCCCACACCGAGCAGCATGTCAGAGAGGACGTGCGTACGGGCAGTAGTGCTGCAAGCCCGTTGCACATATTGAGCGGCAAGGACCACCCTGCTACGCCCTTGGAGGCAACGTCTGCGAGTGTGCTCGCCTGCATTCCCGTCGTATTGGCACGCCATGCCGACTTTTTTGGAGTTTTCATTACCAGATGCTTTCGCTCCTTGATACACTTGGACACGGCTTGGTAACGCTGGTTTATCCAAACTTTGGGCCCCGTCATGTATGTGAAGTGCATGACCCGACAGTGTTACGGTGCGGACCGTTGCTCACGACAGATCACCCGAAGAGCGGTAAATGGTCAGGCTTTGGCTGATACGAGGCTCGCGGTTGTCGATATGACTGGGGAAGAAGGGGGAGGTGGAGGAGGTTTTTAGGTGTCGGAACACCAGATTGAGACAGCTGATGATGATGGTGATAAGATTGTGTTGATGACGGCGATGATGATGATGATTCTAGCGATCCTGACGATGCTAATAATGCTATACTAATGATGCCATCCCAACGCTGCCAACACCAACGATCTAAATGCAAATATTGGCAACAACTACAGTTGACAAATAATCGTACTCACAGTCACTTCATACGCTCTACCTACCGCCGTTTCACCCATCGCCGATGAAGATTTCGGCCTGTATCCCGGGGCTAAAGCTGTGCATGTTTCGAAACTCTGCTTGTCCCAGTCTGTAAGATCCCAGAAGTTTGTTTCCTTGTTCGCCGTTCTAAATAGTTCGGTTCACTTGGTAATTTTTTTCCTTCTCATCTCTTTTTTTCAGATAGATGAGTAGTTCATGGAAGTGAAAGTCCTGTCGTCTCCACTGTAATCATTTTTGCAACGGCGAAGATGGACGATCAAACGAGACCCTGAATCCCGGAGTGACGGCGAAGAAAGGGAGTGGCTGCGTTGTTATGTTTGGATGCATTGTTTTGTGCTAGTGACTTGTGTGGTTATTCCATATTCCATATTCCACAATTTTCTCTTCGCCGAGACTCTCCTCTTGTGAAGCCTACTGAAATTCCACACTCCTATCATATCAATCTCATCAATCACTCATATTCGCATAAAATAACCATATATACTACCCTCCCCCCAAATTCCTCACGAACACCCCCCCAAAAATAATCCCTACAACCCCAAACCTGCCATCTGACCGCATAACCCATACCCCCTTCACATATCTCCTTCCATCTAACCCAGCCACCTCACCTCACTCCTCTCTTCCTTCCTTCTTTCCTGCCTTCCATACATACGGAACCCGCACACTACAGCAGCCCAATACATCCAGCCACCCCGGCATCACCCGTCTCACTCCCCTCTCCCTGATCCAAAAAAAACATGGGGAATGACCACATATCGTTCCCCCTAGACAAAAAAAAGGCCTTCCGTATAAACGGTATGTCCCGTATCACATACTGGGGGTGGAAGTAAGGGGAGGGCACAAACGCAAACAAGGCAGTATTATGTGGTAACCACATTTTGCTGCGCGCATGTGTAGATCGCGGTGAGGAGGGGGAAAGGGCGTTAGGGCTGACTCGGAGGAGGAGACTCCTGGATAATGGGGAAGAAGATAGAAGTGGAAGTGAGTTATTGTTATCTGAATCTGTGTTATATATTCAAGTCATAATCCACTTATAACGATTTTTTTTTCTTTTCCCCAGTATATCGGCGATCTTTATCTATTGCTCGGCTCAGTGATATGTGCACACTTGTATCATTTATTTTCTTTGTTCAATGGGATTAAAGGGGGGAGAGAGAGAGAGAGAGAGAGGAATAGTAGTGTGACATATACATTTTTTTATACTCAAGTAGAGAAGCTGAATAAAAAAAATATCATCTATAAAAAAAAGGTCCCAAGAACACACACCTCTCTCCATCCCCCTCCCCCCCCCCAACCACTTTTTCCTTCCCACAAAACTAACTACCACCTCTCCTTACATCCAACCACACACCCAGCACTTCTTATGCATCCCTCCCTTCCCTCTCCCCCTTACCCCCTGCCTCGCCTACCTACACTCCCTTGCTCCGCTCGTAACCCTCACGCTCACCTCACAGCAACCACCATCCAACAACCTTCTTCAACTATACCTACTCTACTTACAAGGCCAGGGTAAGGGTAGAGGTAGGGGGTAGGAAAGTGGGTCCACACAAGATCCCAAAGTCTATCAATACGGCCGTTAGATACAACGCTTTCGCTGACCGATATGCAACTTGCACGCCACAAATTCCCGTAGCCGTTTGGAACGACAAGCAGCCCCGGAGTGGTTCCGGGTCAGGGGTGTGTGTGTGTGGATATCGGGATGGTAGCGAAGGGGGTGCATGTGAACGGACAACCCAACCAACCCTTGTTTTTTTTTCTTTTGCGAGGGAGAGGTGTGGCCGGATTCATTGGCCGGTGTGGTGAACTAGGGGCAGCGGGTGGCTGGATGTGTTGGGGGGTTTTTTGGGGGGAGGGATGGGATTGGGTGGATTCTTTTACTGCTATTGCTGCCGCGGTGTATGGATAGAGGAGTGTATATATGCAGTGGAGATGATGGGATGGGCTTGTACATGTGGGTGTGAGGTATACACCGACTTCTCTTGTTCTATCTCTGCCTGGTTGGGTTTTACTACTAAGCAAAGAGGAGAAGAAGGAGAATAAGGAAGAGTGGGGGAAGGGTGAGATGCGGACTCCTCGTTCGGATCTGACTGATTCCGAGTCTCTCAACATAGAACCACTTTCTCACATTCTAGTTTGTAAGGAGAAGAAAAAAAACCCAGAAAGAAAAAAAAACAGCCCACTTCTCATACGTTCCGTCTATCTGCCCTACCCGACGTGACACCCTTCCCTCCGCTCCTTCTACCCTTTCTTAGCCCAACTTCTCATATCTTTCCTGTTTCGCCGCGGAGATACATACTCCGCTCTCAACTCGGCCCTTTCCAAACAGACTACAAGGATCTCTCGCCCATAGCTACTAAAACGAAATCGCGGGATAACAGGCACCCATTGAACAAACGTCTGACAGAAAGCAGTCTAGCAAGTAAGCAAGGATATGGGGGAGGAGCAGGAGCATGGGGACGTCAGCCGACTCAGCCTAAAAAAAGGTGGGGCAGTGGTAAGGTCCAGTAGAGTGGATGGGTGTGGATTTCCCAATGACATTGATCACGTTATTTACCAACGGGCGGGGCAGGGAACGGTTAGGGCACAGAGGACGGACGGGAGAAGGGAGAAGGGTAAGATGAGATGAGATGGCAAATTTGACAACCCAACCGTCACCCAAAAGAACAACAAGATGACATGTGAGATTTGGCTTGTCACAGAAATGTCTATGCGTTTCGCGAGCTGGCATTTCTTACTCCCCCTCTTTCTCCCTCTATATCTTCTTGCTTTGCTTCTACTATCTTTGCCTCGTTATGCTGCGTTGCAAATGATAGGGATAATAATATTTTGGCTTGGGGGGGGGGGGGGGGGACTTGGCCTCGCCCTATCGGTAGTGGTCGGTGGTTCTTTTCGGGCTCCTCCAAAGTTGATATAACAATGTACGTGCGTTACGTACTTAGTCTCCATACGATACATCGGCGAGTTACCTCGATACCATACATGGGCGATTCCGACACGACATACATACATGGACTATAGAGCATTACGCGTGGACCGGAAGTTCCCAGGGGGCGGGATTGCCACTCAAGGGGGGTGCGAGGCACGCGGCATTGGGCATGGGAAAGGGAAGGGGGAGGTGGTTGAGCTGGCGCATGGCATTGTACAGGGATGGTGCTGGGACGCGCGCGTTATGCTGACTGTGACGGTCGGTTTGGAGCGATTTGATTCGGCAATGCGCTGGGGGACGTGTTGATATAAAAGTGGCAGATGAAGACTCGTGCGTGTTAAAGAGACGGATGTGAGTCCGCCTGCTTCACCAAGTGCTTATCGGTGCTTGATTCCGTGATTCCTCGTGTCCGTCGGGGCTGTAAGACGGGTCAACGTGGCTGACGGGGGCTAATCGAGACGCAATCGGGGTTTTTTGCTTCGTTCTTGCATCTCCCCGGGCTTAGGGTCGCTGTCGGAGAGATGGGCTGCATGGGAAGATATGCCGGCTTACGGCCACGTCAAGTGTTACATCTATATTCTGTTCTTTTAACCGTGGACTCAACCGTCCTTGCGGAGGGCAAAATGGCGGTGTGAGGAACAGAGGAATCGACGCGAGTGAGGCTGTTTGTCTTGCGTGGCAGAGAGGCGGAGCGGCGGATGAAAGATTGGCGATTGTGGATCTCGCGATCCACGATGTTCGTTGTTCGATAATTTCGACGTACTTTGATTAGCATGCGGCTAGTTGAGATCGGGAGAACCGTCCCCGACGACGATCTTACTTGGTAGGCCAAGTACGGTAAATGTTCCGTAAGCCAGGAGAACCCCTGTACATTCAGCACAATAAATTGACGGTATATAATACTTACGGAACGGTATCGCTTGTGTCCGAATCAAGCTTAGGAAGTGAATATTACAAGCTTTCGCTCTCACGTACCTACGATCACCCGTCCGTCTTACCCTTGTTTCGATTACCTTGGCTGCATCGACCACCCGTTTACACGTATTGTACGCGAGCTGACAAAGCCATCGGTACAGGTGAGGATACCATACATTCAAAACTGCATATTTGTAACAAATAACTTCAGGTGAGTATGAGGATGTAAAAAGATAGAACAGAGTGAAAATGAAATTGCCTTTGTTCGTTACCAACACTTCTTCGGTTAGTGACATATTTGCAGAGTATTCAGGTGGGAGAAATTCGACTACACCAGTACGAAAAAAATGTGTCGAAAATGTGTCCATTTCTCAAATGATTTGAGCATCACAACCATATCAGACACGAGTAACGTTTTTTCTGAAGATTGTTCGTTTATGAAGTAGCAAAAAGGTCTATCTTTTGCTGTTGTGCGCGAAGTGACGGGGGTAAGTCCTATTATACATCAAGATGCGATGACACTCTCATTTGCGCTCTTGTCCTGTCCACCGGCCTCTGTACCTCCGCTTCCCACGCTATCTTGCTTCGTCTTCCACTTCTTGAATTCCTCGCTAACAATTCTTCCCGTGCCATCTCCCACCCTCCTCACCTCAACAACACCACTCTTTTTCCGCAGCTGAACACTATACACACCTTCATCTCGCACCACACCTTTCAGCCAGGCCAGGAACTCAGTTGCAAAGTTAATACACACGTTTCCATCCCAGCATCCCGTACCTCTACGCACCATACCAGGTATCTCATGGGTATTGAATGTCTGCAAGCTCCTTAGTATACCGCTTTTGCTTCTGAACCCAACGGTAATCCTGGGAACACCCAGAAGAAACGACTGGGCCCAGAACTTGAGAAGTTTACGTTCGAACTTGAGAATATCACGGTGTTGCTGGAGGTGCGGGGGAGGTAGCTCTTCGCTTGTCTTGAGCTCAACCCATTGGATGGGTTGCTCCGGATCACTGGGCTTGGGGGCGAGAAGCCCATCGACTTCGCCGCCTAGAACAAGGCTGTGGGGACCAAATGACGTGTGTACGATAGAACAGTGTTGGGCATGGTTGGACACGACACCCCGCTGGTGTTTTTCAATTTCCTTGGGCGGTGTCTCAGATGGTAGGGTGGGTATCAAGGTGAGTTTCTCGAACTTGTAGCCCCAGTATGTCATCATTTCTCGCGACTGTTGGTTGGCATGCTGATGCCGAGGCGGTGGCCGCTCAGCTTCTGCTGCGCGCTCGGCAGCTCGTGAGGGAAAGTCTTCCTCGATGTAGATTGTCCCATCATGTAGGGTGGCAAACATGCCAAACTCGGCAAAATTGTCAAAAGGCGCTGTCATGATCTGATATCCGTCAGAAGTGTCTTTAGGTCGTCTCTACAGCGGTAGTAAGGTGGGACAACTGGGTCCGCTTACCTTGCCTGTTTTCACACCAGTCTGCATCAACATACCTTGGTCATCATGCCTCGCCATGTCATGAAATCTGCCTTTGGTTGTCCTTTGCCGGCCTTGTCATCCATAAGCGCCCTAAGCAGGCTATCCAAATGCGGGTCTTCCTTGTCTTCGTGGTGTTTGAACGTGTCAAACCCTTCTTTGAGATCTACGCCCATGGGCGGGTGGATATAGTAGTTGATTCCTGACTCGTCCGCCTGGTAAACATGGTTGTCGTCGTAGGAGAAGTGGGCGATTTCACGGGGCCGCTTGATGGTTGCCGACGCGCCGCGGAAGCGATTGAGGGGCTGTATGGGAAATGTATGAACTGGCATGTCTGTTTTCGGGGTATTCCTCTCGATAGCTGGTGCTTGTGTGGGTTCTGCTTTGACAGAAGCTGATGCTGTTGCTGCTGCTGCCGCCGCCGCTGCTGCTTGTGGAGGTGCGCGAGTTCTGGGTCGCTTCCGGGGAGGTGACCTGTCTGATGAATCTTCAATAGGAGTAGGCGGTCTCTCCGGGAGACTAGAGGGAGTTTTAATGGGTGTTTGTTCAGTCATTGCGTTGTTGTATTTGTACAGGCATGTTTGATAGCTGGCAAACTACGCCGCGGAAGTGCATCCCCCCACAAACCGCGGCTCTCGTACCTGACTAGCTACGGCGCGCCATCCAAACCATGTTATGCCATGCGCCGACGTCAACAACATCACATACATTACAACCTATAGCCTTCTTACAGTCGCCAACACCACCTCTCCTGGGCTGTACAAAAGTGCGAAAAAATGGATAACCGTGCTATAAGACTCAACCCTAATACCCGGCGCAACCTCTTCGCCGCCCACACTGCCCAGCAACAACCACCCACCTCACGACGCCAGAACCAAAACGCCCCTTCAGTCCGCCCCGACAGCCGCGAGATTCAACAAGACATTTTCACGCAACCCGCTGAAGACGAACTGGTCGAGAAGGATGCACAGGGAGACTACATCATACATGCGCCAACCCCCGTGTACAAGAACATGGGCACGGCCAGCCTTGGGCCAGAGGGAGATGAAGAGGGAGGTAGGTCTTGACAGCATCTGGGCATAGAAGAGGAAACTGACTGCTGATAGAACATGAGAACGAGTTGATTGAAATGTACGGCAAGCCGAATGTGCACTGGGCTGCAGCGGGGGTTGAAGAAGAGATCAGGATTGCGCTGAAGAGTAGCTTGAGGAAAAAGGTAGCGAGCTTAGAGGATGACAGGTGGATGTTCCAATCAGAGAGCGAGAGCAAGAAGTGAAGTTTGTTTGGGCAACATATACATGGCGCTGCGAGGAGTTTGGCTTTACGATACCCTTGGCACTATGTTTTGAATCATGGACGACATTGATATTAGCCGGATCAGTTGTGAGCTCTTGGAAGTGCTGGGTCACGACAGAAGTAATACATTTTTCAGGCTTGTTCTATACTTAAAGAGTTGGTTGCTCGTTCGTGCTCAAGTCCTCCTACTTGCAAGCGTTCGCCTCGAGGACTCTCTGCACACAAGGACACCTCATATTCAGTTCACCACATGCTTCCAAATCCCTTTCAAAAGAGTCCAATCATCCTCCAAGATACTTCAGGCTCGCAACACGTCTCATTAATTTACCTCCCCCTAAAGCCTCCCACCTCTCACCTTCCGTGGACTGGAACTCTGTGCACGCTCCTGCTGTGCTTGCCACTCATGCCTTACCGGGCGGGCGATCAGACACTATACAAGGCGCTAGAAGGTGTCGGGTGGGGCGTCACGATAGGTGAACATGTGGTTGAGGCATGCAACTCCAGACTCGGCACGCGTCTTACAGCCGTGGCGCAAACCCAATTCCTTCAAAACCACGCCAGCATGAGCAATTGCTATTGCAGAGCCCTATGAGCACTTTCTGGCGATAGAGCCTATGCTTTTGCCCAGACAGCCGCTGGGCTGTGGCGGTGCAGTGTCTCACTGTGTCAACCCTGCCAAGACGCTCACCTTTACCTTGAATCACTTCACGACTGGCCTCTCAGACGTCCGACTCACATTATCCCATCCACGGTGAACGTCTCTAGCGAAAAAAAACTGCTACTTCCTGCCTATCTCGTCACCTGACTGCTGGAGCTTCGGCGCCCGCTCTGAGGATATAAACCCTCGCTCCCTCGCTCCTTCCTCCTTTGCCTCCTCCACCCCACTGTCAATTTTCTGTCTCTTTCTTGAGCTTTGTCAACTGCAAAGTCTTGTCTTTACCACATCTCTTCGATTTGTACAACATTTTGTACATTTTCTTCCACTTCCACCATCATGTCTCATACCTCTCCTCAGTCTTCAACGGCCCATGGCCCTTCCTCGAGCCCTTATGCCGGCACTGATCCAACTCTCTATTCACCTGACGTGGACCGCAAGCCCCGCCTCGGCCATCGTCGTCAGATTACCGCCATTGCCGCTGGTAAATTGCTGGTCAAAGATGCCAAGGACAAGCCCATCATCACAAAGGCCGTCCTCCCTCTTCCCGCTATCTCGGCTGATGGTGCCTTCACAAACGAGCTGTCCGAAGACGACAATGGCTATGTTTCCCGGTATCAGTTCATCTCTCGGCTTCCTGACGGTACTCATGCTGGACTCGACTCGGAGCACGAACTTTTCAGCGTTCAGCACCAGATGAAGCTTGTGACTAGCTCTCCTCCCTGTTGCCATAAGCCTAATTAACCCCCGCTTTAGTACGCTTGCTTCCTCAACGCTGTCCCCTACTACTCTCGCGGTGTCTTCATCCGCTACGATGATCTTCGCGACGCTGCCGAGGGCAAGGACATCCTTGAGCAGCATGAGTTCACTGTCGACTATGTCACACCTTACGACTTCGCCAAAGCCAAGGCACAGGACACCGCCACCCTCAAGGAATTTGAGGGCCAAATCAAGCTCGGCATTGTCATTGACCCCAATCCCGACCAAGCCGTTTGGGAATTCTCGACCGAGGACCTGACTGAAGTCTCCAACTTCCTCAAGATTACCGCCCAGGCTTTTGGCGAAGTTCGCAACGTCACTCATGCTGACTCTCTCCAAGACAAGATGGTCATTGTGTATCGCATCGAGTTCTTCTCCATTGATGCTGCTGTTCGAGCTGTCCAGTCGCTACGTATGGATCCTGTCTGGGGAATCAACCGCCACGTGAGTTTTCTCCCTCCTCCAACTTCTGCGCGCCCCTGCTAATGTCTTGTAGAAGTCATTCCAGTGGTGCACTTCTGATCCTGCTCTCTGGTCGGATGAGCATGTTGCGACCTCACCGAATCGCCCCAAGCCTCGCCTCGATGCCCATGGTCGCATCTACGGTTACCGCTTCACCCCCAACCATCAGATTCCCGACCAGTACTCCGACCGTCGTTCCAGTTACCACAACCATCCTCACGATCAACACAACCGTGTTCGCCGTGAGCGCATTCTTGATGGCAGTGACGTTCGCACTACCGTCATGCTTCGCAATATCCCCAACAAGCTCGATTGGGTACGTAGCTTGTTACATAACCAATTGAACTGAAACTGACTACTTCAACAGATGACCCTCAAGAACATCCTCGATGACGTCTGCTTTGGCACTTACGACTTCATGTACCTTCGTATCGACTTCAAGTCTGGCTGCAATGTTGGCTACGCCTTCATCAACTTCACGGATGCCAACGGCATGCTCTCGCTCATCGACCGCATCGAGCGTCGGCTCTGGCCCGGCTTCAACTCTGACAAGACTGCCGAAGTTTCCTACGCCACCATCCAAGGCCGCGAGGCACTCGTCCAGAAGTTCCGCAATTCGTCTGTCATGCAAGAGACTCCTTACTGTCGCCCTCGTCTAATCTTTACCCTCGCCGATGCTGAGATGATGGGCCAGCTGCGCACTGCTGGCACAGAGCAGGCCTTCCCTCGCCCTGACAACCTTTCCAAGCTTCAGCGTTCCATGGATAGTGCTCGTAGCATTGGACTCTACCCTCCCAATGGATACTCTACACTCACTGAGCATCGCAACCGCTCCAGCGCCTACGACCGTGGAGGCCCTCGCGACATGATGCAGGCTGCTATGCACTTTGCTCACCAGCGAGTCACCCCTGTTCAGTTTGCTGGCCTGAGCGAAGCCAAGAAGCAGGACATCGAGACTTGGTACCTGTGTACTTATGGAGGCGGTCACTGTGGTCGCATCCCCTTTGACTGCATCCCTATGACCCATGTCACCCAGTACTTCAACGAGAATCCTGCTCCTACGCCAGTTCCAGGTATCATCGGTGCCCCAGCTAGCAGCCCTTTCTCCAACAGCGTCGCTTCCGCCATTCTTGACGGCACCCCGACACGCCCTTCGGGTATGGCTCGTGGTCCAATCCGCCCCTTCTCAGCCCGTGGCTATGCGGATGCCAACACCAACCCCTTCTTGTAAGCATCGACATGACTGGTGCTTATTTTCGCGTCTATGGACAATGTTGCAACATCTATCGCATTTCGCATGAGTGCAGCAAGTACCCGATTCGTTTGTTTGTTCCAATCTGTTTCAAGATGTTTGTCAAACAGGGCTTGATAATAACCTCCTGGGAGTGGTACTGGACACACTGCTGAGTGTATGTCTTCCAGAATGATGTCGTATGATCTGGATTAATGATGTGGATGATTGTGGATTGATATGGTCTCTGACCTGATGATGGATCGCACTGGGGCTGGTGAAAGCACAGTGCTATAGTAGAGATAGCTTAATGTCTTAGGTAATATGAGTAATGACTGCCATGATTGTGTCTTGTTGGTGAACTGTCGTGATTTCGTACTTGATCTGGTGACATGCAGCTTTATTGTTTTCTTTACATCTACAGTATAAGGTCGTCCGGCTCTCATGGCAAGACCGATGTCTACATTCAGTCTGAGAGGGTAAACAAGAGACCTGCTTGTTTATAAACCTCAGTTCGTTCAAAGTCATTACATGCTACTATCCAAGTTTGGCTCAACCTTGATAAATTCCCACACCACCCCTTCCGACAACTTATCCCCGTTCCTCCCCAACTTCCTCAGCCCCCTCTCCGGATCAACCACCACAGGCCGCAGCGTCCACCAATCCAGCATCTGCATCACATACCCCCCCTTTGGCACCGGCGTCACGGTAAACTGCCGCCACCCACTCCCCAGCCCCGCCGTACACTTGAGCCTCCCATTCCCATCATGACACACAAACCTACTCGAGCTACAATTCCTCCACCCAAACCAGCCCTGCGTCTCGACGCACTCCCAGTAGATGGACCCGTGGGTTGTGCCGCGCGCGACTAACACTACCGACCCGTCGACCAGCGTCAGCACACTGTTGCCGTCGTCCCATGATGTGGCGCGCAGGATGTAAGTGCAGCCGTGACGCGGGATTTGGGCCGGGACTTCTTCTGGGTAGTCGGAAATAGTACCAGGAAGGGTGTGTTCCGAGGTTGTGGTCGGGGTGTACATGGTGTGGCTGTCTGTTGTGTCGGACATGCATGATGGCGAGCCTGGGCGGTTGTTGTTGTTGGGGTCATGCTGCGGTGATGTCATACTTTTCTTTTATGTGTTTTTTTTCGGATGCTGGAATGGGTTTGGGGTCTATGCGTATGTATGTACTGTATGGAGTTTATTCTATTCTCCCTTGTTTTTTTTGGGACGGCGGTATTTGGCCGACGGGGGGTGTTTTTTCTTGACTACGTATTAGGTTTACGAGTAGTAAGTAGCAGCAGCAGCAGCAGCAGCACAGTTCCGGCTTAGTTGTTTGTTTCGTTTGCGGACGGTGTCGGTGTCGGTGGTGGCGCTATGGATGTACGTATGCGGGGTAAGGTGTGCGTGTGTAGTGTAAGAGCATGGGCGAGACTTCTAGGCTCGGTCGCTTTGCATTTCTTGGGTTTCCGCGCCCTGATTGCTACGTAGGGTTTTGCGATCAACACTTACTTGGCGAATACTGCAAGTGAGTACCGATAAACGTCGCGACGCAAGTACATGCAAATGCACGGCCGAGCTTGGATGCGGTGTTATGCTGCGTCAGGGTACAAACTCTATGTATGCCTCTGCGTATGGAGGTCTGTTGAATTCCTAAATTGGACACCTGCATGCTCTATTCAGAAAGTGGGTTTTTAGGTTTTTGGACCCTGACTGAGTGACCGACACCGATATGCGTTATGCACAAGCGATGATCAGCAAGCGTGAGATCTCGCCATCTTATTATCTTTCTTGGTAGCTAGCACAGACCACTTCCCCAATCGCAAAAGGAGGCGGAGATCAAGGTTCGATTCCCATCAGTCATAGGGCGCCGCGATCGTGACCGTGTTATTATCCAAGAGATCTGTCGACGGGTGCTTCCTTCCTTGGAAAACGGCAATCTTGAACGTGGGGACTTGGACGTGAGATAATAGGGGGGCTACTGGGGCCACTGTTGTCCCCTGATCTTCACCAAAGCAAACCTCACTAAGCGACCAGGAAACCCCTGGTGCAACTTACACAGAGACTTGGGATTCGGAAAGTTCGGAAGACATTACTCTACGTTCTCGTTTCTGCAGGTGGGAAACGGAGGATTACAATGTTTCCTCGGTGTCGGATCGTCTGTGCAATAATCAACCGGTCCACAATCCTGCAAGTAGCTTCTCACATGGACGTTCGAATCCCTGGAACTGTCACACAAGAATACGATGTCGACAGCTATGCCACTTGGCCCAGGTCCGTTTGTAGCTATCGAGAATGAGGAATGGGACATGTACCAGGAGGACGTGGGTAGCACCAATGCTCATGTGGCCCGGCCCTTCTTCACCGCCCGGCGGCCAAATTGCCAATTTACGAAGCATACAGAGACCTTGATCCGAAATATCTCAAGCACGATTTTATTGTTCGTCTATACTGCAAGGCTGCGCTTCTATGTAGTTTCATGTGTTTGGAGATGCACATGTGCAACCTCTGCATGGAGCCTAGAGCAGCGGGGTTTTTCCGTACGTCATTGGACACAGCAAGCAGTATTAGCAGTATAGGAAACCAAACGCGCCATTTACCCAGTCCCCACGGGCGCGCTCAAAACGAGAAAGGGTAACCAAGCAGCATAGGCCGCCCCCTTCACCAGCGCGTCGTTTTCGCAGAAAGCAAATTACCGCCTTGCGCTTATTTAAAAATTCCACCATTTACTCTCTGCAATGGAAGCAGGTAAAGGCCTTTCATCGATGCAGAATTTTCCTTTACTTTTTTCGACAATATAAAAATTCATGTGCATGGACTCAACTGTGACTGCTAGGTAGCGACCATCACCAACAACCACCGCATACAGAATCAACTGCAGATACGGAGTCGCACCTTGATCATCCGCTGCTTTTGCCCTTTTGCGCAAATTTCCCGCGTTGCTCAATCTGCGGGTACTACTACGACCTTTTGGCCAACGTCGCCTCGGCGAGATACATCTGGGACATTACCACGCACCACCAAAACCCACCTGGCTTGCATTCAAAAACCAATCCGTCCCTCATAAAAGAGACGCACTTCAGGCAAACCACCCAACCGAGGGATAGCAAACCCAAAGAAAAAAAAATGGCCATCGCAAAACCCTCAACAACCCTCCCCCACCGCCAACAATCCCACCACCTCACAGTCCCCACTACCACCTCCTCTTCCTCAGCACCCAGCATATCCGCCTCCCCCCTCTTTAGCGCAAGCACACACGACATAGCCATGCTGCACGACATCCACAGTCTCCTCGACAAACTCTTCATCCGCAACCGGAACCAGCACCGCCGCAGCACGTGGTGGAAAGCTCTCCACGGCTTCCGGAAGCAGATGGCGCTGCTGCTGGGTGAGCTGGAAGCTAAAGAATTAAGGGAGTACGAGAGACGGCAGAGGGTGGAGGCGAGACTGAGGTTTTGGGATGAGAGGGGGGAGGTGCATGCGTGGTATTAGTATGTTTTCTTCTCTGTTTCTTTTTCAAACATTTGGCGGTGTTGCTTGCACTTGCGCAATCGTGCTATCTGAGATCTAGGATAACTAATGCTAACTGTTTTGGAATAGTCAATTCAGTCAGCTCGTAGCTGTGGGCCCTTTCTCCATGCTCGGCCTCGTCATGATGGCGTCGGTTGCGCGCGTATGCCGCATCACAGGTATTACATCCGTGTACGAGCAGATTGCCTCTGCAGAGGTCAAGGGTGTGCTGGATGCGAGTGATGGGCTGGGCTTGGCAGGTCAATTTGAGGGTGTGCTGGGTGGCGGGGGCGAGTGCGATGAGGGTGTTGTTATTGCGAGGGAGGATGAAGACTAGATTCGACGGGGGGAGTTTGTCGTCTTGATGCGGTGGTGGGCAATATGAATTGATACCAAGTAGCCCTGGCCTAGCTACATACCTAGTTCAAGCGTTTGTAATTATTTGATTTTACATACTATGCAACAACGTGGACACGACTAGTAATAACTCAATACCACCTATCTAATACCAAATCTCGATCCCAGAGTGCCGAATCGATCCTTGCCTTCCACCTTTGGACTCTGCGCCGCAACTTGCGCGCCCTCCTGCACCTTCTCAAGTAAAATGGCACCCTTGATTTGGTCTACCTTGCTGTACTTTTTATTCCTCTGCGCAATGTCGAAGAATTCTTCGGAATTGTCCGTACCCATGAGCGCCACCGTCTGCGTCAGTTCGTCCAAGTTTTCCATGAGAATCGGGTTGTTCAGCGAACTGACGAATTGCGATAGGAAAGCCGTGTCGGCGGCGAGGGTGGCCACTGCGGCAGGAGAGATGCGCTTGATATGTTGTGCAAGAGGCAGATCGAGGATAGCAGTTGAGGCGTGGGAGAGCGCATCAAAGTAGATGAATTCTTTGATGTCCATGGGAAGGGCGAGAAGAACCGACGACATGATGTTGGAGAGGTACCTAGTCAACTCTAGCATGTACGTCGAAGGCTCCGTCTGTGGTTTCATGGCCATCCAGTCGTATTCCGCCGTCTCAATCAAGTCGTCAATCTTGCTGTTGACGAGCTCGAACACACGGTTCGATGCCGTGTTCTTGGCCTTTGCGAAGCGCTCTGTGGCAGTGAGAACGATGGGACCTGTTGCAGAGGGCGAAGAGCGGGCTTCGAACAGCAGGTCCTGGAGCTCTACGCATGCGTTTTCAAAGTGCTCCAGATTGGTGAGAATTTGTACAATCTGGCCGGGGTACTGACTGCTTAGGCGCTCGACAAGACTTCCGCACACTTTCTCGCAGAGCAGTTCGTCAAGGCTGGTACGGAGGGTCTCATCAATGACACTGCTCTTTTGGAAATAGTCGTCGCTGAAGAGGTAGATCTGATTCAGGAAGTTCCTAATGTCGATGCAGCATAGAGGGTACATTTGTGAGAATGGCAATACACATGGGAATGTGAGTTGTTCGCTGTTGGCCGGGGGGCTGTACCAAGACACGGAGACGACCTTATCGTACTCTTCGCGCGAATTGATAGGCATGGGCATGTAATCGTCGGTGTGTACGATCTCTAAGAAATCGTCGCTGAATCGTTGCTTGAGGAGAGCGGAGTACTTGGAGAAGAGGGTGAGAAGCAGGTCGTTCATTGCAGAAACTGAATATCCCCATTTCTTAAAGTCGAGTTAGTTTGGTTCGAACACGGTAGTTAAGAATACGAACCTCCATTGTGAGCATGAAAAGCGCAATGCGGCCTTTGATCTTGAGTAGCAGCTCATCGTTGTCGACTGTGTGAAGCTCTCCTGTGATGAGTTTGATTGCACTTTGACACATTGAATCCCACAACTCGTCAACCTATTCCGCATTAGCTGCAGCCAGAAAGAACAAAATTGAAAAATCCACCTACGTCAGCTTGTGATCGCAGATTGGTTGTTATTGTCATGGTTGCTTTCTCAATAATGGCGTATCCCGCAATACTCTCGAGCAAACTACTCAGGTCGCTGCACTCTTCATCAAGCAGATCAAGCTTATTGGGTATGATCAGGTCTTTCTGCGTCCGTCGATCCGAAGCATACTCGGCTCTGAACTGTTCGCTCTTACCCAGCGTCTCGTTGATATGCATGGCTTCAAACAAACGGGAGAAGTCGGTCTCATTGCCTGCCTCTTCGTTATTGAGAACATCAAATTCATCCGTCTCGTCAGCGACAAGTTCAATGGCTGAGTTCAGCTTGAACTTTGAGAAGCGCGGATCCGTCTCAGCGCGCCATTGGTTGCGCTTTCTTCGCTGCTCAGTATAGAAAAACGATACCTCGCCCAGGAACTGCGCAGACTCGCGGATGCGATACAGCCATGTACTCAAGTCGCTCTTGACTGCTTCTCGGATTTGTTCCTGGGTTTGGGGAATCGACTTCTCAATCAAGTTTGCAATCTTAAACCGACTAATCTCCTTCAAATGAATCGTCTGAAGCTCGTCAAGTGCTCTTAAAGCCGCATAGTAGTTCTTCTCTTTAAGCAGATCCTGGACCTGGTTGGCAATTCGAAGAACGTTCAAGCACGCGTTGAGTGCTTGGCTAGCTTCGTTGATGTTCTGACGCACCCCTCTGGAGTCGACTAGTGCTTTCTTGTGCTCCGCCAGCTTCTCAATACTCTCTTGGATGGACTCGTTTAGCTGCAAGATTTCACCACTCATTTGCACGGTCTGGTCCCGTATCCTGAGTAGTGAGTCGACAGAGCTCACAAAGTCTTGATGATTTGCGTTACATATTCGCTCAATCTCATGCTCACGATCATTTGCATATCGATCGAATGTGACTTGCAGTTGGTTTGAGTAACGGGGGTCCTTCATTATGGGAATCAGCTGATCAATATAGTCCGAGCCCACGGATGACTGGGATATCTGATAGGGTTAGCACGATGATGGCGACTGCAGTGCACATGGTCAGTTTTTACTTGTTTGATCGCTGTCCACAAGTCATCGTCAGGGTCAATAGCTGATGGCATGGTGGTGGCAGCCTAGAGGGGTTTGGCAGTTCGTGTCGAGTATGACTATTAAGCAGCTAGGTACTAAGAATTTACTTGAGAGAGTATCTTCAGCCTCGTTGTAAAGTTGTTGTATGTCGTTCGTATGTCGTCGTTGATTGCCTACGGGCTTGAAACGCGTACCTGGCAAGTCGGCGATGCGCCTGATACCGCACCAATCCAAATGTGATCTAATGTACTTGGCGGCATTTGGGCCCACTTTCCCCATGAGGGGCGGCAATGCTCGAGAATGCCCAAGCAAAGCGCGATGATTGCACGACATATGGCAGACATGCTGAAACTATGTTTTTTGTGTACGGAGAGCATCTAGAGTATAGTATATCATATGCAGCTAGCATGTCAGCATTTCTTACTAGAGCGAGGAGATATCGTGGATGATTGACAATATCATCGTTAGGGAATATGGCAGATTTTGATCAATCAGACGAGAGAAAGAAGAGAGAGAGTTAACTCGGGGATCCCCTATTTTTCTCTGTTATCAAGTTTATTTAACTGACATTTTGGCTTCGGAGCAGCACTCGGTTTGCTACTGGCAATCATCCCCAGTTCTACGCGCTCTGGGTGCCCCACTTTCTGGAGCGATGACGGAGTAACCCCGCCGATTTCTCAGTATTCCGATCCGGAGTCAACCAGGGAGATATAACTTTGCCCAAACTTTTTCTCTTCTTGCTTGGCAACTTCTCACAAATCATACACAATGGAAGCAATTACCAGTAGGTGCTCAATCCCAGTGCCATTGATAATACACTAATAGCTTTTACAGACAAACTTCAGAACGTCATGGGCACTGCCACTGGCCCTTACAGCGGAAAGTATGTTGGGGGAGGACAGCGCTTTCAATGTAAATTGGCTAACAACATGGCAGGACTGCCCTTTTGCTGGGTGCAGGTTTTGTGTAAGTTCAAGAAGAAACCACTGACAACTGCAACAGCTAACAGAAGCAGAACGCGACCAACCGTAGATGTTCTCGCAAAGTCTGGCGTCAAGGTCACAGTAGCATGTCGTACTTTGGAAAAGGCACAAGGTCTGGCTAAGGGCATTCCCAACACCAACGCCATTAGCGTACGGTACTCGATTTTCGCACTGTCAACTCAGCTGCTAACAATTGCTAGCTTGACGTAAACAACGCCGATGCTCTCGATGCCGAAGTCGCCAAGGTCGACGTTGTCATCTCCCTCATCCCCTACACATTCCACGCCACAGTTATCAAGTCGGCGATCCGCAAGAAGAAGAACGTTGTCACAACATCCTATGTCTCCCCCGCCATGATGGAGCTCGACGCCGAGGCAAAGGAGGCTGGTATCACAGTCATGAACGAGATTGGTGTAGACCCCGGTGTCGACCATCTCTCAGCTGTCCTTACCATCGACGAGGTTCACAAGGCTGGCGGCAAGATTCTGTCCTTCAAGTCATACTGCGGTGGTCTTCCCGCTCCAGAGGCCTCAGACAACCCTCTTGGTTACAAGTTCTCCTGGAGCTCCAGGGGTGTACTTCTCGCACTGAGAAACCAGGCAGCTTTCTACCAAGACGGCGAGGTCAAGTCGATCGAGGGTCCAGAGCTCATGGCCGAGGCAAAGCCATACTTCATCTACCCCGGTTACGCTTTTGTCGCATACCCCAACCGTGACTCCACACCCTACAAGGAGCGCTACAACATCCCAGAGGCACAAACCATCATCCGTGGTACACTGCGATACCAGGGTTTCCCAGAGTACATCAAGTGCCTTGTAGACATTGGTTTCCTGTCAGAAGACCCCAAGGACTTCCTCAAGGAGGGCGAGAAGAGCACCTGGCGCGACGCCACAGCTAAGATTGTTGGCGCTACCAGCAGCAAGGACGAAGACATCATCTGGGCTATCTCCTCACGAACGAAGTTCGCCAGCACAGAAGAGAAGGACCGCATCATCTCCGGTCTCCGCTGGATCGGTATCATCTCTGACGAGGAAATCATTCCTCGCGGAAACCCTCTAGACACTCTGTGCGCCACTCTGGAGAAGAAGATGCAGTACGAGGAGGGCGAGCGCGACATGGTCATGCTCCAGCACAGGTTCGAGATTGAGAACAAGGATGGCAGCAAGGCAGTCCGCACTTGCACACTCGTAGACTATGGTGACCCCAAGGGCTACTCGGCCATGGCCAAGTTGGTCGGTGTGCCGTGCGCGGTAGCTGTCCAGCAAGTACTTGACGGTACGCTCAGCGAGAAGGGTATCCTGGCGCCTATGACCACAGAGATCTGCAAGCCGTTGATGAAGACATTGGAGGACCAATATGGTGTGTACTTCAAGGAGAAGACCATCCCCATGTAGAGGGTGAGATGGATGTCATCAAGAAGGGGTTTGAGTGGACTGTCATGCCGACATGACTAGGTAGACATTAACACAAAACACAATCACTTGAACAAATAAATACCCCTCATGAATTACTCTTCTGAACTTTGCTGCCTGTTTTCTTTTCTGGGTATACGTTGGTATCTCTGCCGCCGTGGCATAGTCATCTATGGTGCTTATTTCAATTCTTCTCCTTGCTCCTTTATACCCTCGCTCAATCCAATCCTGCAGTCGGCGGCGCCCTTCCTCCAACCGCCTTCTTTGCTCCTCCATTCCCGCCTCCCATGCCACCTCCAAACATGCTCCCAAGCATATCGAACATGGGGTTGCCCTGTCGGGGAATCTTGATTCCAAAGTACATTTCACCAATCTGATCCAACGCCTCACCCCAATTCACGTCTTTCAAATCCCCCGCATAATGGCTCTTGAGCTGACGCCACAGACTGGGGTCTCCCCTTTCCACACTCAAAAGGAGCAGTCCCAAGAAATTCAATAATGGCAGCGAGGGGTATACGCGAAATTCCGAGGACTTTGTGGAGACGGCTTGTGTGGGTGGGTTTGGTGTCTTCTCGACGGCAGAGGTGAAGAGGAGGAAGAATTTGTTGGCGGCTCGTAGGTTGCCGGTGAGGAGGTAGGGAAGAACGCCGCGGGCACAGTATAGGGGCGCTGTGTGCGGTGCGTCTGATGTATACCAGTTGTAGTGTAGGGAAGCGAGGGTCGCGGCGCTGTCTTGGGTGCCGAGCAGGAGGTGGCGTTCTGCTTCGTAGGGTTCGAGTTCTGTGGATTGAAAGTTAGCATGGGCTTTGGGTATCTCTTTCCTTGATATTCTCTTCTATGGTTTCTCTTCTTCTTGCTCGCGACGAAGCAGGCTAGTGTTGGTGACCGGGAAAACTCACCCTCAGCATACAGACCCCCCGCAACATGATGTAACTCTGGGTCGCCTGCAGGAAAGTCTCCAAATCGCGAACTCCACACTATCATCTCGCCCACAAATTTCTTCTTGGTAGGTTCATCCTTGGGGAACGCTCGCAGAAGCGTTAACAACCGCCCTTTGCTTTCAGCATCTACTTTGATTTCCCCCTTGTTGTACACGTCGAGTAGGAAGATGCAGAGGTCGCCGCCGGAGCCGCCTTGGCCAGCTTGTAGCAGCGATTGTGCGCCTTGGAAGAGGATCGAGGTTGCGTTGGGCCAGTCGCTGGCTTTTGTGTAGCGCGAGGCGATTACGCGGAGTTGTTGGTGGGCTTCGTAGTACTGACCCTCTGCGATTCTATGGTGGGGTCAGCTTGACAGCGTTATTTAGGGGAGTTTCGCGAGGCATTCACTTTTCTCTTTGTCGCGCGAGCGTCTTTTCAATCTTCGAGGCCATGGTTGGCAGAGTAAGGGGGGTGAGTGGTTGGGATGAGGGTAAGTTTGGGGAGCGGACGTTGGCTGTTTGAGCTGTTGGTTGAGTTGGCTCACAAGCAATGACGCAGCGCTACGGGCGGTTGCTGGACCCCACATCTGCCTCGACTTGAGCTCGATTGCCAGCGCGCTTGTTCTACAACACCTACTACTCTATCTCTTTCCATGGCCACAAATTAATACCCCGTCCAAAATGCAAATTTAACACTAATGTAGTGAAAACCTCCATAGATAGTTTTTCGCTTTTTATCTAGACAAACTCCAGAAACAATCGGAACAGATGGAGGACCGATTGACGTATGATGGTACTATATTCTTGTTTGTGATCGAGATTCCTCAAGAGCTTTGCAGGGCGCAGCTGTATGGCCGACGGCTCGCTGACGGGAACTTTCAAACATTTGGTGTCGCCTGGTTCAATGCGTCTCATCTTCAGCCGCCTTGCCAATATAATGCCCAGCGTATTAAAACACCATTACCCGTGCCTATCGCATTGATTATTATCTGCTTGGACACGACCACAGACACGCAATGACTTTCGTTTCTTTTGTACTAGCTGCCCCTAGCATACACAATCTCTAGTTCATATACGCCCAAGTACCTGGGCTAGCCTGAAAACATGAAAGTGGTTGCACTTAACGCAGAAATTTGCAAAAAGCCATTTAGTTCTTCGTGCAGGCTTTGCATTCATCTCTTCTCCATCTCAATTTAACTTAATGCCTGCCTTCGTGTTCTGTTTTCATTGTACCACCACCACCGGCAAAAAGATAAGTGGTCACCTTTCAGACTGAACGACGGGACGAATATCCACCACCTGGATTTTAGCACAAAAATAATATCCTCTAATGTTACATGCGATGACCGGGACTCGAACCCGGAGCCCAGGCAAGCTCTGTTGTGAGTATGGGAAGCCTGGATTTTACCCTTAAACCATCATCGCTTTCAGTCTGGCGAAGAATTAGAAAATTTCCAAAATTTTCAAAATATAAACTTCATTATTAAGTTCAACCTCGCAGGAACAAGTGAATTGGCAACAAGGTTCGAAGGTGTGTACGCCCAGCTTTCAATCGAGAACGATCGAGAGCGGGGCTGTCGTATGACGAGAGCGGGGTTGATGTGTGTATTTGGTTAGTAATCTCTAAGTGCGAATACATTCGAAACTACTACAATCCAACGACCTAATGCGTACGAAATAGTAAAAGTGTAATACTTCGTTGGTGTATCATAATACTAAATACTGTCTCCTCTGGAAGAAGTGGGTTAACGGCAGATGCTTCCACTTAGCCATATCTTGTTCTCAAACATAGGGAAAGAATATATTTCTCAGTATTACTGTTAACTAGTCTAAAATATTCTCTATCGGAAGAAATATGGTATTGTTGTTTCGTTTTGGTTTACATATAAATTTATGATCTCCATTAGTTCAAGAAATAGCTATAGCGACCACAACATCTACAGCAAGAAGAGCAAGTAAAGCACCCATCATTCATAGTGTTAGGTAGACAGAAGGCTTAAGTTGACGAAATGAAGAATGACTTTTGTTGATGAAATTGATTTTTGAACTTCCCCAAACCCCTATCCCTGCCCCACGATTGCTGGCCTTCTATCTCCTCGACTACTGCTTAGGAGTTCTACGATGCACTACGGGGTGCTGGAATATAGGACAGCGCTCCCTAGCAGGACAGTTCGCAGAACAAATCTCGCCAGCAGGGCAGCGGGAAGGGCACATGACGCCTCCGAGGCAGTCCTCCTCTCAAGAACATTGGTTCATTGCGGGGCACTGGCGCTGTGCAGTGCATTGCAGCCCAGCAGTGCATGGCCGAACTGCTGGGCATGCAAACCCGGCCGGACATGCAGGAGCTGCCTGTACGGGTTGCTGGGCGCCACCAGCGGCCTGGAGCAGCGCACGAAACGTCGGACACTGGCTCCTTGTGTGGCCTCGACCACCACAGCTGAATTCAAACTGTTAGTAACAACGAACATAACATGCAGGCAGCAGTCAACATACCTCCAACACACCTTGCCACCTTTGAGGCGCCTACCACCACCCCTCCTCCTCTTCCGTTGTTACTCGTCCATGAATGAAAGAATCTCTACACACGACAATATTAGCTATGTTGTTCAAAAAAAACGATACTCAGTTTATGGGGTGCACTTACTACTTCGCGACCGTTGATGTACAAGTGGAATGCTATAATAGCTGTTAGCAGATGGCCGCAAAGATTCAGAATGAAACGTTGTTTCTCAGTGATAGAATTAGATGGAATATGTGGAAATATGTGTTTGAAAACAACAATGGTGTTGATTGTTGCAAATCACCATCGCAGTGAGTTGCAGTGTAGTTGAGACCGTAACAGGAAGGAGCAACAGTCAACATGATAACAGAACGCAATGAACGCAGCGAACGCAGCTGAATTTCTACCAGGTGAGAGAAATGAGAAGAGGGGTACACTTACTGTCTGGCATAATGTTGGGTCTGAAGGAGAAAAAGAGAGGAAACAGGTCCCTAGGCAAGTTTTGAGTGACTTCACTTTTTTCTATCTGTTCGCTGTATAGCGTATCAGATTAAATATCTCAGAAAAGAATGGCAGGCCACACCCTAACCTGCCGGAATTGGGTATCAAAAAAACGACTTTGCAGTCAAAGTAAAAGGATTCGAATAAGAAGCATCAGCAAGACCCTACCTTTAAACCCTGAAAAATCGATTGGTAATACTACTAAAAATATGTACACCTCTTAATGGGTAACTATATACGTACCTATTAGGCACATCTCCATTGGGTACGACAATTAAATCAATTATGGTTGCGATGAGACAGCAGCACACCACCCTGGGCAAGTTTTATACTGCGATAGAACAGTCAGTACCACATGTGCTAGCGCCATCAAAGCTTGTGACCTCGAGGCCACAGGTGTGTAAACAGAGCAGAATTTTCTTCGGAAAGAGCAGGAGCACTCACATATCCAACCTCAAGCAGGTTGACGACGGGGTTACCACATCGCACATGTAGAGACCCTCTGACAGGAGAGTGAAGCTGCAATCTTGTTCAAGGGCGTGTGAGATCAAGATAGATAGGAGAAGGCAACGTGGGGTGACCCCATAGCAAGAAGTGAGAACAGAATTGATAGCACTTGACCAGAGTAGTGGGCAGGGCAGCGTCCCGAGCACGGTCATAAGTAATCATGTCAAGTGTTTTGTACTAGAGAAATGGCACATATGGTATCTCAACTTCGAATTCTCTCTATGGCACTATGTTATTCTGACACTCAACACATCATGCCCACATCCCATGCATGTTGCAGCGTCGGGGAACGGCGTCCCGGGACTCAGGTCAAGTGAGGCTGTGCATGTGGGGCATCGGCTGGGGTGCATATGCGTTCGGCCGCTCCCGACCTTTTGAAGCTTGTCTTGTCGTCTGCATGTTGATTTGCAGGTTCAAGTCCCTGCAACTTCGTGGATGGTCATGATAAGGCGACGATGATCCGTTCTCTAGGAACGTCTCCGCTCTTCGGAAAATCGAGTCCTGCGCCGCACAATGTTGGATCGGCACAAGGGCATCCTCCGTACACGTATTGTCTCATTTACAAGACTGACGCTATTCTATCTCGTGTGGCTCTTGCTGTGTCTTAGGTGTCCTCACACAGGCAAAACGGCGGTGATAAAGGCCTCCAAGCCCCGCTCAAACAATTCATTGGCAACTCCAATGCCCCCCGGGTGTTCGACGGGGGCTAGCGGGTTCTTGACAACATACTCGACGTAGAGGTTGGCCCAGATCTGGTGCAGGTACTGGCGCAAGTTGATGACCTTTGTGTCGGTGAGCATGACAAACTTCATGCGTGTGGGTGTCTCGTAGTAGTGGAGCTTGTATTCGCCAGTTCGGTAAGAGAGAAAGGTATCGTCGGCGCCGCCGAGCTTGGTGACAAAATTGCGGAGGGAGAAGACCAGGCCAAAGACTAGCTTCTCGTCGTCCGAGTGCGACATGCCCTTGCGGACGGCAGCCACGACGTCGCCATTGCTTACAATCGAGTTGCCAGACGTCGGGCGGGCGGCGGCAGCGGCAGCGGTGGTGGGTTTGGACGAGGAAGAGGTTGGGCGTGCAGGAGTCCAGCGGCGCGAGTAGATGCACTCGGCTGCAATTGTGCGGTCAGCAGCGTGCACGGCGGGCTTGTCATGGGCTCCGATCGCCGGACCACGATAACGACTTACTGTGCCGATCGAATATGTAGAAGCTATAGAGGACCATTGCGATTGGGAATAAGGAGAGGCAAGGCGTCGTCAGGCTGCAGCAGGTGAGGGTGACTTGGGAGGGATGCGGGGTTGGGGTGTGGTGTTGTCGATGTACTATAGAAGCGACGATTCGGGGTGTGCAGCCGGCGCCAATGGGTTCTGAACAATCAGACACGATAGCTGACAATCAAGACGGATATGTCAAAGGCGCGATGGAGCGAGTCGGGGAGGATGCCGCCAAGGGAAGCGGGCGGGTGGGCCTGGGCCTAATGGTAATAGCGGGCGTGGGGACGAGGATGGTGATTGATTGCTCGACGACGGGCTGATGAGGCTGAAAGAAGTGTACAGCGAGAGAAAGGGCCCCTCTCTGCTGCGGGCTGGCCGTCCCGGGTTTCCCCATATTATTTCTCCTGCGACCTGCGACCTGCGACCTGCTATCTGCTAGCCCGCCCCCAGTTTCAATCTTAACTCTCCATACTACTGCTACTGCACTTGGATGCCATAATCTTTCCCCCTGGCTGGCCCTCACCCTGTGTAGTCATGTCCCATTCGCCCGACCCGCTGAGCAAACGCCCATCCGAACCTGATCTCAATCTCTACACTTCACAACCTGCCCTCGCCGTTCCCGCCCTCAGCGACGCCGGTCGACCTCCGCCAGTCAAGTACATGTGTGTGTTGCTGCCTGCCGGGCTGCCTTTACTACCCCATAACCCCACTAAGATGCTGATGCCGTCAAGGTCAACGCCCGCATACCAGAGCCCGCTACGACACTACACCCGCGCAGCCTCGTCCACCAGACGTGTAAAGGTGCGATTCCCTCCTCCCAGCTGAGTCCCGCTCGAGTGCACCACCCGGCGCCTGTCCAATCGGCCCTCCATCACGTCATAGGCCTGATGCAGGCGCTGGCGAAGCTACCTGAACTTGGCACCAGCTTCTGCACTCCAATGGCTGGCAGCATTCACCCCGAGAAGCCAACCAACAAATCTTGTCGTGTTTAGAGCCTAACAGGCTGCAGGAAACGCTGAATGCGCGGTCCGAATACAGCAATAGCGAAGATGACGGCAGCGCCCAACATCGCATCAACCAATACTTGGTGAAGCAAGAGATTGGCCGCGGCTCATTTGGTGCTGTTCACCTCGCTGTAGACCAGTATGGTCAAGAATATGTGAGGATACCAGCTCTCTAGACACCGCTGGTCATGGAGGAGAGGCGCAATGCCTGATATAATGATGCGGGTAACCTGGGCGGTTCACACAATGACTGTAGCTGACGACACATGGTGTAGGCTGTCAAGGAGTTCTCCAAATCGCGACTGCGAAAACGGGCACAATCCAACCTCCTCCGCCGGCCAGCCGCGAGTAAACGAATGCGCGCGCTGCCAGCCGGCATAGGCTTCAATTCTCCGCTCCACCGACATTCGACAACCGAAGAAAACAATGCCTTTGAACTCATCAAGGAAGAGATTGCCATCATGAAGAAGCTGCACCATCCGAACCTCGTCACATTGATCGAAGTGCTCGACGACCCTGAAGAGGATTCGCTCTACATGGTCATGGAGATGTGCAAGAAGGGTGTTGTTATGCAAGTCGGCCTCGAGGAGCGTGCCGACCCCTACAGCGAGGAGCAATGTCGGTGTTGGTTCAGAGACATGATATTGGGCTTAGAGTACCGTACGTCTGGTCTGCCATGTGCTTCCGTCTAGCGCTAACCACCGCCAGTACATGCCCAGGGCATCATCCATCGAGACATTAAGCCCGACAATTGCCTGGTCACCGAAGAGGATGTGCTGAAAATTGTCGATTTTGGTGTTTCAGAGATGTTCGATAAAGACGGCGAGATGAAGACAGCTAAATCTGCTGGCTCACCTGCTTTTATGCCACCAGAACTGTGCGTAGCCAAGCACGGCCAGGTTTCAGGAAGAGCTGCAGATATATGGTCAATGGGATGCACCCTATACTGTCTCCTCTTTGGGCGGATACCCTTTGAAAAACGCGGTATGATCGAGCTATACCAATCGATACGAATGGACCCACTAGAGTTTGAAACGGAATGCGGCGACGACATCAAGGACTTGCTAACGAGGCTTATGGAAAAAGATCCAAAGAAGAGGATAACTATGGAGGAAATCAGGGTGAGTTGGAACGCTAAATCCCAAGACATCAGAGCTGACACTTGCAGGAACATCCATGGGTCACACGAAACGGAACGGACCCTTTATTAGCAAAGTGTGAGAATGTCGCCGTGATTATTGAACCACCTACAGACGAGGAAGTCAACGCTGCCATTACCGGCAACATGGGTCACCTTGTGACAGTGGTAGGTGCATGTCTTCCCTTTGCATCCGTGCAATTCTTACATCCATCCCAAGCTAACAACAGACAGGTACGTGCAGTAAAGCGCTTCAAGCAATTGTTATTCAGGCGACGACCAGATCGGATAGAAAGTATACTAGGAAGTGCCTCGCGCATTGTGCAGCCTCCCTTATCCATGCGGCCATCAGCGTTGCGCAAATCAAAATCACAGGACACGCATGATCGACGGCCAGTTGAGGCTGCGCTTTCCGCGGAGGGTGTGCATCACCCTATCAAGGTCGACGACAAAGGACAAAGAGTGCCGAACCATATGGACGACATGGCATATTCCAAACCTGGTTTCCGTACAGAAGCAGGCAAGCGCCCCAGTAGACTCACTGCCAGCGGCAGTCCGACTATGCAAACTTCTCCAGGTTTTTCAGACGGCAAAGTTTCACGCGAAAATCTGGCGATTCGACCCGGTCCAATTCAATCCATCTCCAGCCCAACCGGAACCATTCCGTCGGTATCTTCACCAACCACACCCATTGGCAAAGGACATGCGCATAACCCGTTAGAGGACACGCTCTTCCTCAACATTGGAACTGGTGAGAACTTTCAGCCGGAGCCTGAAGACGGATGTATAGTTTCTGAATCTCCGTCTAATGTGGATATAAATGTCTACGAAGCCGCTTACGAAGAAGAGGTCCAGCGCATCATTGCACAGCGTCGTGACCAGCACAACAACGCAAACCGCCGCCCAACTCTCTACCTCACCCGACGCGTTGAGAATGTCAAGTCGATCCGTGATAGCGACGCGATATTTGACGAAGGCCAAGATCTCCGCCAGAACATCAAGGTTAGTCTGAAGAGCTTTGTTACCAAGACCAAGGAAGACATTGAGGCGCGAGGCGAGTTGCAGAAGCTTCAAGAAGGTAAAGAGGGCAAGCTCAGCAGAACGATGCGTAATGTGAGAGAAGCCAAGCGACTGGTTGAAGAGGCGCGAGAACGTGTCAAGACGGAAGAGCGGGAGCGAGAGAGGGAGCGAAGTCGGAGCGCAACGCCTCTTGCTCGAAACAACAGCTCGGGCAATGCGGTCAGCCGCAGTGGGACTCCTGTTCAGAGCTGAGGTTGCCGAGAAAGAAAGCTTTGAACATTGCACGGCACTTTGTACATATATTTACGGTCAATATATGCCTGGAGCGTTGGACAAACACATAAAATCCTCTTTTCTGATTGGAAGCACAGACGAGATTGCGTGACAACGGTCTTGCATACATCTCCTGCGCCACACCAATCTGCCCTTTTTTGCTGCGGCGGACGTTTTCATTGCCAAATGTAGTTGAGGCGTATCATGAGGGGAGCTGAGGGGAGCCAGGGTCATCCCAGCACTAGGGGTTCATGTTCCTGGGCCTAGCCGTTTTCCGGCACTAGTGCCGTATACTCAGCCTCCCCTCCCCCCCACTCACTCCAAAGATGTAGGATTCTAACCGTTTTATGTCCATGTCAAGGTTGTAGTACAGCAATTGAGAGTTATCATCATTTTTTTCCCTATTGTACCGCGTCTGGTTGAATAGGCAGGTGTGTGTGTGATTGGGGGCTCGAGTGACGTGTACAATGCTGGTATGTAACTAGGCAAACAGACGTTTTACTTGAAGCGTAGATAGTTGACTGGCTAATCGGGGGAAATTTGCATCCGTTTGATTCGGCCCGTTATCAAAAAGTGACATGCTGCTTGGTGTATACCAAGACAATTTTCCGCTTTTTCAGGCGTCCTGCGCTGGGGAGGGGGGAGGGGGGCTGTATTTAGAAACCGGGTAACTACTGTATACATAACTTCATGTTTCCCTTTTTTTCTTAGTTTTTTTTGTTGTACCTTTGAGTTTAAAATCGAGTTTTTTTTTGTTTATTTGTTTGTACTACGAAAGCTAAGCTTGGTATTGCAGTCTAACACTGTAATTGAAACCTGGCGGTGTGTGCGTTTGACCTATCGTGGATTCAATATCCCCCCCCGGGTAGACCATGGACACAAGCGGTAGTAACAGCGTGGGGAAGAAAGAGGGGGAGAGACTCGTCACCACATCCGTGCCATCAACCGACAACCTCGTCCCCAACGATGCCATGTACGCGCCTCAAGAAAAGACACAGAACACCGGTACCAAATCCTCCATGTGGAAATGGACCTCCAAGACAAGAAACCACATCTTTGCCTTCGTGCTCGTTCTCGCCACGGCAGTCGTCCCGCTCATTATCTTGGGAGAAGCTACATCCCCGCCCTACGCCGGCCGCGCCCCCTTTTCGTCACTCTTCCTCGACAAAGTGATATCCTGCGGCGGCAGCATCGGCGGACGCCCCGCAAACTCGACAATCACAGGTATGGAAAAGGTCTTTGCGCTCGACATGACGTTTGGGCAGTACACCTTCTCGCAGGTCAAAGCCATCGACATTGCGTGGGATACAGGTATGGGACGCGGTCTGCAGCTGGTGGCGTCGTGGGCGTCGTATATCATCTTTTGTGATGCGCTGCTCAAGTCGATCGAGAGGCATCCCGCGTCGTTTATTACGTTTCAGCGGATAGCGCTCGAGGGGCCTAGGTTAAAGTCGATTGCGACGTTGATGGTTGAGTTGTGGGCGGCAAAGAGTAAGAGGACGAAGGCGTTGTTTTTCTACATGCTGTGGTCTACGGCGTACATTATCACCTTGCCGATTGTGATTGGGGCCATGACGGGATATGATGCTACGGCTGTAGCGTGGATTGATATCGAGGGCGTGGATAATATTGTGCCGGCGTCGTCGGTGAAGGAGACGTGGATGGTCAAGGGGACGGTGAATGAGACATTCGTGCAGCCAGCGTGTGTGGATAAGCAGTTGAAAGACAAGTATTCGTGGATTGTGGGTCAGCGGCTCGAAACGTGTAAGTACGGGCTGATGCGAGATGAGCTGATTTAGTGACGGGGGCGGCTAACAGATGTTTGTTGTAGGTGACTGTCAGATTCCCAACGGAACAAGGTACTCTGGCAAAGAACTCGAGAGCATGAGGCTCACTAGTCAGTTCTACGAAGTCATGAGCTTGGGCTGTAAATTCAAACACACCATCAACACCATGTTGTCAGCACTGCTAACTGCGTAATACTAGGTATCTACAACTTCACGTCCAACGCGCAGACATGGGAAGGCGTGGACTTCCCCGACCGCAACTCACGTAAAACCTACTCGTGCAACTCCACTATGCCCGTAACCATAAAGGACAAGACGTACGACGCACAGGACCTCGTCACAAGCTCCGGCTACTGCCACCAGTCCATCGCCTACAACGAGACTTATCTCGAGGGAAAATCGCGCTGTCTGCCCGACACTGCGCATCCGTCTTACGAATGGGGTTTCTCAACACTGCTGAGCGGTCTCTTTGTCTTTGTGACTTCAGCGTGGGTGATAAGCATGTACATACTATGGCTGGATTCGCAGCGCGACAGTACGCTCGTGCAGATGGGATACCGCATGACGCCTCTACGTGCGGCGTTTGCGATGGCGAGAGCAGCGAGGCAGCGTACGGGATACTGCGAGAAGCAGCTTGTAAGAGCGGATACGGAGGCGCTGGAGAAGGAGTTGTATGGACACAAGGGAAGCAGGAAGACAAAGGTTGACTTTGGGGTTTTTGTGGAGGATACAGAGGGGGGTGAGGAGATGCGGGGGTGGCAGAAGGTGGGAGATGGCAGGAACAGCCATTGAGAATGGGCATGAAGGATATTGTTGTTAGACTGTACAATACTACATGTCCACAAATACTGTCTGTGTGTATGAGTATCCAACACTTTCTAACCAATCACGTCCATCAACCGTTTTTGTACATATGCAGGCAAATCGGCCCACTGTGTACTTGTACGCGGGCCAGATTTTTTACCCGCTCCACCAGCTTCCCCGATTTGCCCGTACCTTTCGCGTGCGACTGCCGTGAGCAGAAAAGTGAGGCAAGCTTTTTTTAGGAACGGACGGGTGTCACAGTACACAAATGGTAAAAGATGGGCCAAGGGCTTGGGTGTCTTGGAACAGGGTGCAGGCAATGTTAAACGCGGAGGATGGGATGGGATGGGATGGGATGGGATCGGGCAATTGTAGTGGGGGCCGGTGGCTACGTGTGAGTTGGATGTGAAAGTAGCTCAGGGACCGTGGCTTGTACGGTGTGTACATGCACACGACGGATGAGAAGCAGAAGGAAAAAACCTGTTGAGTGGTTTGTATGTTTGTCATCACATCACAGAAGGAGCGATTGGTACAAAACAACCGGTGCTCGAGCAGCAAAATCGAGCCAAATATCAAGGCCAAGCAAGTGCAGAAGTGCCTCATGCCGAGGCAAAAATAAAATGCATCCATCTGCCATCTGCCATCTGCTAGCTGTGTCTCGGTCGTGGAAGCTAGACGTGGCCATGACCAATTTTTTTCCTCTCTCCGTCACGCTGGCCACGGCTGACAAACGCATACGAGGTCCTTAGTGTAGGTGAGTAGTGTATGTATGTATTTGACTATGTGGCATTGGCTGGGCCGGGCCGGTCACGTTGCAGCGCCCCAAGGCAACGGTTCTTACCAACGCGACGGAAGCATCAACAGGGCCGTGCACAAGGCAAGCTGCATGCAAGCACTCCCGTCGCCCGTCGCAACTTGTTAAAAAGGCCGTGCAGAGTTGCCAGGCCCCAGTGTGAGCGTGTTGAGTGGTCAGACCATGGTGGTGGGGTGGCCGACAGTTGTTTATTACCAACGGTTTTGTCGTGTGGACAGGCCCTGCGAGCTGGGGGGCTGGCACTGGGTTGTGTAGCGAAATGCGGTGTGCATGTCGACGCCCTTGAGATGCGGGGGTTGCTAATCGTACAGCCCCTCGCTTGGCTGGGCGTGTGCCATGGCAATGGCGGATGCTTGGACGAGGGCGACGCCGTGTTTGTCTGCATGGCTGCATGGCTGCATGGCTGCATGGCTGCATGTAAGTAGGAAGACTAATGGAGACAGAGGGAGAGTATCAGAGAACAGGGTCTCGTATGTTGGTGTAGACACGGGCGTGGGTTGGAAGCAGACTTGCGCTTCTTGTAACTAACTAGCCTAATTTGTAATATGTAAACAAGTGGCATTGTCGGCACGTCATATGTACTGTAGATCCAGGCCGAATTACTACCAACAGCTATCGGACAAACTCGGAATTCACGACGGGATGATTGTGCCTGAATTCCAGTGGTGGCTGGCCGTGGTTGTGATGATGATGGTGATGATGATGATGATGATGATAGTAACGATGATGGTGACATACCCCGGGACGGCCAGGTGGGAAGGGCAGTGGCGTCACTGTGCTTGCGTGATTACTTGTGTCTATGTACATATGTACCTACCGTCTGATAACCTGGACAAATGCGACTGGCTCTCTTGATCCTTAATTGCGTGGGCCAGCCCAGCACTTGGCAGAGTTTTCGGTGGACCATCCGCGGTCCACAAGTATGAGGTTAACAATGCGTCGCCTTTGACCTCAGATGCCGTCGGCTGGCAACAGCTGTCGGTCAGGGCCCAGCGACCCAGTGACTTGGCCAATGGTCCATAGTCCATGGCCCGCAGCTGGCGGCCGCTGCAAATCTCACGCAGCGGTCAACTGGCTCTCGCAATCACTGGCGTACAAAATAAAACATGTCGAAAATCCCGCAAGCCAGGCCTCATCTAGAAAGCCGTACACGACGGCCGGGCAGTGCACCATCAACCATGGGTGTACCCCTCGCACAAAGGGCAATATTTGACCTGCCACCCATCCCAGCTCTTCCACTTGGTTTTTCTTTCTTCTTGTGAAAAAGTTTTGCCGAGCCTGCTACTTGCTGCGCTACTGGCTTTGTTGGTGCGCAAGTCGCGGATCCGTCGGCCAACGTCCACCCATCGACATCATCTGCTGCACAGCCACCCTGTGTGGCTCCCCCAGTGCCCCGTGAGAGTGCAAGCAAATTCAAAGACGCCCTTGACCTCCCACGCCTCAAGACGCCCTTGATCATCGCCTTGCTTCATACGTAGACTACTTCTATTCATACGCCTACCCCGGCTGCCCGACCACGCCGCCACCGTGTTTTTGCGCCTCCAGACCCCTCACGCGCACCTGCCGAACCTTGTCTCCACCACCCACCGTCGACGAAGATACGCCGTTTTGACCGCAGTGCAATAATTCACCCTGGGCTTCTTGCCCGCGAGACACCTGCGTCTCCAAACCACTGCTACCACTACTGCTTCTGCTGCTACTATTCCCACTACTACCACTACTACCGCCGCCACTGCTGCCAGTGAGCTCCCGCCTGCCCCCACCCTTTACCTCCAAGCCGTGTCGCGCATTCCTCGTCTACACCAGACAAAGCGGTACCACCATGGCGGCCCCGACCACCACAAACCCGCCCACCACCACGGCCAAACCCGCCGGCTCTCCCCCGGTCTCCGCCTCGACTGCATCGTCGGTCCACTCCCAACCAGATACACTTCTGGCTCTTCCACAAGCCGTTAGCCCTGTCGCTCCAGCGAGTCCTACTCCCACTGTGAGCCACTCCGGCGCAAGTAGTGTGCAAGCTGCCGCCGAAGCGCTACTCAAACCCAAGAAGCCAACCATGACGTCGCGCATCAGCAGCATGATGGGTATCAAGAGCTCTACCAATGCCGACAAGAACGGCGACGTCAAAGCCACCAATGGCGCGACTGCCAACGGCCGTCCCCCACCAGTGCGCCAGGGCTCCATCAACAGGAAGGATGTGCCTACGGCGCCTTACAAGCGCTTCTGGCTCAACGAAGACGGCTCCCATGAACACCACCTCAAGGTTGCCAAGCGCCAGGAGAAACTCTCAGACATGTTCCAGAACTTGATGCTGGGCAAGAAGAAGGGCGAAGCTCCAGAGGACCAGCCACTGAGTCTCATGTCCAACTGGGTCGACGTTATGCGCAACGAAAAGGAGAAGCTTGCAGAGCAAAAGAATGCTGTCAACGCTCTCCCCCAAACGTTGGTCCAAAAGTACGGCAAGTGCCAAGAGGTCGTCGGTCGCGGAGCCTTTGGTATTGTTCGTGTCGCACACAAGCAGGACCCTAAGGACTCAAAACGAGAGCAACTATATGCCGTCAAGGAGTTCAAGCAAAGACCTGGCGAGTCTGCCAAGCGATATCAAAAGCGCCTGACATCTGAATTTTGTATATCCTCCTCTATGCAACATCCCAACGTCATCACCACGCTCGATTTGCTCCAGGACGAAAAGGGCACATACTGTGAAGTAATGGAGTATTGCTCTGGTGGCGATTTGTATACCCTGGTCCTCGCAGCCGGCCAGCTCGAAGTTGCCGAGGCAGACTGCTTCTTCAAGCAGCTGATGCGCGGTGTAGAGTACATGCATGAAATGGGTGTCGCACATCGCGATTTAAAACCTGAAAACCTGCTCTTGACAACCCATGGCTCCATCAAAATCACCGACTTTGGTAACGGCGAGTGCTTCCGTATGGCTTGGGAGAAGGAAGCGCACATGACTGCTGGCCTGTGCGGCTCAGCTCCTTACATTGCGCCTGAAGAATACGTTGACAAGGAATTTGACCCTCGCGCTGTCGACGTGTGGGCTTGTGGTATCATCTACATGGCCATGAGGACGGGCCGCCACTTGTGGCGTGTTGCTCAAAAAGGTGAAGACGAGTTTTTCGACCGCTACCTCGAGGATCGAAAACAAGAGGAGGGATACCGACCTATTGAGGTTTTGCGAAGAGTGAGTTATGCTTTTTTACAAATCGCTACTAGGAATAGCTGCTAACACACATCTAGCGACAATGTCGTAATGTCATCTACTCGATTCTCGATCCTATACCCGCCCGTCGTTTGACGGCGCACCAAGTCCTCGCTTCGGAGTGGGTTTCCGAGGCCAAAGTCTGCCGCGCAGGCAACGAAGGCTTCTAAACCAACTCCACCCAGGCTGGTCCTTCTTATTCTTTAGCCTTTTCCCGCGGCTCCTTTCACACCTCCTCATCTTCGGCCATTTCCCCCTGGATGTTTGCCTTCATTTCTTACTCGACTTGGATTTCTTTTTTCTTGGACATACCCCTTTTTACGCCTGGCCCCATAGTATAGCGAAGCCGTTTGGGCATCGGCACTTGTTGCACTCTCGTATGGCGTTTTCTTTCAGTAACAACACGGATCACCATAACGATACACATGAGTACTAGACGATGGCGCATGATGGCGAAGAGCAATGGGCTGTCCTGACCGAGCTGGCGGCTGGTATGTCTTTTGGCTGGGCGGTTGGATGATTGGGCATAGACTCGACGACTGGTAATCGGGCTTGGTTGATAACCTGCTTGCGGATCACGTGCAGGACAATAACCTTGATGGGATGATTATACGAACAGCACGCAATCTTGTACATGAGCGTGTCGCGTGCCACGCTACGACCCTCTGGTTGAGTCTTTGCATGTCTCTCCTTTTGTTTTGGACTTGGTTGGAAAATGGGCTCAGTACTGTATGTGACACGACAAGGCCCTCATGCTCTTGGGATTTATGATTGAAGCATAAGAATACAAAAACAATAATCGTATATGTATGTATCTGATGAGAAATCCACATGACAAGATAGATGGCAAGAGTTATGGTTGCTATATTAAGTCTTCATGTCGTGCTCTTGGCAGCGTCATTGGCTTCGCTAAACATTGCGCTGTGCTGAAGCAATTCACCCATGGAAGCGGTGAAACAGCCACACGTGTCAGACACGAACGCCTGTTCACGCCGCGCATTCCTCCGTGGCTGCGCTTTCCCCCCAGAAACTTGGGTGGTACCCCATGTCATCTATCTCTAATATCGGACAGGCCACCTGGAACTACCCCAGGCCTCCATCTGCCACCTGGCACTGTAACCTGCTTGCGCAAGATATGCACCCAAGCAATGCTCACGACCGGCGCCTCGCTCCATAATTGGACCATCCTTTTGCTGCTATGCAGTACATCCACATCGGTACTCGCGGAGAGGGCGGCGAATGAGACAACGACTGCTGAACAAAGCGCTGCTGGTGCATATTCAGGTGCCACGACACACCATACATCGCAAGCCACTTCGTTGGCTTTGTCTTCGCCCTCGCCTTCGTCCCTGTCCACACGAAGATACTCCGACAGCGAGAGCACCTCCCCGTACCGCACCATCAACTACATTACACACACGCTACCGCAGCAATGCGCAAAAACAAGCTGGTCGGCGCCAGGAGATACGGCCACTGTGAACGACATAGGCGTTGAAGGAGGGGCCATCGCAGGTCTGCAAACTCCAGCCCCTGGGATATGGGTGGGGCCCGAGGGCATCGCAAACGAGGAGAGAAAGAACGCCCACTCGGACGCATCATCACAACCAGACGCGACTGGCGCGGCGCCAAGTGCAGCAAGCAGTGGTACCGAAGGCACGCAGCCGGAGCTAGAGCTCGAGGTAGACTCGCCTTTCGACAATGCGAACTTTTTGTCGTTTGAGGAGTGGAAGAAGAAGAATCTGGCTAAGGCGGGTCAGTCACCTGAGAATGTCGGGCAGGGCAGACCGGCAGCATCAAATCAAGCTCCTCGTCGGCGACCCGTCAATGTCAACGCTCTGGACTCGTTTGGCGATGAGGGCGAAATCTCGATCGATTTTAGCGGGTTTGGACGCCCAGAAGATGGGGGCGTAGCAAACGGCCTTCAGCAAGCCAGGCACAATGCTGAGGCTACCAGGGCTGCGAATGGCGACGGCAAAGTGGCTCCAGGTTCGTGGGCGCTAAGCAAAGACGCTGGCAAGACGTGCAAGGAACGGTTCAACTACGCTTCATTTGACTGCGCTGCCACTGTTCTCAAAGCTAACAAGCAGGCAAAAAGCTCCTCTTCGATTTTGGTCGAAAACAAGGACAGCTACATGCTGAACATATGTTCAGCCGACAACAAGTTTCTCATAGTTGAGTTGTGCGACGACATCTTGGTAGATACGGTTGTTCTCGCCAACTATGAGTTCTTTTCGTCCATGTTCCGACACTTTAGAGTCAGCGTGTCAGACCGTTATCCTGTCAAGATGGAAAAGTGGCGGACCCTGGGCACGTTTGAAGCACGCAACTCTCGCGATATTCAGCCGTTTCTCATCACCGAGCCACAGATTTGGGCGAGATATCTTCGCGTCGAGTTTTTGACGCAGTACGGAAATGAATACTATTGTCCACTTAGCTTACTACGTGTGCACGGCACTACAATGTTGGAGCAATTCAGACAAGAAGAGGAAGAGGCGAGAGGAATTGATGATGACGAAGATCTGGAGGCTGATGGTGTCGAAGTCAAGAAACCGGCGGTGGACAGCGGCCCGTTGCCTCCAGAGGATATACCCATCGAAGCTCTCAAGGACGATGGTGCGAGCTTCGCAGTGTCACAAGTCATTGATACAACCAGTCATCAGAATACTCCCCAGCCTTATACGGAACCGGATCCTCCTAGCCCGTCCTCTGAGGCCTATGGCTCGTCTACAGTTGCAAATGAGCAATCAGCTGGTCAAATGACTTATGTGTCCCAGAATCAACAGGCTTCAGAACAAAGCTCGGCCTCCTCGCCAACCCCTACGGATGACTTGAGAAACTTGAACATAACAGCTCCTGGAGAAAATAATGCCCCCACTGCAACTTCGACAACCGACAAGGCCGAGGCCTCATCCCCAGTTCACGGCTCCACAGCCGACTCCGTGGCGGTCACTTCGCCATCTGCACCACCCAATGATAATCCCACAATCTCCTCAACCGAATCGATAGCGTCTGGGTCTTCAAGCAGTTCGTTAGCCAAAGTTTCTAGTGATGGCACAGTCGTTCCTCCACAAGCCCAGTCGCAAGGACGAGGCTCGGCTACGCAGCCCAATGCTCCTACGCCATCCACTCAAGAGTCGTTCTTCAAGTCGATACATAAGCGCCTTCAGTATCTCGAGGCCAACAGCACTCTCTCATTGCAGTACATCGAGGAGCAGTCCCGTGCGCTCCGGGACGCGTTTATGAAAGTAGAGAAGCGACAGCTGGCAAAGACTGAAAAGTTTCTGGATCACCTCAATAGTACAGTGATGATAGAGCTGAAGAGTTTCCGCAACATGTATGATCAGTTGTGGCAGAGCACAGTGATTGAGCTGGAGAGTATGAAGGAGCGACAAAAGTCTGAGATTGGCGAGATTGGCACTAGGCTGAGCTTGCTGGCAGACGAGCTTGTTTGGCAAAAAAGAATGGCTGTGGTGCAGTCCACGCTGTTGCTCTTGTGCCTTGGTTTAGTGCTCTTTGTACGGTCTGGCACGCTGGGATCCAGCGCAGATGTCCCAATTGTGCACCAACTGGGCAACAAGTACACAAGCTTCTTTGAGACATCGCCAACACGCAGCACACCCAACACAGCGGGCATGGCGCGGCGCCGCAGTACCTTCCGCAAAATGTGGAAAAGCGACACCTCCGCCGGTCTCAGCGACCACCACAGCGATGCTGAAACCGACGGCCTACGCAGCCCCGTACAAGCCGAATGCAGCTCTCCCATCCCAGACACCCCCATCGCCCGCCGCCGCCGCAGCAGTCTCTCCCCCCGCCTCGACAGCATGCAATCCACACCCGTCCGCGACCACAATCACGACAACATGCCCCCAACCCCCATGTCCGAAGACCAAGCCGCGCGCATCCAAGTCCTAGCCACGCAATCCGGCCCCGCAACTCCCAACGGAACCCGCGATAGCCGCCCCTCGTGGGAAGAAGTCGACCGTGCAATGGACTTGCTGAAAGCTGAGGAACAGAGCCAGGAACCGCTTTCTCCTGTTTCATCTCCGTCGTCCTCATCGCAGCAGCAGCAGCAGCAGCAGCAGCAACATCTTCAGTCGCAGGGTAGAGAGCGTGTTGGTGGTGGGACGGGGAAGAAGAAGAAGAGGAGTCCGTTGAGGAGAGCGCATAGTCAGTATGATGAGGGGGGTGAGGAGGTGCTCGGGGCGGGTAAGTAACTGTGAGGGGAGAAGGGCGGGGTGTACGGAGTAAGTAAGTGATTCGTTTTACAGAACTTGAGTGGGGGGGTTGGGTTGGAATTTGAATGAGCGACCTTCTTTTTCTTCATTGCTTTTTTCTTTCTTTCTTTCTCCCGATACGAGCGTTGGGCCGATCTTGCATGGAGTAGGCGTTTTTTTGCTTCTTTTTGGCTTCGACGCGTGATGATACACCGACATCTTTTGTTTTCTTTTTTCTTTCTTTAAACTCTTGTTGAAAAGGTCTGGACCGCAGTCTTTGGCGTACAACGTTGGCTGCATGGATGGACGAGTAAACGCTATGTCTGTATGCATGTAGATGAAATAGCAAGTTATAGCATTTTCTGCATTGGACTATGTAGCTACCGTCTTGCGCGACTACTAATTCCTTTTCCTTAATTCTGCTTACTCGCTCTGGTAACCCTTTGATCGTGCAACTCTGCCTCACCGTACCCCAAATACATACTTTGGCATTTCTTTTGGAAATCACACTCGATTCCTCCCATTTTCGAAAACCCCTAGAGTATGTAATCTACTCGCCAACCCTCTCATCCCTCTTATCCTTCTTCTTCTTCTTCTTCTTCTTCTTCTTCTTCTGCCCATTCGGCACCATATTCGCCACAGGCGCGGTACCCAGCGTGCTCGTTCTGGGCGCAGGCGTGGAACGAGCTGGATAGTTCGCAGGCAAAGAAGTTCTGCTATCCAAATCCTCGCGAGAATATTTTGGCACCCCAAATTTTTCAAGTCTGCTGTCAGGTGTAGCAGAACGGGTGTCGAGGCATTTTCTGGACGGGAACGTGGCGGTGTTGTATGGGGTTCGGGCGGAAAAGGGATGGGTATTAGTGTAGCGAATTTGTGTTTCTTCTTGGTTAATTCCTCCTTCTTCTCTTTCTGAGGGGTTTGCGGGGTGGGGTGGTTGGAAGGGGGATGATATGTTTGGTTTCTCCTCATCGCTGGTTTGCTCAGTGCCGTCTTTTGGTGTGGCCATGTCCTTCTGCTTAGAGATGTTATGGTCAGTATTCGGATTCTCTGGTTGATTTACAATTCCTCCAGCATTCTCGTTGTTGGCAAGGGCGTGTGAGATGGGGCGAATTCTACCGTCATGTCTATGCTGGCCTGGTGTGCAGTTCCCATCACCACCTCCGTTCTCGTCACTCTGTGCATGACCGCAGAAATCGTTCCGATATTTGGGTGTCTCTCGGTCGACGCGTTTACCGAATGCCTCGTCGAAATCCTGGAGTACGCTCTTCAAGGTAACAATTGACCGGTGGAGGTCGGGGAAGTCGCTCCCGCAGGCGGAGTAGATGGATACGACATTCCAGGATGCCATCATCACGTTATCAAAGTTCGGAATAGCGGCTTCCGCGATGCTGTTAAAGAGGTTGACTTTGACGTTGCTTGGAATGATGTCGAATATCCTGCTCTTAGTGTCTTCGGGGATGGTATCAAGACCTGTGCGCTTGCGCTTGTTTGAAGTATGCTGCTTGACCTGGTATGATCCACTCTGATTTACTGTTATTTGTTAGTCTTGGTATTGGGTGCAAGGATGATATGCTCACACTGTGAAGCTGACTGGCTTTGCTCACGCTTGGGAGGATTAAGCCTTGTGAGAGTCTAAGAACAGTTAACGATCTTTCCCCAATATGACCGAACAAGCGACCATATGTCAGTGCTATAAATATAAGTCCATTATGACATACCTCTCCATCATGAACGAGTGTTGGCGCCTGGTTCGCCATTTTGTAAGCTGCCTGCCTAGCTCCATTGATCTTGTTTATTCGGGAATAGATGGCATGGAACTTATCCCTGAACAAAGGCACCATACCCTTAGCAATGAAGCCATGAATGGGTACGGAATCAAGAACATCATCGTCCTGCGGAAGCGGATCTTCGGCGCGCATATCTATGTGGCCATTCTCGACTACTAGGTGGACCCGATAGATGGCATTCTTTTCCTCAGCGAGCAACACATTTCCAAGGTCAAAGTGTGTGGCTTCTGCCTTGAGTGTGACCAGGGTGAGTTCAGGTTGGATGACACCATCGACTTTCTTGTACGTTGGTGGCTCATCTTTACTGACTCCTTCTAGGAACCCATTTAGATGTTGCGGGTCGATGAAGCGGAGTTGATCTCGCAGGATTAGAGCGCGCTTTTGAGGCTTATTAAGTGCATTGAAGGTTGGGGCCGCAATGTTCATGGTCAGAGGCTGAGTGGATTGTGTTGGGATCGTGGCTAGACTTTTCGCGAACACTGACGGCGACCGGTCAACTCACCAACTAGAAGCAGAAGCCTCTCAATAGGGAAAGAGTTGCAGTTGACTGGAAAGGGGAGTCAACAAGTGAAACTGACCAAAAAGGCCCTGCTGGTAAGTATAAATACCTTAAGGCAGCAGTCTGGCGCCGTCCTCTCACTATTGCGCCATCTGGCCGGCCCTCCACAGCTTTTGTGCTCGCGTTCTTTCACTACAGAGTGGGTATTCTGCTCTTCACTACCAGACATTGAGCTTCTCGATTCGGCGCCTGTAGACATATCTGGGTGAATCGATGATATTTCCATCATAATGAATCTAGAACTTTGAGTGTCCATTGGTAAAGCGGTATACATTTGCACATGAAAGCTGCATGATTCTAGAGGGAACTAGGTGAAATGCCAGGACGATGAAAGAGGCTATGGTCAGGTTTGACTCGTAATGTGGCACAATTAGTCAGAAGTGAGGCCTTGGAGACGGAAGGAGCGACTAGCGCGCATGGCATTGGGCAATCCCATCGTGCGGCACAAGAATACCCCCAACATAGCAATAACATACGCACTGAAAACTCACGTGAATCATGTAGAACCACAATATAGCACAGAAGATGACTGGTCATGGAATTATGGCTCTATGATAACCAAGCTTTGACTGCAACCAGCACACTGGCGTGTAGCTAAAGGTTGGGAATATGATACAAGACATAACTCGTGTCTCAAACCTACAAGTACAAGCCCTCAGGCTCACCCTCAGTCTTCGTCTTGAGCACACGCTCCCTGGCAGTCCTGAAGTCTTCCATGTTTACACGCATACGGCGCTCACGTAGGGCCATGAGACCGGCCTCGGAACAGATGGCCTTGACGTCAGCACCGGAGAGGTCGTCTTTCTGGTTGATGAATTCGTCAAGATCAACATCCTCATTGAGTGACATCTTGGAGGTGTGTAGAGTAAAGATCTTCTTCTTGGTGGTTTCTGATAATGGTCAGCACTGATATACTTGAACGGATGCCGCAACTTACGATCAGGATTCTCAAAGAGAATCTTTCGATCGATACGACCAGGGCGAATGAGGGCAGGGTCCAGCGTCTCAATCTTGTTGGTAGCCATGATGACCTTGACGTCACCACGGTCGTCGAAACCGTCCAGCTGGTTCAGGAGTTCCAGCATAGTTCTTTGAATTTCTCGCTCACCTCCAGAGGTCGATTCGTAACGCTTGGTACCAATGGCATCGATTTCATCAATGAAGACAATAGAGGGGGCATTCTCAGCAGCTGTCTGAAACAGCTGTCGGACTAGCCTGGGTCCGTCTCCAAGGTACTTTTGGATAAGCTCACTGCCAACGATGCGCAGGAACGTAGCGCTTGTCTGGTTGGCGACAGCCTTGGCCAACAGTGTCTTTCCGGTACCGGGGGCACCGTACAGAATGACACCTTTCGGTGGCTTAATACCCATCTCCTCGTACAGCTCCGGATGTAGAAGAGGCAGCTCGACGGCCTCTCGTACTTCTTGAATCTGCGACTCAAGACCACCAATATCTGCGTATGATTCGGTGGGTGCCTTGTCGAGCTTCATGACTGAGACGGACGGATCGGCATCGTCTGTGAGCACACCAACCACTGAGACGGACTTGTGGTGCAGGAGGATGCTCGCGCCAGGCTCGAGTAGATCCTTGTCGACGAAAGACATGATGGAAACGTAGTATTCGGGGCCTGTCGCGCTCGAGACAATGGCATGGTCGTCGTCGATGAGCTCCTCCAGATTGCCAACGCCCATGGGACTGCCTCGCATGTCGTCGACGCGCGAGCGCTCGTCGGCATTCCGGTCTTCCGCCCCTTCTCCGGCGGTTGATGCGGCGGGCGCATTTCCTTCCTTGACAGCCCTTGCCTTGCGGAGCCGCTCCTGGTTCTCAACGTACTCCTCTTCTAGCAGCAGATGATCGTGAATGCGCTGCATCCGGAGATATCGTAGCTTGCATCGCGCGGTCGGGTAGACGGTGGGGAGCTTTGCGGCAGCACTGGGACCAGCGGCCTTCTTCTTCTTCCTGCCGATGCGGGTCGTGGGTTGTGGCGGGGGCTCGTACTTTGGCTTATCCTTCTACAAGGCGGCTGTCAGTGTCTGGGCTGAGGCATCACATAGCGGACTTGCAAATGCTGTCACACCTGAGACGGCAGTTGGTACACACCTTATCTTTCTTGCTCTTATCGTCGCCTGGAGGCCCGCCTCCTGCGCTCGACTGCTGGTTACCCTAGGCGTGGTCAGTATATCGTAGTTGCCGCTCGGGGAAGAAGCAATGTTACATACCATGACACCTGTTCAGGCAGAAGTGAGTGGATCAAGCGTAGATACCAATGAAGGGGGTCAATGACAGGATGGCCGGGCGCGTGTGGTGGGGGTGAAGGCGATGGGGGCTTTGTGAGGCCGTGGATGTTTGTAAGAGGTGTTGATGTGCTGATGGCGAAGCTCGTGCATGTCGGGGGTCGGGGCTAGTCCGCTGTGGCGTCACTGCACTCGATACCGCCTGGAGCCCCAGCTCTACCAACCCCAATCCATGCATGCTACATTTATATAGACTTTACAGGAACAAACTCGCCAGATTTCGTCTGATAAACGTCGTCATTTAAACAGGCATACAAATACGCCCATCCCATCTACTGCTTGTGTCTCGAACCATCTGGAGGATCCACGCCGTCGTGCTTGAACCCCGCCGGCGAGCTTCCTACGTCCTTCACTGGTACGTACTTGGCCTTTATTCTTATACGGTACGGGTAGGTGGCGTGTTTTGCTTGTCCTATTCTGGCTCAGCATACATCTATGGCTGCAGATTGCCAGACACGCTCTCTAACCGTGTCCACGATGCATTCCCCGCACCGGTCGTTATGGGCCTCAGGCTGACTCTCACGTCTAGAAATACCCCGGTTGCACCGACCACCCACTTGCTGCCTACTTCCTCCAGCCTTGCACTGCTTCCTTCCCGCCGCCTCACTTTCAACTACACACACTCCACGAACACGCTGCCATGACTACATCGAACCGAAACAGGCGCATTGCCAAGGAGATTGCCGATATCCAGAACGACCAGCACTCTAAGATCATTGTCGAGCACGCAGGAAACGGCGATGATCTCACACATCTGCGTGGCCAGTTTACGGGCCCGCCCGATACCCCATACGAGGGCGCCACCTTCTTTGTCGACATCAAGATTCCCAGCGAGTATCCCTTCCGCCCGCCTGTCATGAAATTCGACACCAAAATCTGGCACCCCAACGTCAGTTCACAGACAGTGAGTGCTCGCGCTGCCATGATCTTCTACTTAGATCCATCCAAAGCTAACAAGCACAGGGCGCCATCTGTCTAGATACACTGTCGTCCCAATGGTCGCCAGTCCTGACCATCAAATCAGCCCTCATCTCGCTCCAATCTCTCCTCAGCACACCCGAACCAAAGGATCCCCAAGACGCAGAAGTCGCCGGCATGCTCATCCGGAACCCGGCCGAGTTCGAGCACAAGGCCCGTGAGTGGGCGGTCAAGTACGCTGGTGCGCCACAAAAGGAAATCGCAGAAGGCAGCGGTGGTGCCACGGCTGCTTCAATCAAGAAGAAGGCTCAACAAGCCAAACAAAACGAGGAAAAGTCCAAACTGGTGGCATACAGGGGCTACAACAAGGACTTAATAGACCGCTTTGTAGCAATGGGCTTCGACGTTGAGATTGTCGTAGAAGCCTTTGAGTATGTCGGCATCGACCGTATGGGCGGCGAGGATTACGAGCTGGAGGAGGCTTACATGGGCGACATTACTGCCCGCCTGTTTGGCGAAGCTTGAGCCCATCATATTTTTTGCCTTCGTTTCCTTATCGACATGTTGCTGCACAACGGATAAGAGCTTATGCTTTGTCCTAGTAGTTGCCAAGATCAGCATCCCATTCACTGGTTCCTGGCATGTGCGCTGAGGGTCCCAAGGCTAGAACTGTCCACCATCGTAGACCGTCATGGCTTTTGAAATGGGTTATGAGAAGCAGGCGTTTCTTTTTTCCTTCATTCCATGTTATCTAACTTATTTCATCACTCACAAAGGCGTCACATGACTGGTGTTAAGGCTAGGGCAGAGGACATTCCAGGATAAGTGGATTTCTCAATCAATTATCTTTCGAGCAAATACTTCTGTTGATCTATGATTTGATATTGTGAGAGTAGTTGAAGAATATGCTTGGAACACTGAAATCACGTGTGTTAATACTGCAACCAAACGATTTATTAAATAAGGAACGAACTTAAAGTTTTCACACAAATACTCAACCATCCTCCATTATCCATAGTCACTGCGTCACAAGAGCGTCGTCTGAGCAGCAAAGAGTGAAGATCACAGAGAAAAAGTGATGAGTATTAAACATTGACTTCGTCGAAGATACAGGAATACCATCTGTACTAATCTATACACCTACCAGAGACCTCAGCGTCCAATAAGCACCCTCTGACTCTTCCTTGTCTCAGTGGCATAATTCCTCTTCTCGCCCGTAACAAGCAACTGCACATGCCCCTTTGCAGTCGGCGTGTACGTAACATTCGCACCCTGCTTGACAGCAAATGTTTCACACGCAGGTTTACTGTTCAGAATCCACTGAGCAGTCAACTTGACACCCGGATCCCAGCGCCCAACATTGGCTCTCACTATCTGACCTACAGAGACTTTATCGGCACCCTCAATCCGGGGATCTGCCTGGCGCTGAACCGCAGCATTGCGACCACCGTACTTGATAACCTCATCCCAAACATTCCCACGCGTCGACGGCGCCGTACACTCTTCACAAAGCGACTTGGGACCCCCCGGCGCATGCACCTTCACCCATCCCTCCACCAACTCCAGATACTCCCAAATATCCCGATCCTGATAATTGCCCCCATGCGTCTTTTCCGGTAAAATCGTAACATTCGCCCAACCCTTCCCACCTACCTCATCCGTCCTATCCCTAAACTCCTGCACACCCTCATTGAGAAAATACGTATCCCACGAGCCGACGTAGACGAAAAGCCGGTCCGCAAGCGCAGTGCCGAGATTACGACTGGACTTGAAATTCGCAATGATGTATTCAGTAAGATCGAACTGTTTCCAGTACGCAATAGCGTGGGGGTAGATCTCGCCGGTCACCTTATCCCACGGCTCAAGCGGATAGTTATTGTAGCCTTGGACGCCGAACACGGCATTCCAGACGTCCCACTGGTTGAAGGAGCGCGAGGAAGTGCCGAAAGTGAGTTCCCAGTGGTTTTCGGATGCGACGGTGGCTTCAATGACTTGCGTACCGTTGACGAAGGTCCTGATGCTGGGGACGGCAGTGCCGTCGTCGCGAGTGTATGCGTTGGAAGCGGTATACAGAGCGATGTCTTGGTGGCGGTAGAAGGATAGAGAGTCTGGGTAGGAAGAGAAGCAGGCGCCGAAGAGGTCAGGGCGGTAGATTACGTTTGCAATTGATTCCCAGCCGCCGGTTGAGCCGCCGTCTTGGATGCGGGCGTAGGGGGAGCGGATGGTGTTGAATTTTTGGTCGATGTAGGGCAGGAGTTCGTCGTTTAGGGCGTCTCCATAGGGTCCGAGATTTGCGGTGTTGACGGCGTACGAGTCGTCGTAGTAGGGTGCTTCGTGGCGGAAGGCAACAGTGATGAATTTCGGGACTGGCCGTTCGGGTTTGCTGTCTGTGGCTGGGATGATACCTTTGTCCCAGATGGAGGTGAAAGTTTCGTTTTCGCCATATTTGTACGCGCCAAAACCACCTGTCCAGTGGTTTTGGTGGTAGATGACGGGATACCGCGTCTTCGTGTCATTGGCATTATAACCAGCTGGTAGTACGATGTTGGCGCCCACATACATGTCTCGCCCCCAGAACTTGCTTAGCTTCTTACTACGAATCTTAATATGTTTGAGAAATTCTGTGTCCTCATAGTTGCCCTGGTTGCATCCGCCGATTTCTTTCCCATTGAAGTTGGGGACTTCGGTGATATTGTTAAAGGTCAGTTGGACAACTTGTTAGCTGCCAGACATTGTGATGTTTGTAATTGGCGTCACCAAGCTCCCAAAGCCATTGAAATTTGGCGCACCATCGCCGCATGGAAAGCGGAGGCTGACTTTGGATCCATCGCTGCGGGTCACAGTCTCGTATCTGGTGAGGAAAGCTTGTACACTGTAGGTACCGGGATCGATGTTGTCAAGACTGGGATTTGGCCAACCAAAGACTCCAGTCGCAGTACTGTCGTTACTACCGCCAGACAACGTGACGGCCTTATCCGATCCAAATCCGTACACGTTCTTTCCGAATATCTTGTTGGGTGATGAAGTGACATCGGTGTCATCGAGAGGATTAGTTCCAGCAGGCGCAAACATCAATACAATGCGACCATCGGTAGGCGTATCCAAGAGCCCGTTAGCAACAGATATTTTGACGTTGAGGTTAGTGACATTGCTGCGTTTTATATCGGACAAGGCTGCAGGACGAGCCAATGCCCCAACAGTGAGTGAAGCAAGAAGGATATGCTTGATCATTTTGCACACGAGGACTATAGAACAGTCTCAATCGAAGCAAAACGAAGTTCAATCACTTCGAGTACCAAGCTTTTGGTGGGTGGCTAAGCTTTTCTATGCTCATGTGAAAATCCAGGCTAACCGTCATACTTAGTTCTAACCAGATGGAGAAGGCGCAAACTCTGGCGGAAGGGGGTGGGTCATCTCGCAGGGACTAACAAGATAGCTACCCGAGATTAATACCGAATATGATAGATAGAAGCAATCCTATGACCAAACATGTTTCTCCATGCATTGCGATTAATAACTGGGGACTGCCAATAATGCTAGTGTAGTTCCAATACAGTGGTTTCTGGTATCACTTGCACAGGAACCATCCCTTGACATTTCTGAAATAGTACGAGATTCGCCCGCTCAACTAAAAACAAGAATTCGAAGGTTTCTTGATGTCGCGAGCGTTAGAATGCAACAGATGCCGTGCTGATGCAAGTAGTACAAGTGATGTCAGGTCAAGCAGCTAACTACATTTGGTCAGTGATAATGTTTTGGTAGATGACAGCAACATCAGTGATACCGACATACAAGCTCTAATCTTCTACTATTTTACCAAAAGATTGAAGAGAATAAAGGTAGAAGTGAGCATTTTGAAATTCTTTGTTCTGCAGCGTCGACCTAACACTTGACGTCACGACTCCTAGATCGATTACACTGGCGTATCCAGACACCTCACACAGGATGAACATGCCTCAATCCACCCACAATGGCCCATAAAATCATCAGACATAACAAGCTGGGTTTGATAAGATGTCTAAATCAAAACAATAATCCCTTCGTCAAGCTCCTAGGTCTCCCCTACGGTACCATCCCCCATCGTTTCGCGCGCGCAAAGCTCTGCCCAAACTTCTCAGACAGCAATAATGAGAGATACAAAGATGGTATCTTCGATGCCACAACACCGGGGCCCTCCAGTATCCAACCATGGAGCAGCGTCAAATCCGACGCTTCCAACATCCCACTTCCAACAGACAACTTCCCAGAAGATGAAGCCCAATCAGAGGATTGCCTGAATCTCTCTATACACCTACCCAGGAGGCTCATCGATGATAACGCAGAAATATGCTCTGCACCCAAGTTACCCGTTCTCGTCTTTATCCACGGAGGCGCGTATTTCTTAGGCTCAGGAAATCGACCATACTACAGCCCGGAGAACCTCGTCCGCCACGCTATACAACGCAGCACGCCCATCATATTTGTGGCAATCAACTATCGTCTCGGCGCACTCGGATTCCTGCACTCCAACCACGCGAGTGATCTGGTCCCGGAGAACAACGGCATCCACGATCAGGTTCTCGCATTCGAGTGGCTACGAATGCACATTGGCGATTTTGGCGGAGATGTTGAAAACATTACTGCAATCGGACAGAGCGCAGGGGCTGAAAGTATTTCCGTGCAGACTATGCACACGCCGCTGTTCAAGCGCGCTATTATGTTTTCCGGGACGCCAGTTACGATGCCTACCCTGACGCCGGACGAGCACCATGATAATTTTCTTGCGCAGGCGAAGCAACTAGGTATCCGTGTCGTTGACGAGGCTGACGGTAGCGATAGAGACGCAGAATGCATTGCAAATGATATGATAGATGTTGAAGTGTCCAAGATTAGAGATCTAGCTTGGGTCGGTCTGCCTTGTACGAACAGTACATATTTTCCCTTTGAGCGACCGAGTATGCAGTTGGTAAGACAAGGCAGACTGGCTCCTCCAAACTGGCGTGAATGGGCAAAACCCGTCGAAGCGCAGATTATCGGGTCGACTACGTATGACGGTGGGATATCCTACAACATGATGAGCAAAGACGGCAGTAGAAGCGGCCATGCTGAGGCCTTCACCAACATCGCTCAAGACGTCTTGGGTCCTAAAAATGGCACAGTACTCTTAGACTTGTATGGTATCAGTTCCGCAGCCAACGATACAGACGCTCTCCAGCGCATCTGTCTGTTCGAAAGTGACATTGGCTTCTTTGCCGCAGCACTGAGTCTCGCCCAAGCAGACCTCGTGCCCGCCACCTATTTCCACGTCTTCGACCTTGGCAACCTGTTTGCAGGCCCCATACGCAACCATGGGGCATTTGCAACGCACACTTTTGATATTGCTACGTTGCTTGGTGGAGACCATGAGAACAAGTTACCCGCGTACTACGCACCCGTGCTTTCGCACTGGCGTGATCGTATTCTCGACTTTGTTGTCAATGGAACGCCACCGTGTGCGAGATATACGAGTGGTGCTGCGGGAAACGGTCTGATGGTTGACGAGAGAGGCGTAAGAGAAGTTGGCGGTGAAGTATGGCTCGACGGCCATGGCAGGAGACGAGCAAGGTTGTTCGAGCTGGCGGCTAGTATCGATCCTGACTCTGGCTGCGACATACTCTGGCTGGAGGTATGTCGACGCTTCTTGATGCAAGGCGAGTAAAACATCGATGTCTCTTTCTCTGGCTCCTTTAAGATATATATCATCCCCTACTGTTCGTCATGCTTCACCCCGTTTACGTGGATATATGTCTACACGATTGATTCATCAGTTCACACCAAGGATGCCAAAGACCAAACCTGTTGATCGTCATCATCGTTCCGACAATGTAGCCCAGCACGTCCGTCTCTTGTCGTTTGATTCGTCACTCGGGCTTAATATCTCTTAAGGTCAAGAGATAGATATGAGAAATCCTGCAACTTTGCCTCTTTCCCCGTTATCATTTAATGCGGGGTGAATCTTACACATGCAGAGATACGCTGTGGTGTTTCTTGTGTTGACCGAGCATTTGCCTAGTAAGCGTGAGACCCGAGACTTTGGACCAGGACGACCTGTATTCACAGGGAAGGTTTCCCTGATGAGTTACTTAATGTAAAGCTTTCTTTGCGTGTTTGCTTACATGTCTATCTAAATCTATCTTGCGCGAAGAACAAACACCTTATAGACGGTCTCGCCCACGCGCTTCTACCACGTTGGCCCTGTGCAAAAAGACTCTTCTCCGTTGACATCAGTAGTAAATCACGGCTCTTAGTGTGATAAGAAAGATGGCTGCCGCTACTGTTGTCAATCCGAACGACCCCAGTGCGCCAGTTGTGCAAAAGTATGTTCTTGAAGCAGCGAAGCGCTTGAGAGAGGATGGTATGAATCAGTATGAGCAGCTTCACTTTAGTGAAAACGAACGTCTGCACAGTCTGATTAAAGATATATGGGCCGATCACGATGCACTTGATGCACTTCCTTTGCCCATTGAGAATGATGGCCGCGTCAAGTTTTTGATCCTTAGGGCCGAGATAGGCGGAATTATCATGTCGATTAAGTTGACCAAAAAGGGATTCAACCCCGAAGAAATACTTATGGTTGATACTGTCGGGGGGTTGGAGGGACATGGTATTGTAATCGGTATCCGGTAGGCTGTTCATGTGTTACTTGGGACCCGGATTGATGAGACTGACCACAGCAACATTAGGGATTGCATTGTGACTTTGAGTCATATTACCATTTTCCCTTTTTGGAAGACACAGGCTATATGCCTAAGAAAAAGGATTCCTCCAGTTTTGAGATTCGCAAGTATCTGGAGCAGCTTGTCGACAAGTTTGGGCTGAATAGTCGAGTCTTGTTCCGTACGCAAGCCAACAAACTCGAATGGAATGACAACACCAAGGCCTGGAGGGCTAGCGTAGTTATGAGATGTGGTCTAGAAGGAAAGCAAGAAGAAAATCCTTTGTTTTACGCCGAGATGGTTACCATTGCCACTGGTCCGCTTCCTTACCCAAAAGTACCCAGAGTACCTGGATTGGCACAGTTTTCCGGGCCATTACTCCATGCAGCGCGTTGGAACTACGACATCACCGGAGGCTCTGCCAATGACGAAATGCCAGACATGGCCAAGCTCAGAAACAAGGTAGTGGGTATCATCGGTACAGGTGCCGCTACAATCCAGCTTGTTCCCCAAACGGCCAAGTTCGCCAAGGATGTCTATGTATTCCAGCGCACACCTCCCCAAATGTATTCTCTAGGTCAGTTTGATACAGATCCTGAGGATTGGCATCAGAGGATAGCCGCTAAACCTGGGTGGCAACGAGCTCGGAGGAAGGCATTTGCAGAAACGGTGATTGGGAATGGGAAAATGGAAGATGAAGACCCCAATCATGGCTGGGTTCAAATAAAAGGCTTCGGCTCCCTCTACGGCAACACTCGGTTTGGCAATATTACACGTGAGAAATTGCAAGAGCATATTGGTAAATTGCTCGCGCTCGATTCGAAAAACAGCGAAAGAATTCGCTCGCGGATATGGGAGATTGTTAAAGACAAGGAAATGGCTGCAAAGATGACACCTTGGTATCCGACATGGTGCAAGCGTCTGACTTTTAGTGACCAGTATCTGGAAGCCTTTAACAGCAGCAATATCCACATGGTTGACACAGATGGCGCTGGAATCGACAGCGTCACGACGAAGGGTGTTGTTGCCAACGGTCAAGAATACCCAGTTGATATCCTTATTTTAAGCACTGGGTATCGTTCACCACGTGCTAGAGGGGCTCCAGGGGCGCGTACCGGCACAGAGATCATTGGTCGTCATGGGCGTCAAATATCAGAAAATTGGGAAGCACAGGGCTTCAGCACTTTCCAAGGAATTCCAACTAACGGGTTTCCCAATCTCTTTATACTAGGTATGGATCAAAATACCGCAACAGCAAATTGGGGTCATGTCATGGATGTGGTGAGCGAGCATGTGACTTCCGTTATTGAAATTGCTTCTAGGCAGACACTGGATACACCGGGGACTGTAGTGATTGAACCTTCGGCTGAGGCAGAGGAAGGGTGGGGCATGGCGATTGCGAAAGGCTCCGGCCTCTTCGGTGTAAACGTAATCTGCACGCCAGGGCATCGAAATCTGGAGGGTGAGACACTAAAGATGCCGGCGCCAGATGACCATGAAGGAATGATGAAGAGGGCAAAGTCAGTGATTTGGGGCGGAGGTATAGTGGAATTTACCCGAATGTTGGAGAGATGGCGTGAGGATGGCAAGTTGGAGGGTCTCGAAGTGACTGTGGGGTGAGGCAGGTGCGAGTAACGCCAACAGGTAGAGACCCACCTAGAGTTGTATAGGACACATCGAATTGGTGGCCGTTTCAAGCTGAGATAAAGAAAGCGAAATTAAATCGCATTGGCATAGAGTTGGCCTCGATATTAGTAGTGCTTGTTTGAGGCTTGTATATTTTCAATCGATACGACCATGTCACTCGCAGGTGTTGTAATGACAATTTCTGTCCTATTATTGTGACTATCTTATGTTCCTCCTTACTGATGTTGTTATCGAAAAGAAAAAGACCCAGAGGTCAACAGCTACAGCGCAAGCGGCAAATAACACTGTGACAATACTTTAGTAAATCATGGTATCTGCCGCGTTCTGGCATTCGTGATGTCTGCTCTCACGCGAACGAGACTGAAGGTACAGGGGTCTCCTAGTCGTTGGTTAGTAACCATGCATACGGGCTCGGTTCCGTACTTGCCGCTTTCAGCACTTGATAGGCGTTGTCTGTTTCCAGCACAACAGAGTCATGCTTCACTCCGTCTGCCCACTTCCTGTCCCATTCAACAGTACCATGCACTCGACTCACTGGCCCGCCGTCTCCAGAACTTGTTGGATCATCTGCATATGTTTCTCCAGTACCAGCAGCATTACCGTTCTTCACCGCGTCACCAAAGCGAGTGCTGGGCTTGGCTGATGCTCCACGCTCGTTGAACTTGCGGAGGATGATGAAGCCTGCTAAGCCCCAGATAAAAATGAAGATGGCTGAAAAGCTAGCGATGAAGACAGTAGGTACAACGAAAATCAGAGCAAGGCCAACAACAAAGAAGGTGATGCTGAGGGAGACGAGTAGACCGAGGAAGAGGCAGGTGGTCAAGGAGACTAGGAGGGTGACGGCTGCGAAGGCGAGGAAGAGAACGAGGGGAATGCCGGTGAACGCGGCTTGGGTGGTAAGGAAGGCCTTTGCATAGCTGTCAGCGTGGGTTGTGCAGGCGCCTATAGAGAACATACTGCTATCTTGGGGTTTCGATTGGCATAATCGCGTGACTGCTCAATCATCTGCTCACGGCGGCGGGGTGGGAGAAGTTGGTTCGTGGTAGCCCCGATTTGGGCCTCGACGCTTTTGGCGGCATGGTGGACGCGATGGCCAACATGATCAACAATGTCCCCAGCTTTCTGGGCGATGGAAGGCATTGTGGGGGTGAGGAAATCGATGGAGATGAGATGAGATGAGATGAGAGAATATTAGCAGGGGACGAGGAAGCAATGGAGACGGATGGTGTTGTCACTGGAGGGAGAAAGAAGGATGAAAGCACAATTGGAATTTCCTAGTTACACGGCACGCCGTTACCCTCGGACCCGGCTACAACAATTGACGGATCCGAATAGGGCAGCGCCAGGATGGTTGGCCACGACAATGGCGTTTGGGATATGCGGCAGTGAAGAGGGCCGGGACGCGTGATTCGCGAGTACGTCATGCCATCCGCGCTAGTCGACACCCTTGTCGCTCGCCTACCATCTTTCTCCTCACCGCCCCGGCGTTCTGCCAATTCAAGGTCGAACTTTTTGATATGGCGCGACACGCTCTTCCATATCGCGCCCGCACCGACGACATGAGCGACAAGAAGAGAAAAAGACATGCCGAAAACGGCGACCGGCCCAAGAAGAAGGCCGTCGTCGCGCCCCAGGGCAATGTCCGCGTCGACATGGTGGAGAGCAAAGAGACGCTGGGCCCATTGCTCGGTATGTGACTGCCTCTCCAGCTTGTCGCAATACCTGCGCCGTTGTCCACAATGCCTACCGTTTCCCGCTGACTTTCTAAAGCTGTCACTCCTGGTCTTGCCGTTCCCTCCAAAATCTCATTCACCCCATACAAGCGCACAAAGGTCCTCCAACAAGGCGAAAGTACCGAACTGCTCTTCCAGTCTTCTGATCATCCTCGCCTCGACTACATCGCACAGGAAGAGCGCGATGGCAGCTCTGAGAGCCAGCTGCAGGATTACGTTGGTGTCTATGACCCGGCGACGAGCAAGCTGCAGATTGTCCCCGTCAAGAGAGTCGTTGTCCGAAGCACACTGCGAAGCGAAGTCGAAGAAATGCGCCAAGAGCAGGAAGCGCTCGAGGCCCAGAACAACACAATCATGGCAAAGAGAGCTGCGCTTGCAGCTGAGTTCGGATCTAAGAAGTCAAGGAAGGCGCTTGAGGACCGCACGCTGAACGCCATTAAGAGCGGCGCCGGAGCCAATGAGGTTGCTGAGAACGTTTTGAAGCAAATGTCCTCCTCCACCAGTGTCATGCCCACCAGCCAAGACCTTGCAGCAGCTGTCGACAGTTCAAAACCACGACCAATTCCAAACCTCGCAGCCGAATATCCTGGCGATGTCTACCCGATCAGTACCGTTGTTGGTAGCGAGCTAATGACTATGCTCGACGTAAAGGACTGGGTACAGGCATCTGCAGCCGGTCAAGGTGTCGAAGTCACCAGCAAGTACGTTGCAAGGCGCATCGTCAAGCTAGCCAAGAACAAACAAATTCAAAAACTAAAAGTCTTGCGCTTTATCTTGCTCTGCATAAATTTTAACGCAGCCTTGATTGGTGCAGGAGGTGCTCGGCCGAAGAAGATACCCATTAAGGGCAAGCTGGAAGCAGCCATGGGTGAGGATACACCAGCTGGATGTGTCTTGGCCATCAGACGGAAATTTGCCCCAGAGGGGTGAGTGTTTCTGATTCTCCGATTACAAGAGGCGACATTAACATTTTTCAGGAGCTCCGAAATGCCTCGCTGGAACGTCGATAATCTCATGACCCACATTGCAGCCGCAGCCCTCATCGTCGATGACCAAGCAGTCGACGTCAATGATCTCCGCGAAGACCTCAAACTGGAGAACAAGGAGTAAGTAGCCCTGCCGGTAGAATGACTTCGTAGCACGCGCTGACCATTATCAATAGAATTAAACAGTATTTTGCTGAACTAGGCTGCAAACTCACGCCCCCTACACAGACCGATCTCACAAATCTGAAGCTCACGAAGGCCGAGAGCATCAATCATTTCGTTGCAAAACTCAAGTTACCGTTGACATTTCCAAAAGTTGGGGGCAGGTTTAGGAGCAAGTAGTTATAGTCAATTTTTTAGCATCGTGATTGCAGTTGTTCACAGGTGTTCGGGCCTAGTCACCGAATCGAATGTATACATAGTTAAATACCTACAAAAACATTTCTTTTACCCTTAGTTGAGGTTGGCCAAATTAAGATGCGATAAAGGACTCCTGGATCGTTTTGCTGTTCCCCAACGTACCAGTGCCGACGAAATTCCTAATCAAATCTTTGACGTTCAGACATAACCACCTCTTTCTTGACATTGGCTCTATTGATGTGGCACAAATCTCTCGCTTTGCTCTTGCTTCTCTTTGCTAGCTTGAAGATCACGGTTTCATCTCAACCAGTAAGTAGCCATGCTGGCCATCTCTCAGCCATTCAGATGACCTGGTTTGCTAGGTGTTTTGCTCGAAGCACGTAGAGCAGACTTCGTTTTGTATTTAGGCGCTCTCATCAAATCCTTCTATATAGGCTAACAGATGGGTATCTCCTACGATGAGGTATGGTAGGGGTATGGTAGAGGTCGCACAGACCATGGGTAGGGGTAGAGGTATGGTAGAGGGTCACCTAGTTGCTATCTTACTTGCCACGCGCACACGTGGGATATATCGGACCATGCTACCCACGTGGCTCAAAGTGTAGTAGCTGGATAAGATGACGAATTGGACATGTTCTAAAACCACCGTAGGTCTTATAGATATGCCATGCGCAGCTGTTGTTCTTTCTTTACGTTTTACCATGATGCGTATTGTTTAGGTGATATGTCAAATGCTGAACGTTTTGAGACAACATCACTTATCCTAAACTTGGAGCCAAAACAATTTTTACACGAGACGCCGTTATGGTCCACCGTATATGGCGGACTGTAGCGTGGTTTCAGGCAACAATTAACTTTAAAGTCCTTGTATACCAAAACCCCCACAGAAATGATCGTAATATGCAAATAAAGCTGCAATAATTCAAACGAGTACTCCAGCTTCTCTTGCCTTTTGTAATTCATTCTTATGCTAGTTATCGTGGATTGCTTACAGAAGCCAGACTGACATATCGTCCCTAGTTGGACCCCGGAAGCCCCATCCCCCAACCTTCTACTCGATCCATTCTCCCATCGTTTCATGAATCTCAAAAGATTCGGGAACTAGAGACTCAATGACGAAAAGCAGTTCCAAATTCCCATTCAAGCCTCACGCGCATGTGAATTTCACCATGACCCTAACATGCAAACCAATGACAACACCACAACGCCATTCCCGCCATTGTCCCACCGACCCAGCAAATCCTCAAAAAAAAAACGATCTACACGTCGCAAAAACTACAAGCCACTTGCTTAGATACCGATCTGCAAGGAGCCTACTACATCATTGACTTTTGTCTCTCCCGCTCTTATAGATGATTTCATGTCCAAGTGTCGTCATGACATCACGATTGTCACTCAAGCGCATCACCCACTTGCACAACGCATATCTCCCAGTGACGATAAGCGCCCCAAACCCAAGCATCTCACACAATACCTACGTATCACCTTAAGTATAAGTAATACTTTTAACCCCCCGACAAGTACATCCCACATCCACAATCCAAACCCAATCTAACATCTTTAAAACCAAATCAACTACACCAACACACCAGTCAACACACCTCTAAATCCAGAAAAATGCCCAAGTCCACCGGCCCCCTAATGGAACAACTAGGCATGGGCACCGAAAACCAATCCACGCCCAAATCCACCTACCCCTCAGGCTCATCCAACATGACCGACAGCACCACCTCCGCAGCCGATAAACTCGGCGCCAACAAATCCACAAACGCTATTCCTCAGGACAATCCCAGTGTTCTCTCTTCTGCGGGTGCAATTGGGAAGAACTGTACGTTTGTTATCTCATCTCTCCATCTTCAAGTCGATATAACTAGTACTAATATTTTCGCAAAATAGTCAACCCAGATGGCGCGGTAGGATCAATTGGACAAGCGATTGGAGGTCCATTTAGCAAAGACGGTGTAATTGGAAGTCAATTTGATGCGAGTAAGAATGGAATTGCGGGACATGTGGAGCGGGCGGTTGATGGGCCCAGTAACCCAGCTGGGAGCTCAAAGTAAAGAGGGTATGTTGATTGAGTGATCAGTGTATGAGGCGGTGATTTGTAAATATGGCCAAGAGGCAAATATATCACACGTCATGAGCGAGATTTAAGCTTGAAGTTCTGTGGAATCGTGTTCAGTGGTGGGTTACTGGCGCTTCTTCTCCCATCACGATGTTTGTAAAATCTGCATAACTGCAGAGTAATTCGACAGATCATAATACAGTGTTCATTTTCATAATTACTGTAATGCTAATAATACAGTGACGAGCTCTGTTCGGGTAATATCAAAACCGCAGTACCCATCATAAACAGACTACACACGACGTTTTCAGCCTGTACGTCTAACCTCCCAGCCTACGGCCAGGTCCCATACCACTCCAAGGCGTGTTTGCACCCGTAGTCCTGCCTGTGGTCGGCTGCGCACCGCTTCCAGGCGCACCAGCCGCCCTTCCGCGTCCTTGGACAGCATGGCCATATCCCCTGTCCTGGACGCTGCCGGCTGTTGCACTGAACCAACCCTTCACAATCTGAGGGGTACGAATGTAGTTTGTTCCACCTCCAAAAGTAGGCCAGATCCTTGTGAGGAAATCGTAAAGATGTGCTGCAATGAGGCCAGTCAGTTGCGAAGCCGCTGCATCAGGACCATCGATGACGAATGTAAGAAACAGCATGGCGAACGGTAGGAACTTGGCGTCAAAGTTGAGAATGAAGAATTGCACGGATCGTGTAGGGTTGTCCTGGCCAAAGGTATATGCGTATGCGAGAGACAGCGCAGGAAGAAAGGTGTATGAGCCTAAAAGACAGCCTGCCGTTCCCTTTACATGGACCATTAGCACAAGCCCACTCCAGGTTACATCCACAACAAGGGATTCAACAAAGCAAAACAAATGGTAAAGGTATGTAGGGAGCCTCAAATAACCTTGCGAAATAGAGAATTCGCAACGCATCGTTATGTGACAATCCCACCATGCCTACACACCATACAGTCCCTTTTGGATTGTAGTGGAACTGCATGATGTGCAAGGGTATTCTTCCTCGATTCCAGGAACCGCTTCAGCTAGATTATTTTTTGACTGGGCGGGCAGATATGTCGAGGTGAAGGAGACCGTAGTCGGTTCGTCGCAGACAGCTTGGGTCGATGCGATATGGACAGACACATGTATGTGCGATGGGGCGCAGAATAGCTACGAGCAGGTACTTACCACAATGACACTGCCGACGAACATAGTATACACAAAAAAGTCGCCGGGTTGCGAGAAGCGGCTAGACTCGCGCTCAATGGAGCTGCCATATTGGTACAAAAAGTATGGGTCAAGCAGGATGCCGAACTTCGGTTTCGTGAGGAGAAACGCAGAGAAGATTCGCCAGAGCTGCGGGATCATCTTGGTAGTGAAGACATATTGAGTAGCGAAGATGACATGGTAAAGGTTGAGGATGCCACCATAGCCCAGCGCCGACACGACGACAGCTGCAGCTGTAATGGTTCTATGAGAAGCTGTTAGATGCGAAACTCTCAGAGCTACACGAAGTAGAAGAAAGAAGCTTACCTAGAGACCGGGGGGAGCGTCCAGAAAACGTCCATTGTTGCGTGAAGCTGTAGCAGCTACAGACAGATGCGACAATGAAGTGTGGTGGGCGAGGAACAGCGGGAGGGCTGCCTAAAGAACCAGACGGAGCGAATTCGCAAGGTGGCTTTTGAAGAAAGCGGCGCGCCGTAGGTGGAGAGACATTACGTCAGCCTTGCCTCCGCATAACGAAGCACGTCATTGGTCCATTAACTCCGCACCACGCCGACGCAGCAATGTTATTACTCCATACTACATGAAATATTCGCGTGTTTTTGGAAATTGATGTGGACTTAGTACTACAATAGTGCTAGTCGTTTTTCTTCCAAAGATTCTTATTAGCAGAATAACTGTATAAACTGTGCTGTTATGAAATCCTGGAATCATCTAGAAGAAGACCCCAAAACAGAAGCATGTATGTAGCCCATTCATTGCATATGTGGATAATGAATAGACGCCTGATATCGTACAATACAACGGCCTTCCCTACTCTCTAATCTGACTTACGATATCCTCCCATTTGCGGCTCTATGCACTTTTCCCATCTGGCCCATGCACATCGCTCTCCGCTCCCACTCCCGGCGTCCCTCTCTCCTCATACGTATCCTCGTACCGTCTCCAAATCTCCATATCCCTTGCCAGCCTCTTATGATGTCTAATGCGATGCTGGTAGTTCACCATGCGCTTGTCTGCTTCGAGCATGCCGCCTAGTATCATGCCAGACATTTGTATGTATCTGGTCTATGAATCAGCAATCATGGAATCTAGAGCAGTATGCAATGCGAGAGGGAAGGAATAAAATCCTACGTTTTGAATTGGACAGTCAGACCACGGTAGAGGGGGGAAAATGCGTATGCGACACCGCCTGCTACGGCGAAAAAAGCACCCCACTGGTTGTATCAAAGTTAGCTTGATGTCTCTCATATGATCAGGAAGTCTTGGTAGAAATTCAGATAAAGTATGAAAGTAGTCAATCGACATGACCATGAACTGTGCAGTCATGGTATCTTCCAATCTTTGGGTCTCACGTGAGACTCGCTCATGCGCCAACAGCTAGCTCTTTCGCTATTACTTTCCTTCTCTTGCTTCCCGTACTGAAACAAACTCCTAAACTCGCAGTAAAGGGAAAGGGGAAGATGTGACAGACACTATCCGCGCGAGCGCCATCTCATACCTTTGTACCGCCGATTAGCGCACCACGAGCCGCCTCCCAGGCCGCCTGATTTGTCTCTTCATCCTTCTCTAAACTACCATGTTGTCGGACCATCTTCTTAGCCTAGTTACCATAAGAAGATGAGAAAGTCGTGATATTGTCTCGCAACCGCAATTGGTTCGTCTGTTGTTTTGGTTTTGATGGTGTGAGGTTCAATTAACTCGTTTCGAGCGAAATGATGTCGTCAACGTACATTTTCGGACGGAGCTCGGACATGTCAGTTATGTGCTTGTTTAGTGGGGTGTACCCCACGCAGCGCGATCGCAGACAGAAATGCACAATCTCCAAATCTGACCTGACTACATTTCAGACCTGCAATGGTCTATGAGTTAGTCACATTTCGATTTCGATGAAAAGACTCAAACTGGAGCATTTTTCTTGAGATGAATTTGAAACTTCAATCTTGTTTATAATAGTTAATCTAAATGGTATCTTTGAAGAAGAAAAACAGCCGTCCAGAGATGAGCCTAAGCCTAGAACATGCATGTACTCAAGAAGTATAAATTATCCAGACCAGTCAGTTCCTTCGCCAAACGACCAGAATTCCAAAATCGTCAGCTACCTGTGGTAGAAAACAAACGCCGAATGACCTCTGTCGAGGGAGGTATATGCAAAATAAGCCCTATATATACAGGCGAAGAAAGCGATTGCAAACAAGTATTGCAACAATAGAGTGATGATGGGCAAGAAGCGGTAAAAAAAGAGACCCAATCACGATTAGGTGTGATTAAAGTTGTCTGTCCGACTACTTTGAGAATGGAAATCCGACCGGTGTATTACCAAAAGACATTTCGAGCTCTTTTTCCAATGGTGTAGTGTCGTAGTCAATGTCTGCCATCGGCGTCGTAGTTATTTCCGGAAGTAGGCTACCGAGCTGTAGATCCTTCTCTGCAGTAGGAGTGCTCTCGATGGTAACTTTTTCAAGAATCTTGCCTAAACTGTTTGCTGTATCTGGCCTTTCGAATTCTTCCTCATCGACATCCATAGCTGTTGGTATGCCGTGCGCGATGTTGTAATTGCGCGTCAAGTACTGCTGTAGACGATATTCTTGCCTAGCCCAACTCTCGTCAACCAGCCCCAGCGCGGCCTTGATGTCTTGATCTGACAGACCTGTCGGGTAGTTGGGCTCTTTTGCAGTCTTGCTGACCACTCTGTTTGCGATTCTACTTCGAACAGAGTATGATTTTGATTGGTTGTTTGTTGGCAAATCGTCACGCATTGATTTGACTTGATCTTCTGTTTGCTTGAGCGCCATTTGGCGGGACTCATGCATGGATGGAAGATATAGGAGGGTGGTGTTTCGATGAAGCGCATTAACAAGATCCGTGAAGCCAGTCAAGGCAATACCGTTATCCTCACAGTATAGGTATTGCAGGGTATTGTTGACCTTGAGCACATCCGCAAGGGTACTCGCGCCTTGTACGCCCAGCTTTTGATCTAGTTCTGTCAGTTTCTTGACTGTTCTATACTCAAGACCATGAACTTACATCTGATGTACAAAGCACGCAACGTTTTGTTGCGCTGAAGTCCTCGCAACGCTCGGTTGATACCGACACCTAGTTTGGTTGTTTCGAGGCGAGAATCTTCGCCAGAAATATCGAGCCACTCAAGGCTTCTGTTATCAGCAAACATCTTCTCTAATGCTTGACACGTCTCTTCTGAAGCGTCACATGGTAGAGATGCTCGCGAGATGTCCAGCTGTCTAATGGTGTTATTGGCGGCCAAAGCGAGTATCATCTTCCGAAAGTCGGCGTCTTCTTCAAACTCAAGCAAACGGAGAGTGAAGCTCGACGGAGCGAGGCCATTAGCGATAGCTTTTGTTAACGCGTCCAGGTCTTCCTCGATTCTGTTCTCGCTAACATCAAGATGGAGGTCGCGAGCCTTGCCTGGGTGTTCGGTCATTGCGTGCAGAAGAAAAGCAATGTCCCTTCCAGTAAGAAAGCAATGATCCAACTTTATCTCACGAAGGACTGAAGACCGTTTGTAGTTAGAAAGGTAGCCGGCGATGGCGTCGACGGTAGCCGCATTGAGCGATGTTCCGCTAAGGATCAGCTCTTGTAATCTCCAGCCTTGGAATGTCTCGACGGATATTAGGGATTCAAGGCCAGACGATCGCGCAAGATGTGAGAGGTTCAGTCGTGTGAGATAGCCAAACACACCGATTTGAGAGTCGAAAATGCTTGGTGAAAGGCGGAAAGGATTGGACGAGAGATCGATGGCTTCTAGAGTGGTTTCTTGCGCACGCAATGCGTCTAGGACAAGAGATAATGCACGGTCGGTAAGACCACACCCACTCAACTCCAGACCCCTTAGATGGCAAGCTCGCTCGACTCCTGCAGCGACGAGATAATCCAAGTCAGTATCCCCCAGTTGTATTCTGTTAAGAGCTATCCAATCGACATTTGTTGTTTGGTATTTGCACAGCGGAAACAGCGCTTCCACAATGGCGCAGCCCTGGTCTCTCGCACTACCTCTGGATTCCCCATGGTCGCTGGGTTTCCGCGTGATACAACCTGAAAAGTCCATTCTTCGAAGCTTCCGGTTTGTCAGAGCCAATGCGCGGATTTCCTGAACCAACAAGCAAGATCGCTCTAATTCTTCGATATCCAAGCGCGCGTACGTGCCGCGTTTTGTCTTGAGACAAAGATGCTCTGCGCCATTTGGGTCTTTGAGCCCATTCAAAATATCCAGATGTACATCTTTGAATGAGATTCCACCAAACGTTTCGTTGTACCTCAGGGCGCGCATTACAGCAAGGAGTTCAAGTGTAGTATACTGGGTTCTCCGGGAGCTGGGTGGGAGTAGCTCGAACCGTGGAGAGTCCTCTGGTGGATATGTAATCTGATAGCTAATGTTCTCTGGTTGGACGTCATAAGCGATACAATAACCTATCAAAGTGCGATCCAGAGAGTCAGGGTCCATAGGGTGTGGGCTCTCTTGTCGTACAATGTCTTGTTGTACTTCCTCGGGAACCAGGAAATCCAATGGGCGTGTCTCCCACTCCGGTCTTAGACTAGATTCAACATATTGTAGGCGAACAGCTATGTCTCGTGAGGCAAGCGACGCCAATTGAAGCACCTTTGGTCTTTCTAGAGGTTTTCTGCATGCTGTCAGAGTTGCTCTCGCTGTGGGCATTCGAGCACGTACCTGAAGGTCAATTGGAAAGTATCATCAATCTCGCTGACGCGAACTTCAGTCAGGGTCAGGATACCATGTGACAATTGTGTGTTTTGGGACACCAAGGATGGACTGGAAGATCGTTGCGAAGGCGGCTTGAATAATGGGATGATGTGTACTTTGTGCACGCCAATTGCAAGAAAACATACTGAAGCAGATGCTTTTGTCAGATCATCGGACGAAGACCTGGCCGTGGTTTTCCCTTGGGGCCTGAGGACAACTTTGTATATGGCATAATATGGAGGCACATAGTCACGCTCTGCTTCTACGACGCGCGCAGCCAGGTGGGAGTTATGTGCAGAGATGGGCTTTGCATCACAGAGTCGGGCTGCATTGGCGGCATGTCTTATGATCTTGAGCCAAGCAAACATGTCTTCCGGATCGCCGAATTGGAGAGTCATGGAAGCGGCATGATTGGACTCGTCATCCAGGTAGTACAGCTCGAGGGCAAAGTGCGGCCGTCCGTCGTCTAAGTGGTATGCGGCAACAATGTGACGCAGGGGAATTCCTTGATGACGATCACCAGACGATTCTGAGGCTAGGGACTGGAGCTCATGTGTTGATCCAATGGAGGGGCTGTGACTGTGTCTGTATGTACTCAAGCGATGCGAGGATGGGACCTTACGATACTCAGTTCCATCGCCTGGAATCAAGTGCACTGGGGCGCATTCGATAAAAGCCTCGGCTGCTTTGGACTGGCTCTTGAAGCGGATTAGATGCTTCTCAGTCAGTACCAAATATTCCTTCTTCTTCCTGAACATAGAACTGCTCGTCTGCACCTCTCCATGGTGCAAGACCTGAAGATTGTTCACATCTTCAAACAGGTATTCTCCAAAAACTGTCGAGTTCCGCGTCGAGGTTGCCGAGAGGGGCTCAGGGTCGTCGTCGCCGGGAAGTTTGTAGCCACGAAAGGAACTGAAGACGGAGCTGGCACGCTTCAGCTGGCTCTTGGAAAGATTGGATCGGGCTGAATCAGGCGGTTCTGGGGCGTTGGAGCTGGCTCCTATGGAGCCGTTGATAGTGAATGGTTCTGCATGCTGTGATACGTCGGAGAGATTCGAAATGAAGGAGGCGGTGCGGCGCTTCCGCAGCAGACTCGCGGGTTGGGTGTCGTCTTTGCTGCTCTGGGAGGTGAGGACATTGAGAGAGCTGCGACCGAAAATGCTCCGCCGTTTGTCTTTGGACATTCCGGGGTTGCAGGTTTGCGCGCACAGCCCAGTACGAGCTCAGCGGCGCGACTGTCGCATACAGAAAGTAGAACAGCCCTCGGTGGAAGAAGCAACGGATGCGCGTCGGTAGGTAGGTTAGAAAGAGTCGACGTGCGGAGGGTGAGCCAGAGGAGCGGAGTTGGGACTGAGCGTCGAGGCGTAGCCAATGAACATGCAGGTGCAGGCGTATGCGCGAAGAAGTAAGAAGACAATAACAATAACAACAACAACAATAGCGGGATGGTTATGGGGCGGTAGTCGCAGTGCAGACGTCAGGCTCGGACTTTTAGTGGGACAGCGTTGGCGGTGGTGGTGCAATGGCGATGTCCCATTATTCATGTGTCGTAGGTGGGCGCATATGGTATGAGGGTTTCCGGGGATGATGATGCCTTACGTCTGTCTGAACGAGGGGGGACCGGCAGCCTGCTCACGCCTCAGACGCGAAAAAGGTACGTACAAGCAGGACGCCCTGGACCGGCAAAGAAGGAGAAGAAGGGGGACGCGAAGTTCACAGGGTTCTGTCTAGGTAGTCGTCCTACTGTCGACAAGACATGCGCCCAATGGCGGAGTGGGTGGGTCTCTGCTGCCCTCTCCGCGCGTCCTGACTGTTGCTCCTATGCATCACGTGACGGGCCCTAATAGGCGATCGCCCGGCGTTAACAAAACAAAACGCCGATGGATTTTCTGAAAATGACGAAGCGTCGCTGTCGCCGCTCACCCCAACCGCCGCCCTCACTCTTCACTCCGCCAACACTTTCCAATGCTGAGTCGCCAACTGGTGCGAGCCTCGCCACGGCACTGGAACCATGCATGTCTCTTTTGCGCTGCCCAAAGCCTGCCGCGCCCGCTGCTACGCCAGTCCTTCAGCGCCATTGCTGTTGTGCTGAAGCGAGATGTGACTAAGAAAGCTGCAAAGTCTGCAAAGGCTAAAAAGGCTACAAAGGCTAGCAAAAAGTCAAAGAATGCCCGTGAAATAGAAGAGACCGAGGATGTAGCGGCGGACAAGCATGGCGACGACACTGGCATGTCTCTGAAAGACGCACTCCTTGGTCGCAAGCAGAAACGGAAACGGAAGGCCGAAGAACGTGAGAAGCTGAATATAAGCTCGATTCAGACCAGCGAGCTCAAATTCGAGCCTGTTCCAGTGGAAAAGCCGCCTGTGCCCATGCTAGCCTATGGACTTGACCGCGTGCTTTTCAACCCTGGCGTGTACCGACTACAGGACCCACGGTCAAGAGTGTACAACTTCGACCCCTACCTAGAGAGGATCATGCCAGCCCACGAGTTTGATTTCAAAGCCTTGAGCGAGTACAAGACTTCCTCCAAGGACCAAGGCTTGCTCGCCTTGACGAAGAACATTGGTGCAAAGTTCACAGGCTCCACATCCAGCATGTCGGGCATCCTGCAGCACTTCCATTTCGTTCTGTCCAATTTTCGAAAGCTCAACCACGACATGCTCTCACGCCAGTTCCCAGATCCGTCTCCGAATTTTTCGAAAATCACTCTTGGTCCCAGTACTGTCTTTCTGAGACACAAGGACGGTATCTATGCAATTGACGCAGACAAGTCCTACGACAGACCCAACATTATGAGCTGGCTTGGCCATTCCCTGGAGAAGCTGCTCACAACCGAGCGAAGCGAGTTTGAAAGATATCGTAGATCGAACCCTGAGCAGGCACCTACAGAGGATAACTCCAGTCGTTGCTATCACTATTCGAAGCAAGGCAATATTATGATGCGGTCCCAACTGGATGCAGTCGACCCCCGACTCCCCGGGACCGGCGTTTTCGATTTGAAGACACGGGCTGTTGTTTCAATCCGTATGAACCACAAAGAATTCGAAGAAGGGTCGGGTTACCAGCTACGACATGCGCTGGGTGAGTGGGAGTCTTTTGAGCGTGAGTTCTACGACATGACACGTGCCACGCTGCTCAAGTACTCACTGCAAGTCCGGATGGGGCGAATGGATGGTATTTTCGTCGCCTTTCACAACATTGAGCGCATCTTTGGCTTTCAGTATCTGAGCTTATCAGACATGGATGCTGTTCTTCATGGACAGCACGACACATCCTTGGGAGACGAGGAGTTCAAGGTCTCTATTAGCCTGGTTGATGAACTTCTGACCAAGGCTACCGCTCAGTTTCCCGATACAGTAAGCCACTTTTGTCGACTTCATACTTATAGTCAGTTACTAACTCGAACATAGTCTTTGAGGTTGCATTTTGAAGCACGCGAAGGCAAGACGCCCTTCATGTATATATTTGCTGAGCCCGTCACCGAGGAGCAGGCGGATGATATTCAACAGGCAGGAGAAACTTCCCAACAAGACTTTGCGCGGGATATCGTGGGTATACCAGAAGATGATCGGAGAACTCAAGAAGCTTGGCAAGACATCCAAGACGATGTTGACGAGCAAATCAATGAGGATCAGAAGATCGTCTCGATAGCTGAGAGTAGCGAGGCCGATGCAACTCAGCAAGAAGCACTCGATGCTTCCAAGGACGCGTCCGAAGACGTTTCCGAAGAGTCTATTGAGGAGACCACTGAGGAGGCCGCTGAAGAGACTGCCGAGGAGGCCACTGAAGAGACCGCTGAGGAGACCGCTGGGGAGACTGCTGAGGAGATTGCCGAGGAGACTGCTGAGGAGACTGCTGAGGAGGCCACCAAAGATGGAGATGAGGAGAGCGTAGGAGATGTAGAGGGTGTACCCGAACCTACCTCGATCTCGGAGGGACCGTTGATGGGGTGGACATTGAGCGTCCGTAATATAGTAAACGGGGGCTACGTGGAGAGGCCCGTCGACTTTACAGAACAAGACGAGTGGAAGGTTGAGTACCACATCAAGGAGATTCCAGAGCAGACTCGCTGGAGGCTGTACAACGCGCTAAAGGAGCGGCGGCGTCAACTGATTGGGTTGGACGAAGAGGAGACGGACAAGAAGCTCAAGCCCTACCGCGACCTGATCTCAAGGTTCAGCCACCGCGGGCGACAATGGAGAATAGAGCAAGATCAGCTTAACGAATCAAAGGGAGTGCAGATGTTCCGGCCACTCGGGCCTGGCTCCGATGCTGCACGCGAACATGATGAAGCAGCGACAGAAAAGATGGAGGAGACTACAAAGGTTGAATGAAGAAATGATAGAGTCTGGGGTAACCAAGAGAAAAGCGAAGAGGTATTGGATGGTGCAATATCTCCGTCATGTTAGAAGCCGTTGCTGTTACATGGTCAAGGAATTATTCATTATTCCAAGAAGAGCGCGCAGGAGTGTAAAGATACGAGTGTACGCTTCAGGGCTGCCATGTAAGATAAATGTACAAAAGAACAAAACCACGAAGCGGGAAACATGCAGCAGTTTGTGCAAGGTTGGGCCATGTGCGGCATTGACCGTTAGGTGCATGTGTGACGCAATAATAGTCGACGGTGCACATCATCCCTGCTCTTCCGCCCGCAATTGGCGATGTGAAAGCTCCGCCTTATGCTCCACAGAGCTCACGCCTTATGCCCCCCGCCATGACTACCGCCAGACAAGACACAAGCGCGCCTTCTCCGCATATCGCCAATCCGAGCCCATCTCTTTGATGTTTATAAGCCGGTGCCGCTGCCAAACGCGTTTGCGCCCGCTTGTCTGCCGTCCCGCTCCCGCCCAAAGACCTTTACCAGGTACCCTGCGCAAGCAACACCTCTGAACCCCCACTCCACCACACCTGGCTAGACCACCACCACCATGGAGGCGGCAGATGTGGAGGCCAACATCGACCTCCTGCTCAGCTTCGGTGCCGACCAGCTGGACAGAACCGAGGCCAGACAGCTACTCGCGGTACGAAAGGCACCCCGCTCAAGCACATCGCGCGCGCCTTATGAGCATGGGCTAACAGTATTTCGTAGAATCATGGCAACAGCGTCGAAGCCGCCATGGACAAATACTTCAGCAGTATGGAGCAACAAGGCGGTATCTCGGTACTGAAATCCCATCTGCGCAACTCCCAGCCCAAGTGGGATGAGACTGCTTTTGGAGGTGCCATGTACGGTGCCGACGATGCAACCGTTCCCAGTACGTTGGCCTAGGCTACAAAACACGTCGAGATAACGTGGCTGACATGCGCTCGTGTCAGGTTTCAATATTGACTACGCTCCAGGACATGACAACTACCCCCACAGCAATGTGAATAGCAGAGCACCCACGCGCCCGCCTTCTCGGACCAGCATCGCCTCCAACCAGGCCCAGGCCGGTGACGCTCCAATGCAGAGTCAGTCCATTGCGCTCTATACTACGCCCTACACTGACCGTACTGACGGAGAGACAGGCATAGAAGACCAAGAGAGTGGGGTCATCGGCTCAAACTCCAACTTCAGGCCAGCTACTGGAGATAATTACGACACCTCCCAATGGGCCTTGGTACCCACAGCCACCGAGATCATCGCCGACCCAATACCTATCCAGCGAAAGCGCGAACAAGGCCAACCCGCTATTCTCAAGCCGTCGTCCAACTTCAACTATCTATCCAGTCTTATTCCCATCATACACTCAATACCACTATTTCGGAATGCGCTCCTATGTCCCGGCATACTACAAGAGGACTATTGGATAGGCGAGGATTGGTGGAGAGGCAATCCAACCGAGACTGGGCGCATATTCGATGATAGCATAGGCCGTTCAGAAGCTCACAACTTGGAGATTATCCACGAGGCACAGCGTCTCATGGCTTTCCTCGACAACACGGACAGGATCTATGGATCGGTGAATGCCTTATTACAGACTGAGGCTTGGGCAGAAAATCAGTCAGCTGTCGAGGATCCTGACGATGACTTGCTTAAGTTCCTGGTCATGTGGGGTTTTGCAGTACAGAGTCATGTACCGAATGTCGAGTTGAATGGTCTTCTTCGTTCCACTGTCAATGTCGCGGGAACAACACAAGAAAGCTTTGCGCTTGACACCACTGTCACACGAGATCAGTCTAGGCCCAACTTCAGCTTGTATGATGTCCTCGATGACACACTCTTTTCCTCAGCAGTGGGAAGCGCACACATACGCGACGCCAGCAATGTGCTCATTATCCGCCTGACCTCGTCAAATACAGAAGCGTCCGATCTTGGATGTCGTGTACCAGCGACTCTCTATGTCGACCGCTATCTCGAGAAGAACAAACATGTCATTGACGGCATGTACAGCGATATCAGAAAGCATGAAGAGCAGCTGAATTCCATTCAGAAGCAGTTGGACAAGCTGAAATACTACACTCCAAAGAAGGCCGGTGCCAAGAAAGTGGAATCACTGCAACTGCTGCGAACCAGCATGACCGCATATGAACATCCAGAGGGAGATGATTCACCCGAGGACGCACTGGTCTTATCTCAGCTTCAAGATCTCTACAAAAGTATTGAGGACAAGCTTGCGACACTTGAGAAGCAGACTGAGTATACGAAGAACATGATTGTTGGTATCTCTGGCAGATTTAAGCCCCGCGTAGACGATGGTGCCACAGATGACGATACTGGGAACGCTACAGATGTTGCGACTGGAAAGGCTGCAAAAGAGTCTGTAGAACCGGTCAAAATTGACTTCCCGGAGGGTCAGACACCAGAGGATGCCATGCACTACCCATACTATCTCCATGGCGTGGCCACTCGCCGTGACGTAGTCTATGTGCGACATCCAGACATCCAATCCGATGTTCCAGGCGCAATGCAGTGGTGGCGAATGCAGTACGACTCGGAATCCTCGAACCCGACAATAAGGCGAGACCGCCTCACGCTCCAAGAGGTTATTGAGCGAGCGACTACCGAATCTGCTTCGGCACTTCTAGTCTATGCCAACGACGACGCCATGTCAGTCGAACCCGTACCACTAGCAAAACCCCTCCTCGATTTCGTCAAGCGCGACAATCTCAACTTTTTGGAAGAGTTGCAAAAGAACGCAACAGGCTGGGAAGGCTATAACGAGTACGACAATGCCGGCCAGACAAGCTGGGACAACCGCACAGCGCGTTGGGACAAGCCTCCCGTAGGCGATTGGGTCGAAGACACTTTTCCCACAGACAACAATGAATGGAGTCAAATATCCACCAAGGAACTCCACAACCGCGCTCGCAACGATTCAAACATGAGTTCTGCTACTTTAACCCCAAATACAGAGGTTGAAGACGACAACGACGCTTCTGGTGCCGCGACCCAGCCTAACCCCGCCCGCCCTGCGGTTTCTCAACTCAGCAACGCGAGTAGCGAGACAGTGGGCAGAAGCGATGATGCCATGGATGTTGATGCTCAGAAGTTGCAGAATAGGGTTTTATTCTCTGATGTCGATATGCCGGATGCGATGGATAACATTGATGCACAGCATGGGAAGGGTGTGGAGGAGATGAAGAAGGGTGGTTAGTTTTTTGCTGCTTGAATTTTGATGCGAGAAACATTGCTCGTGAGGGAAATGCATGGGCTGGCGCTTTATGCCGCTGTTTCTTGGATTTGGGGCAGCTGGTGAATGAGTAGGTGTAGGGAAGTTGGTATCGTGGGATTCATAGTGTAATACTGAACATGCCACTCTATCTATTCAACTCTGTATCTAATCGCCTTGGTTCGATGGCTTTTTCCTCTTCGTTTCCTACGCTTTTCTCTTCCACCAAATGATTTTTATGTAGGTTCTCGAGAAAATGTGTGCGAAAGCTAACCTTGTGGTTTTTTTGAGTCTTCGAATCCCCCCACCTCTATATACCAAAAAGATTATTTGATTTCTGAAGAACATCTTAGCATTAAAATCAATTTTTTCCTAACTCCCAAGACGCAGAGAGGAGTTTTTAAGTTTTAGCGCTGGAGGAGCTTTCTTGATTTCTCCTTGCTTGACTAGTGCGCCCTTTTCTGAGCCAAAATACTGTATGTAGCCACATCAGATAGCCTTGTATCAGGCAATACATTTAATTACCGGTATTTTTTGGTCTTGCACTCAGTTATGTTTTCTTTTGTTGACCTAGACAACGGCATGCGAGAACATGGAATATGTGACTTGTAGGAAATTTTGGTGTGTAAATTACATACTGAAATCATGCATCCATCAATTACATTCCATAATCTTCATCTGATACACGATCTCATTGTCACAACGATGATACCCCTCTCACACAATCATGGCCTTTGCTTTTATCCAGCCCCTTACCCCTGCATCTCGATGCCGCCCGAGCCATGCAATACCTCGCCCGTGCAGTACGATCCCAACGGCGACGCAAGATGCACATAGCACGTAGCCATCTCAACAGGCATGCCTGGCCGATTCAGTGGACAAGCACCAACCCCAAGCGACTCCATTGCATCTGCAGGGTTGCCTTTCGTTGCTGGCTGGAGAGGGGTCCATCTTTTGAGTAATTAGTGTTATTACCTAGAAAAAGAGGAAGATGATAATAGTTGGAGTGTGTATGAGGTTGGAGTGAAGAACTTACATAATTCCAGGCGCAACTGCGTTGACTCTGATTCCTTTGGGCGCCTGCTGTTGTGCCAGACCCCTTGTGAAGGTTGCGATTGCGCCTTTGGTAGATGCGTAATCGAGGAGTGTGGGATTTGACATGTACGCAGCAACTGAAGTGCTATTTACGATGCTGTCGCCACGCTTCATGTGCTTGAGCGCGTACTTGCTCATTGCGAACATGGAAATGACGTTTGTCTGGAATGTCTTCTCTGTGACGTCCAGATCGATTTCGGTGATGTCGGTAGCCATTTCTTGCATTGCGGCTTTTTAGTTTTTCAGCAGTCAGCAGCATGTTCTTCTTAATGCATACAGTAAAGAGAAGAAGAAAAACCCACCATTATTGACTAGCACATTCAGTTTGCCAAATACTTTCATGTGTTGCTCAACGGCTTGCTCGCAGTTCTTGCGCTCCCGCAGGTTGAGTTGCATGAGGTTGGCTTTGCGGCCCGCCTCTTCAATCTTCTTCTTGACGTATTGGGCGTCTTCTTCTTCCTCGGGCAGATATACAATGCTTACATCTGCGCCTTCTCTTGCAAACAAAATGGCGACTGCGCGTCCGATACCAGAGTCACCGCCAGTGATTAGCGCTGCTTTGCCTTGGAGCAGGCCGCGGCCTTCGTATTCTTTGAGATACGGCTTCTGGTTGTCGTCCCAGAATTCAAGGCGCGACCATTCTGCTTTTTGCTCCATTCTGGCATCGAGGCCAGGGCCACCTTCTTGGTTTTGCGCTGTGATAGAAGTCGCGGGGTACGCGGTGACGGGGCTGTTATCGTCGCTCATGTTGGATAGTTAGTGGGGGATGTTTGTGTGATTGGGTTGAAATAAGGTTATGGAAGAGATTGATTTGGATGTTGGTTTTCTGTGAGGATGTTTTCGGAAGGAGATCTACGGATGTTCAGAAACTGTTTATAATGTAGGGGAGGGTCATGGTGGGGGTGGGTATTTGTTAGAGTCGTCATGGAACGTCATTGCATAGTATGTATGCATATTCAACGCCCAATACACACGTCATTTTTGGGATGTATATGGGTAATAGGATCTTTCATTAGTACAGTTTTGGTTGTGTATTGACTTTGCACCAGGGACTTGTGTTACGAGGTGAGGTACGCTGTAACTAGTTATAGGAGGCTCTGTTATAAGCGCCTAATAATAGTAAGAATATCTTCTTTAACACCCGGAAACCAAAACAGCCTGGAAAGCCAGAGTCATGATCCTTTGCAGGTAAGAGATAAGCCCAGCGAAATCTTCTTCTTGTATCTTTAAAAAAAGATAGGAATAGCTAGGCATCGTCTTCCCAATATCAGTTTTCGTATTCTAGATTGGAATGGACAAATATGATCTAATGCTCACCTAAGATCAACTATGTGATCCGTTTCAGAAAGCAAAAAATCAAAGCCAAAAACATACGACAGCGGGGATTCGCCAGTGGTCACCCACCTGACTACTAGTCCGCCGGTCAAAGACTTAACGTGTGGAGAGCGAACGGGATCCAGTGCTGTAATTTGCCGATGGCCGTATGTACCAGAATAGCAAAATAAAATGTGTTACATTCGCACATGAATTGATTTCCTAGTAAGTTGAGGCACTTAGAAATGACAACCGCCGCCAAGACTAAGCCACTTCTTACACCACTATATACAAAAATCAATTAACCGCGTATACGAGAACGTAGGTTTTGTTCCCGCGAATATGTATACGAGTAACAATACCTATTGTCGAAGTCAAGGTAGGATTTTACTTCTTTGAGTTGAGAAAGCACATGGTAGAGTGAAATATCTTGATTCGTCTGCCTCAAAGTTTGCAATGACCGTTGATACTCGCGATTCTCACCCTTGTAGAAGGGGCAATTCTCTGTATATGGAGAAGTTATCGCCAATGTGGTGGTGGCTTCTAGACATGGCTAAAGTGGATACTCCAGTGTCTGGATCTCTTTACGAATGACAAGGTTCAGACATGTCTCACATATCTGAACCGCTTTGCACCTAGTATGATTCATCGGCTGTGCTTTGATGAAAGACCAAGCAGCCTGGATGTGTATAGCGAGCTGACATGAACGAGGTCTCAATGTTTTCCAATAGGACTGCAGAGAGAGTGGTGAGCTGAACATATAAGCTACGGGTTGCCGGACCAAACCATTGGAATGCTATACCTGAATATCTTGTTTCAGCGCCTTTCATAATGTTTTTCCAGCTGTCTGACGATCGAGTGGAACAGTGCTAGGATACAGCTGATCTCGGTGTTTATACTGACCCTGTGCTGAGGGCTTAAGCCAACAATCTTGGGTTTTTGTAAACGCCACTGGAACTTATTATGAGATGCAATGGCGAGCTTTCATATAAATATGTGTTTAAGCTGGCAGGTCTTGGATCGACACTGCATATGAACTTGATCAGTCGCGCATTGACAAGCAAAGTTGAATACTCAAGTATGAAACAAAAATTCAACAACTTGATTGATTCGTAAGTAACCGGCAACAGGCAGGATACGATGAACTTGCGTGCGTGCGTTTATTGGGAATGCAACGCAAGCAATGGACGCGTCATCGAAGAAATGTGTGGAGTCAGGTCTAGCACGCTACATCGAGACAAAGTCATACAGCCATAATGCCAGTAGCAATGCTGCATCGGATGAAACATCCAAAAGCGACAAAAGCGAGAATGGCGATGGCCATAATGGGTGTATTCCGACGCGGACATCTTGTGGTGTCGGGCCTTCGACGGTCAATGCGTGACCCAGCCGACCACGAGGACCAAGCTGCGCCAAGCTCCAGGGAGGGTTTGCGTTGAATTGCAGAGCACCAAGTGGAACCTTGCGCGTAAAGCTACTACCTCTATTAGCCAATTATTACACGTATTCGCGTATATGAGCAAGGAATGTTGAGCTCGAGTGTGCGTGCACTTTGAGCACATATGGGATGAGTGCAAGCCCGACACTGAGAATGGATACCAAGGATGCAACAATAACTTTCTGATAGTACACAAGAGACTTGCATGGTGGTGTTGGGGCGCCGATTCCCGAGATTAAATTCGCAATCAGGATGAAAAAAAGATGAGTTACAGAAACTTAGGAAGGGTGACAGATGAAGATATAGCATCAAAAATGATTGGAATAAGCATCGAGTAGTGAGAGATGCGTGATGCTCATTGGACCTCAGTTGGTTTGAGCACTGGTAGCTGCGCTAGAGCCTGTCATAAGAAACATTCGGAAACTTCATTAGGCGACCTTGGTGTAGAGATAGCAGGGCTGGATGTTTGCCTTTTCCCTCAGGCATCCTTGCAAAAACCATCGATCAGAAACCCTATTCGGGTACATCACAGTCAAAACACCGATCTGAACATATGGGTTGCTTGTCTGTAGCCCACTCAGGATCGAGGATCGCACAGCACCAAATGTCTCGCCAGGAATAGGCACGAGACTTTTTCATGTGGAAGCACAAAGTGTCAGTTGGTCATGAAACCTATACTGATATGCTTCTCGAAACGTACAACAAGCAGGCTGGATAGGGCGTTCGGACGATGGAGCCGGATGTCATGGTCATGCTAAGCTGGTGGTTGAAGCTTGGTCTAATAGGACTCGCCGATTCTTGGGCGATTTCTTGAGCGTCTGGCCCATTATGGGCGGAGCATACCAAGACAACCGGCAAAGCGCGCGCCTCGTGCTCGTATTACAAACTCAGTGGGGTTCAACTGACTCCTGGATCCTGAAACATTGCACAGCGTCTTTTCAAACAGAGGGGAGTCCTTAGCGAACCACACTTTCTGCAGACGCCATCCGGGTGTTGAGAGTATTACACACGTCAATAGGTCGTTTATCGATAGGTCTTTTCGCTTGAGGCTGACGGCTGAAACGACGGCGTTGTGCGGTTGGCGTACGGCAATGGAAGCCCCGTACAACCCCTGTTGGCACCAGACGGTGAGCCGAGAGATGGCCCGACCACAAGAAAAGCACGCTTGGTCATTTTGAACCAAAGAAAACACAACGTCACTGCCTTCTGATTCGTCCTGCCGATTATTAGATGTATCTCGGCCTCCTCCGGATTCCACTGAAAAGTCTTGAAGGGGTCGTCGAGACCTGTGGATATTCGGTTCAGGAACAAATAGTGCCGATCTAGTCAACAGAAAAGAGGCCAAGGCAGCCGCAGCGACATAGTGGAGACGACAGCATTAGCCAGCTCTGTCATTCGAAGGGATGCCCAGGACCGAGACCACTAGGAAAGGTCGTTCAACACCCTGGTGACCCAAGTGTCCTTCTAGTTCTGCTGTACCTACATTAGCGTCAGGCACATATTCCACGTAATGGGGCGTCAGTGGGTATGGGCGTCAGCAGGCCGCAAGCCGGTGCCGGCAGAAGCCACAATGTAAACGATTCTCTTGCTTTTCGGGAAGTGCGGGGGGAAGGGGGACCGAAGAAGCGTCTGGATCTCCTTGTGCAATCATTTCAGCCCTGGCTCCGACTATACATAAGGTCTTTTCGTTCCCCGTCCAGTCTCGTTTTTCTTCACGCTCCAGCAAGCAAGTCATTCTTTCCGCAGTCAGTCTTTGACCAGTCACTCTTTCATAGCCAGGTGCTATCAAAAACTCGCTCTTCGTCATTCTTTTTATACCCTTTTGCGTTATCTCGCCAACAATACCCCCAACGAGCCGTCTTTTGCAAACTACCGCCATTATGTCTATGTCCAAGATCTTCCAGACCACTGCTCTTGTCGCAGCCCTCATTTCCTCCGTTGCCGGCCACACTTCCGTTGAGAAGTTTGAGGCTGGAGGCAAGACTTATGAAGGCTACCGTCAGGCGAGCAAGGTCGATCCCGGTAACCAGTCTCCTGCTTGGTGGACGGCCCAAGGCTGGGGATACCAGCCCGTCTACGGCGATAAAATTGCGCACCCCGACATCATTGCTCACAAGGACGCTTCGCCCTCGCCTTACACTGCTCCAGTCCCCGCTGGATCTGATGTCACTTTCCACTGGCACCATGAAGGCAGCTGTGGCGGCGGCGAAGAGGGCTGGGACTGCTCCCACCACGGCTGGACTGCCACTTATCTCGCCCCTTGCAACGGCGACTGTGCCAAGGTCGACAAGACGACTCTCCAGTTCTTCAAGATCCATGAGTCCGCCCTGATCGACTACCGCAAGGGCCGCTACTCGTCCGGCTCGCCCCAAGAACAAACCGGTTACTGGGGCACCGACGCCATCTTCTACGACAACCGCAACACTCAGACAGTCAAGATCCCATCTGACATTCCCAGCCAAAACTACGTCCTCCGAACCGAGGTCGTCTCCATCCACAACAACGGTGATGTTAGCAACCGCCAGTTCTGGCCTCAAGCCTTCAACATCAAGGTGACTGGCGGTAAGAATGGCGCCAAGGTCCCTGCTGGAAAGAAGGGTACCGAGCTGTACAAGGCCAACGACCCGCTCCTTAAGTGGGACCTTTACTGGCACAAGGCTGGCCAGACTTCCCCAGATGCTCCTGGTCCTCAAATCGCATCTGTTGCGTCCAGCAACTCCAGGCGCCACGCCAGGGACTTTTCTTCTTAGACGATCTTCTTCATCTTTCTTCAAGACTTCTTTTATGGACATGGTTTCGGGTGGACTATGATCTTGGTTCTATGATCAAGACAAAAACGGAAAACGGCGCGAGTTTGCTTCAGCGAGGGTGTGTGACGCACTATTCTTCTTCTTATGTTCCTTTGTGGAACTGGTTTTGAGAACACGACGCTTGCGGCACGATCTCATGATTTTTCTTCTTCTCTATAGATACTTATACTGCATCCCAGCGGATGTGAATGCAAATGAAAATGCATTTTCTAGGCTTCGAGCCCAATTTATACATTGTCTCTGCTTCGCTTAAGTGATGTCTTGTAGTGCACCTTATACTATGTTTTCAAGCCCACTCTTGGACTGATAAGTAAAATCTGACCATGCTTCCTAATAAGTGGATATTTGCTTTCACTCTTTTATAGCCCACGGAAATGGCCTAGAATGTTGCTTGATTACCGGAGATTACGTTAGCTTACCTCCATCATTCCAAAGTTACTTAGGTTCTCTATAGCATGCCTCTAGACGCAGTAGAACACGATAGCCAATCATTCAGCCAGCGCATTTCCCAAAATCAACAAAACCACATACCGCAGAGTTTGCTCATGGCGTTTCCTTTAATCCACATTAACACAGACTACGTTGAACACACTATCGACTCCTTTGTTCCAAATCTTACACTAACATGTCCTTGTCGAGATTGCAAATTGTAGTCAGGCTATGTTTCTCCTACACTAACCCTTTTGACGAAATCTGGTTCACTAACATTAGTGTACCAACTTTCATGTACAGGGTTGGAACATAGTGTACCAGAATGACATATTATACCGTTTTGAATAGCGTCATATACAAGCGTGTACTTAGTTGTTGTGCTAATTGCGTTTCGTGCTAGGGGTTACAAGATGGACTATGGCGCCACAATTTCTTCCCCTATTAACAACTATGGCCGGGTATGCAGCCATAATTTTCATTGTTAAATGCATTTTCTTTCGTATTTATCTTCGCATCTTGGCGGACTAAACATTAGTATTTTCCTTCAAATAGACAAGATTCTTCTTATATCACAAATCAGCACGAAAGGCGAAACAAGTACTTATTAAACTTTGTACTTTTTATAATTTCAGGTTCTACTTAAAGAACCATCGTCATTAACATTAATCTGGCAACAACTAGATACTTGTTGTAATAAACCTAGTCCTTCCAGAACTGACCCTTGCCCTTCTTGCGGCCCTTGACATCGGCCTGCTTGACAACAAAGACACCACGGTCAATGGTGTTGATGACAACGTAGCCAGAGTCGAAGGTGTAGGCGGACCAGGTACCAGCGTCCCAGAGAGCGTCACCACCGCCGGGCTTGGCGTCATCGCCAGGGTAGACATCGAAGTAAGCAATTTCCTTGATCTTCGAACCATCCGGATACTTTGGAATCGAAGAGACGTCAAGAATTCGGAGACCAGCCTGGTAGTTGGACTGGTAGGAAAGACCATCGTAGACGTACTGGTTGTGGTCGACGGAGCGGACAGTGGTCTTGTAAAGACCGCTGACGAAGGGCTTCTCGAGGTTCTGGATATCAACAATGTAGGTGACTGCAAAGCCGTCTTTCGCGGGAGAGTCTACAGCAGTGCGGTTAGGATCGATCTGGCCCTCGTCGAGCTCGTCGTCCATAACAATGTGGGTTTGCCAGTAGGGGTCAATAACCCAGCCCTGGTGGGTGTAGGAAGCACCGACATATGGAGTGCGAGAAATCATCTTTCCAGCAGTGCCAAAGCCTTTCTTATTAGTTGCATCAATGATCGTTAAAGTGTCTTCTGCGTACAAGAAGCAGATATCCCGTCCGTAGTATTTCTTGTGAGGACCACGGTAAACGATACATTGACTGTCGTGAACGTACCCGTCACCGGAAAAGCATCCCTCAACATAGGGCTTGGCTGGGTTCTCCATGTTGATGAACATGGGACCACCAGCACAAGTATCGTTACGGCCTGGTCGACCGCCGGCTCCGCAGGCAACGGCGTAGTTCTTCTCCTCGTTGGCGACGACGGTGTGGGTACGACCCTTGATACCCTGGTTGATGTCGACAAGAGCAACATCCTTAACCTTGTCAAAGGTGTAAGGCTTCTTGGGAGAAAGCTTGAGCAGCTTCTTCAGGTCAAAGATCTGGACGTGATGTCCAATACCTTCAGACCCAACAATGAGAGAGTCGCCGAGGACTTTGATCTCACGCCAGATGACAGAGTCATTCTGGGCGGGAAGACGACCAAGGTACTCGAGCTTGCCCTCCTTGGTAACCTCAGAGAAGGAAGCACCGTAGGTTTGGCCGATGGCAATCTGTGCGACAGTTAGTATGCTCGTCCCGCTATGTAAAGTTCGGTGTCACGTGATTTAGTATCACGTAATATTCTGCCTCACAGCGCCGCCCATCAGGACAACACCGAATGGCATGCGAAAGAAAGAAATATGAATTTCTTCCGATCCGAATATAAGAAAATGGATTAGGACTCGGGGAAACTTACGAATTCACGGCCACGGTGTGTCCATCCCCAAGATCCAGAGCCGTCTCCGATAGGGTCACCGAGCTCGGCGTGTGTCTTGAAGTCGTACAAGTCAATGTTGTTGCACCTGTACGTCTGGTCTGGGTCGTTCTTCACAGCCTCGACGCGACCATGCTTGCACTTGATAACGCTCTTGTCGGCCCTCTTTTGCTCGAAGCCGCTCCACCTGGCGCTGTCGAAGTTACCAGCAGCACGTTGCTTGGCCCAGGCAGACTGAATCTGTTAGTATCTCATGCAATGGACAGACTTTCTTGAACCTACCTCCTTGCCATTCATCATCAGCTCCATAACCTCTCCCGAGGCATATTGCTGACGAGTAAAGCCGCTGGCCGAGGCCAATGGCAGTAAAGCCGTGGTGATAGTAGCCCACTTCATGTTGACGAAGACGACTGCGGATTGACTTTGGGCAGTTGGGTGTGGGCCTCAAATTGGGAGCACAAGCATAGTCATTATATATCTTTCTCCTCTCGTACTACACCACCGGAAGCACCGACTAAGTCATGGTGGTCTCCCGCCCTCGGTCGAGGCCACTATACAGACCTTCCTATCACAGCTACAACCGACGAGTAGAATGATCCAAGACACGCGCAGAAGCGACAATACTAGGCGCAGCATGCAATGGTATGCAAGCCAAGTCTGTCAGGTCTTGGGAATACGGCTATGGGTAGGGTTCCCATATCAACTCCCCTGTGCCAAGCATGAGGCGGTTCTTGGCCGCCATTTCGCCCGGGCATCCGCATGGCAGCGCATGGTATGCATCCCGTAAACCACAACAACCAGGTCTCTGGTAGAATCCAGCAAAAGCAGTGGTAGTAGAATAACCACAAGAATGGTAGGTTATTGGTACTACTGCTACTGCTATTGCTACTGCCACCTCTACTGGAAACCGGAGATATCGCCTTGATTTCTTTGTTCAAGTACGCAAATCGCGCTGGTCAACAAGGTGGCGGGGCCATGGACACGTGAGGGTTAGGTGCTAATCTTCTTCTCCGAATCTCCAGATAGCGTGGTCGGATTAGGCAGCTGCTCTTGCTGCCAAGCCATTGTGGAATTACACGACCAAAGAAATCCAAGCACCCTGCCATCGGCCATTAACGTCTACAGAGGGCCTGAAAAGACGCGGCCCATTACCAGCCGACGGGAGCCATTAGCCGCAGTCGTTGTTTTCGAGCACCTTCCTGTAGGAGCGTGTTGTGGCAAAGATGTCAGCACTGGTCTGGGTGCACTGGCAGTGGGCAAAGGCAAAAGCACTAACGCCATGCCGTAGACTGATGGCCTTATCGCAGAGGTAGGCAGGTCGTTATATTGATCATATCTATACCCGGCTTGGCGTAGAAGTGCGATGCAGTTGGGATAGAGAGGCCGAGGTGAGGCGAATTGGTGGGAGCCGTGGACGAGCAAAAGCGCAATGGTGCCGTGAGAAAACAGCGGGAGAAACGAGCGTCTTTGTAGGTGCCTCAGCCTGGATCAAGACAGTATCGTTAATGGTCAATCGAGCGCATAGTGGGCTGCATTTGAGCAGAATTGAGGCCGTTCTAGGAATGGAGCTGTGTTGTCCAGGCTGATTGGCCTGCGCGAACAAGGTGCATACTGCGTGTTCTTGCTAGTACTGGATAGTACCAAGTGCAAACCACGGCCACGGTACTATACCTGGGGGATGAGCAGGTTCGGTCTTAACCAAGGCGATCGAGAGTGATCTTGCAAAGCTTGAAGAGCTTGTTGCTGCCGGGGGTTGTGAACGTCTGTCTTGGAGTACGACATTGCAGTGGTGGTAAGATGGGATGAAAGACTGCGGACGGGCAAACCTCGGCTAGCTTCCCGTACCCTTGCACATCCTCCTCTCACCACCAACGTCACGCTCCCGTAACCACCAATCAACTCTAGCCCGGCCATGAAGCTCACTGAAGACGACCTCTATCGCAACTCGACACAGTATCGAAACTGGTCCTTTACTCGCGCACAGCTTGCCGAGCAACGTCTAAGGATCAACCTCCAGGCCACTGAGCGCGTCAAGGCGAACCTTGCGCGAGTGCGAGCGCAGCGCGCTCAGGATGCTGTAGACAGTGACGCTGCGCCACCTGGCGCGGACAAGGAGAATGCGAGCGGGGCAAATACTCCCAATTCAGGCATGCAGACGACGACTGAGGTCAATTGTCTGACTGCTGAAGAGGAACTCACCGTGGTCAATGAGTTTTGCGAACGCGCCATCGCTCTAGGAAACCACTACAGCTTTCCATTGAACGTAGTTGTACGCCGCTACCTGGCAATATCATAATTTGCCCACCAACTGATGCGACTCCTAGGCAACATGTATTCAGTTCATGCGCCGCTTCTATCTCTACAACTCGCCCATGACCTACCACGTCAACACCATCCTACGCACCATCATGTTTATGGCCACCAAGATTGAGCTGTTCAACATCCACGTCTCACAGTACGCAGAAGGCGCCGGGCGTAATGTGACCACCGAAGACGTGCTCGCACCCGAATACATCATCATGCAAGGATTGCGGTACAACCTTGACGTACGTCACCCTTTCCGCGCTCTCAAGGCTGGTCACATGGAGCTACTGGAGATGGTACACGGAAAGTACCAGGGACCAGTCCAGGATATAACGCCAAAGGAAGTGCAGAACAAGATTCTCTCACTACCTGCCAAGACTGGTGGTACGGCCATCAAGATGCCAGAGAAAAAGGTTGAAGAGCGAATCCACGCAGCATACGGCACCGCAACAAACACACTCCGTACTATTGCTGTGCTTACAGACGCATACTTCCTCTATACCCCATCGCAAATCTGGCTCTCAGCCCACCTCCTCGCAGACGAACCCCTCACGCTATTCTACCTCTCCACCAAACTCCCCCAATCACATCCCCACCACGCCAAACTCCTATCTACTCTGCGCTCATGTGCCTCTCTCATCTCCAGCCACCGCTTATACGTCAACGCCACGCTCTCTGCCACTGAGCGCGACGCCCGCGAAGCAAAACACAAAGCTGAAGTCAAAGCCCTCGTGCAAAAGTTGAAGAACTGCCGGGACCCAGATAAGGTCGATTTAGTAAAACTGAATCAGGCGCAGAAGAGAGATGCAGTTCAGGGCGATGCGCTAGAGGAAAGTAAAGCTAAGAGGAGGAAGCTTGCCAGAGAGGGTTATGAAAAGGAATCCGATGCGTTTTGGGGACCTGAATTGGTCAAGTCGGACAAGACGGAGAAGTAGTAGAGTCTTGGTTCTTTTTCTTCTTCCGAGCTACATGGTTGCAATGTAATATCAGGATGGCGGAGTTGCTTTGTACAATACGCGTATTTGGATTGGGGGCGTTTTACAGGGAAACAAAAGGGTTTAATAATGATACCATGAAGCGAGTCTCATTTTCAAGAGAATAACTGAGTTAACTAGATTAAGATGCGTAGAAACCAAAGGTTTTCTCTTACATGTCTATTCAAACAGGAGATTTGGTAGAATGTAGGGATTGGCTAGCGATGCGATACGTAAGTATAGATTCTAGGTGAAACCAACGTGTTTTCCCGATTAGGCAAGTTTTGAGATGCAAGTGTGAATTCCTGTAGCAATTGCAATTTGCAGTAATTTGCACTTGCATCCTGCAAATTGCAGCTGCAACTTGCACACAAACCTATGCTCTTCCGTTCGACAGCGACTATCCAAACAGGCAATCCTCGATAAAAAGTGCAGATTATTGTACGGAAACAAAAAAAATAAGCAAAGTGCAGCCATCTTTGTGCTGCATCTGGTCTACGTTGGTGCATTCCAAGCCGAGGGTAGAGGTATTACCCGAATGGGCAAGTTTGGGAAGAAGGGTGTGGATGACGGCAAAAGAAAAGACGTCGTGTTCGTTTGCGTTTGCGTCTTCCAGCTGCGTTTCGGCCATTTTGGGTTTAGTGCGCAACTTACCCAGACGGAGACAGAAAACGGAGGGGTCCAGCCGAACAGCCCTCCGTTTTGTAGCAGCATCTTGACCACAGGAGTTGATGAATCCATCCCAAAGAAAAATTGACCAATTTCGCTGTACTTATGCAGCAAAACAGATATTTTAACATCATGCTACGTCTTTGAAAGTAACTATTACTTCAAAATCCTCAATTCAACAGACCACGCCGCCATTCAGAGCCTCCGTTTCCAAAATCGAGCCCAATTCAGCTAGCAAAACGCAGCCGCAAACCGCGCAGCCGAACAGGCCCTGAAACGGAAAAAACGTAGGCCAACTGAATAGACCCCTCTCAAGGCTGCCAAAACGGAGACCCCATTTACGTTCGGTTCCGGTCCAACTCTCTCCGTCCCCGCTAAGCCCCGTTCAGGCGAGTGACGTAGTTTGGTACCACAGCGCGGGACACTCCCCGGTTGCGAAATCAGACAAGACCCTATTTTTCCCTCTGAACCCAACTTATCGGTGCTTATTTGATGAGCGAGGCATGGAAAAAAAAGGGAGTGAGTTCCAAGTCGGCGAGAGTAGAGATAGGCGCGCTTAAGTGCGTAGAAGAAAACAACAAAAGCGCTCGTTACCTTCTTATCTATCATCTTCTGCACGTTTTCTGCGCAAACTCTATCATTACTCGCAAGTATATATATGTGAGAGTTGAACGGTATAACTATAGACTTTACATACTTACGAATCCCAACTCGGTACTTTCTCACCTCGACTAATCTACCCACTACACACCCCTCGCCTCACCCTCGTACCTCCTTGCTCCATCCGTCTTATTGGTACCGGACAAAAAAGATACCCTCTCCACCCCCCGCGCAGCCAATCACCTCTGCATGCTGAATTCAAACTGCCGCACTCGGTAAGAAGTCAGCTTCAGGCATTGATTATAGTGGGTTTCCGCTCGTTCCCCGATGGACCCTCGTTGCTCCTCCTTCTCCTTCTTCGTCGTAACGTCTGGACTCGGGGCGGACATGGGATGTTCCCTGTTTTTTTTTCGGAGAGGGAGGGGAGGGGGCGCTTTCGCCTCTTTTGGGTCTCCCCACCACCAACCATCATGATCTCTCTGCCCTTGGTACATGAGGGATTAAATCACGCCACTTACAGTCACAACATGATCTCGAGATATTTACAATGTAGAAAGATGAGCTTTTGAATTTCTAATATACCTGATTTTGCGCCACATTGAGCCAGATAGTCGTCAAGAAGAAAGTCATGTTTTACCACCGTCCTCCCAAACGCCAGCCATGCAATCATAAAGTGAGCTTCCTCATTACGACATGAGAGCTTAGTCCACATACTCCGACCTGACCTTCTTCGCTCTCTTCTTGTTCGCCTTGAAATGCTTTTTGCTGTTCATCTTCATCTCTGCTGGATCAACATCCTGCTCCAGCGCTGCCATCATCTTGGCTTTCCTGCCGCTCAACTCCTTGCCTTGCTCACTATACTTGTAGTGGAATGGTTGGCTGACCTTAGCCATTCCTTGGCCTGGGCCAAAGAAGCGCTTGTCCATGCGTTGTGTCTTCTCGCCTTGAATAGGTACGCCACCGTCGAAGTCGTCGTCCATCAATGATGCGCCGTCTTCGGGCATGTCTGCAAGAGACGTGTTACCGGGAACGTTTGCAAGAGGGTGGTGGCGACGCTTGGCAGGTAGATGATTCACATCGTAGAGCTCGCGGTTAAAGTGCTTCTCGTCAATTGGTGGCTCTGTTGGTGGTGGGTGACAGAACAAGATCTTGCCCTTGACGTAGTCCTTGAGAATGTATCGCGCTGCTCGCGATTCATCGGGTTGGCCGAGACCCTGAGTGGAGAAGCCTCGAGCAATAGCAAAGGCGCGCAATATTTCTTCAGAGGTAAGAACACCAGTGCCACCCTCCTCAAGAGGGCGAGGATGAATCTTCATTCCATAAAGCGCTTCCAAGAATCGCTGTGGAATTCGCCTGGCAACAAGACCTGCAGGGCCAGTGTACTCTCGCAGTTGGTCAATTGGAAGGACACCAGCGCACACAAGCTCAGCCTTGGTCGTCGCAAAGTTGGGGAACACAAGACCAGGGCAATCGCACAAGACGACCTTATCGCTGAGGTGAATAGTCTGGAAGTGCTTCGTCTTTCCCGGTGTTGCAGACACAGACACCTTCTTGGCGCCGATCAAAGCGTTGATTGTAGATGACTTTCCTACGTTGGGGTAACCAACCAGACCAATTGACGTCTTGCGCGGCTCGCCATTGGGACCTGTTTCGACATCTGGTGCATGTTGTAGGAAAAGCGCCTCGAGATCTTCTGTTGTGAGAATTCGCGTTCGCTCGTCACCATCTGCGCCGGCACTGCTCTCGCCAAGAACGTCGACGGTCTCCTCATCTACCCACTTTTCCTCCTCTTCTTGCTTATCTTGTAGGTCAATCTTCTTGGCCTCCTTCGCAAGTTCATCGTCTTCCTGGTCAACTTCTTCGTCTTCATCCTCATCCGAGTAGTCCTCTGAATCGCCTGATTCGTCACTTTCCTCCGTCAACCCACGGGCTTCGTTCATCTCCTTGGCCAACTCAGCAGAAAAGAACTTGAAGTTGATACCAGCTTCAGTGAAATAGTCGGCCCAAATTTTTCGCTGCTCCAGTGTCATCATATCCGCCTTGTTGACCAGTAGCAAATTGTTCTTCTTGGGGTCCACTTCCTTGACGTAGTCCTCCAAATCCTCGGATCGGAACATGAGCGGGTTTCGAGCATCCACGATTTGCACCACGAGATCGGATCTCTCGATAACACGCCATAGTTGCCTCCATACCTCGAGGTTGCGCTCAAAGGGTGTCATGAGCAGATCGTTGTTCTCTTGCAATTCCGCCAAGCCTCTTCGCCACTGTAGTAGCGCTGACCTTTCCAACTCGTCCAACTCTTGCGGTGTAGTCTGCGCATCCCATTTTGGTCGCCTCGGTACCGTCAACCTATTCCTGTTCTCCTTGTGTCTCCGAGTGACATTGCGCTCCTCAGCCGCCGAGAGGAGATATGGGTTCTTCTGGTCCTTGTGAATGATCTTGACGTTGTTCATCTTCTCGGCGGTAAAGTCGGTACCAGCCAGTTCGGCGGTCGAGAGGAAGTCGTCAAGAGCGCCTTGTTCGGTGACTGAGCGCATCTTTACCCATGCCGCCTCCTTCTTCTCGTTGGTGATGTACTGTAGGATATTAGCATGATCCAAACTAAAAATTATGAGTCTTCTAAACAACTGCGCTACTCTGCGCAGGCTTACGACAAGACTCGAATACAATAATTTCATACCTTTTCGCCATTTTGGCCTGTTCGCTCGATTCCCTGGTTAAAGTTGCCCCTCCGCATGTCCGCGCCCTTGCCCTTGCTGAACCGATCGTTCATCAGGCTGTTGCCCAGCCCGACGCTCTTCTTGGACTTTGCGAGCACCATGATTGCTGCTAATTCCAAGTATTCTGTAGTTGTGGTGTGTGATCCCAAAAGAGGGGTGTGAGTCGAAAGAGAAAGTTGAGAACCAAAGTTGCCCCACGTCATTCACTGGTTCCACTCGCCTAAATTATTTTTTGAGCGCCCGACGCCAAAAGACCCTTCGTTTGTAAGCGCGATTCCCCAGACTTCCACAGCCAACACTTGCCACTTCAACACATATCCGAAAAAAGGCACACCACACCTGCAAGATGCCTCGCCGAAAGTTCATGTAAGCAGAGAAATTGTGCGTGCTGCGATACCCCGCTAACCCCGCGAATAGCGATAAGAAGACGGCGATAAACTTTCGCCTCGTGCACCGCGCACAGAATGACCCGCGAATCCACGATGAAGACGCTCCGCAGATGGTCTTTGCCGAGACCGTTGCGCCAAATCAACGCGAAGTATCAGAGCCTGCAGGAAGTTCGCGAGCGTCGCAATACTCGGCGGCGACGGGACGAAGCAAGATCAAGTCAAGACGTGATCTAGAGAGCGAGTACGGATCGAAAGTGCGGAACAATGAGGGTGAAGCCGCCAACTATGGCATCTTCTACGACGACACCGAGTATGACTACATGCAGCACATGCGCGACCTGGGCAGTGGTGGTGGTGATGCATACTTTGTCGAGGCCAAGCAAGAAAAGAAGGGAAAGCAAAAGATGGACTTGGCCGACATGCTGCGAGACGCTTCGCTCAATGATAGCAAGAGCCAGGCCGATATGAGCGTGAGCAGCAACATCAGCAGTGTGAGCGACTTTTTCGGCGAGGACATGGCACCCTCAGAGTTTGTGCGGAAAACAACATACCAGGACCAGCAAAACATTCCAGACGCCCTTTCAGGCTTCCAGCCCGACATGGACCCGAGGTTACGAGAAGTGCTCGAGGCTCTCGAAGATGAGGCCTATGTTGATGACGAGGAGGATATTTTCAACGAACTAGCACAAGACGGTTATGAAATCGACCAAAGAGAATGGGATGCCAGCGCCGACTTTGATGACGACGAGCGAGACCCAATGGATCGCTTCCTGGACGAAGAAGATCCCGGTTGGGAGACCGACGACACAATCAAAGCATCGTCTCCCAAAGTCAAAGCCACGAAGGCGTCTGAAGACTCTACGGACCCTTCATCCCTCCCCGCACCAGATGCAGCGCCTGCCCCAGCTGACGCAGAAGACATGGCGTACCTAAAGGAATTCAAAAAGTTCAAGGAAGACGTCAAAGCCGCCAAACCCAACAAACCCACCGACGCACCCGCAGACACGCAATCCTTCATCACCGGCGCCTCCGCACTCACCTCAGGCGGCCGCAAGAAGAAGCGCAAAGGCGCAATGACTTCCACATCCGGCTACTCCATGTCGTCCTCCGCCCTCCACCGTACAGAAGGTCTCACCCTCCTCGACCAGCGCTTCGACAAAATCGAAGAAGAATACGCAAACGACGACATCTTTGACTTCCCCGACGACGCGTCCATGGTTTCGGGAATGAGCAAAATGAGCGGTATGACGGGAATGAGCCAGTGGTCTAGTAGTCAGGCTCCGCCTTTGCTCCGCTCGGATTTCGACTCCATCATGGATGATTTCCTGGGTAATCACCACACGCAGGGTAAGCGAAGGGTTAAGAAGGGAAAGCAGCAGACGGGACTGGAGCAGTTGGATGAGGTGAGGAAGGGTCTTGGGGCGCCGATTGTTAAGCCAAAGGATCATTTTAGCGTGCTAAAGGCTTGATTGAGGGCTGTCCTGCTTTTTTTGTTGCTTGCATGGAATGGGCGTTTTTTTTTCTTGGGAGGATTTATGAATAGGTATGGGAACTGGTCTTCCCACTTGATGTATACATGTATACCTACATGTCGGTGTATGGAATTTACGACGTTGATGGGTATTATGAAAATTATTCTTTTGGTTCGCGTAGTCTCCTAGTCACAAAAGTCATCAATCTTTGTGATTGTGTCGTAGTATTATCTGATTCATTCGTTCATTCATCAACATCGTGATACATGACCCTATCCTCCAATGTACGTCAAACCCTTCTATACCCACAACCCTACTTCCCTACCACAAAATCTAAGCCTTGGGCTCAACATTAATCCCAGTAACCCCTTTCTCCAGCGCCTTCTTACTAACCAGTCTAAACCCACCAAACAGCATGAGCGCCGCCAACGAACCCAACACAACAGCCAACGTAACAAACGCGCCAATGACACCCCCAATCTCCGGAGAAAGCGCACTGCTACCACCCTCCTTCTTGGCCTGACCCTCACTCTTTGCCACAAACGCAGCGCACGATCCCGCCGTGTTGCCGCACTTGCCGCACCACTGCTCAGTGGAGGTAATAGCGAACTCGCCCAGCTTATCCTTGAACTCAGCCCACGAAAGCGCATCTGCCTTGCCGCCGAAAAGCGGGTAGACGGATGGTTCACTCGCATTGCTGGCCGTGCCGTTGTGGAACAGGAAGCGCACCTGGAGGTCATTTTCCGCAGGGAATCCAGAACCGACATCGGCAGTAGTGAAGAGCTCGAACGCCATGGAGCTAGCATAGTCGACTACGCCGGTGAAGTCCTGGTTCACACTGGGTAGGTCCGCGAGACCGAAGAAGGACAGGAACGTGGCGTAGGCTCCGAATTGGATGCCGAGTTTGCTGGAGCCCGAGGTGCGGATTACGTTGGTCATGTAGGAGAGGATTTCACCCGCGAGTTGCATGCCTGCGACGGCGCGCATGTTGTCACTGGCGTTGTAGGCGAGGCCCCATTCGTGGGCGTTGGCGAGGGTAGTGAGTTGGTGGAGGGTGGAGTTTGTAAGGGCGTCTGAGTTTGGGATGGTGGAGTTGTGGATTTCGGCTACGTGGAGGATGTCGTAGACTTTTTTGGTGTGGTTAGAGAGAATAGAAAGGTAAGGGGTAAGGGGAGATGACATACCGATGTAGGCGTTCTTGTAAGTTACTTGATCGTCGCTGATGACACCGTTGATAGAAGGAACAAGGGACTTGTAAAAGCCAGAGGTGCTCGAAGCAAGGTCTTTGTATTCTTGGCTTTCAAAGTACGAGTTTGAGCTTGCTTTTGCGTTTTGGCAGCTGGAAGCATCTTGGAGCCAGCCAGAGTCCTCTGAGCCAGCACCGGTTTCAATGGTGTTGACAGGAATCAGCTGGTATCCGTCCATGGGCGCCTGGACATTCTGGCCGTTGGCAAGAGTCGAGACAGTCTGGACAGGGGGGTACAGGCCCTGCAGGAACCCCATAGCAGAGTTTTGGAGAACATTGTCGACGGGTGCTTGAACCTGCAGCTGTGACAACTTGACTTCGTCCTCGTTGATGCCGCGAATCTTGGAGTCACCGGACAGGTAACGTGAGCGGTAGTACTGTCCAGAAGTGTAAACTTGCTCGTATCCAAGCGTGGTTAGGTTGGTGGGAGTAAGAGCCTTTGGTGTGCGGTCGCCATGGCGGTGGAAGACATAAGCACCAAGGACGGTCTCAGCAGCCTCGGCACCAGCAAGCATGGAGAGGGCGGAGAGAGCAGCGACGGACTTCATGGCGGGCAATTAGAGAATTTTCAACAACTGAAGCTGTACGTGAAAACAGGCAAAGCAATTGAACCCAGAGCAGAGCGACAAGGCTTGTGAGCAAAGGTGGGATGTGGAAACAATCACAGCGGATATAGCAGGGCCTTATACTCTATCATGAACTTGTCAAACGCGCCCCGCTAAGTAAACATGAGGTAAGCTCCGGAGAGATTGGATATCACGATCCATGAACCCGTCCAATCTGAACAATGACGGCCCATATGTAGCGGGGCACTTGCCCAACGTGCAGGCACTGCGTGGAATGGTGGGAAGTCGGGGAGGGGCATGCAAGTGGGGTACGGACTGAAGCGTGACAAGCTTTTCCGCGCGAATAATGTTTGGCTGGCATGTGGCAGCAAGGACACGAGTGGACGGCTCAGATAGGAACTCATCAGGTGGGCCGACTGGTAAGTAGTGGTAAGGATGACGAAGCACATAGTCTACTCGTCGCTCCCATACAGTATTTCGCAAACCCCACCTATCGGCACATCAAGAACGGCGTCTGTGCCGAAGCTCCACAGGCTCTTCCAATCCACATCACTGGATGCATCGAATTGGTACGCAGACAAGGAGCCTCTACGGCTTGGAGGCGCACTTGCTCGGCTGCCATTTTCCTTGTCCTTGTCCTCGAGCTTTTCTGTCAGTAGCCTGGGATCGCGTACAATCTGGCCCGTCTTCTTGTCCACGGCCGCAATCTGAGCGCTGTCATCTACCAAATTCTCGCAGCTGCTCAGCGGCAGCGTGAGGTAGCGCGTGTTATAGCTCGCAAGCGCAACGTAAATGTAGATGACCAGCACGACCAGCCAACAGGGCACAGCAAGCGCCCACCACCGGTTGGGATAGTAGTGTATGCCCATCTGGTGTAGCATTGGTGCTGGCACGTAAGCCCAGAGGATGTACATGAGGAACGCTGCCGAGCTGCCCAGATACAGCGCAAAGCCATAGTACTCGTACGTTGGGACCTTTGGTGAGGCGCGCGGGACTGTTGGCGCATGCCGTGCTGAGTTGGCAAGGTTGGTTGTGTTTGATGTGGGTGTGCTCGTCCCATTGCTATGCGACCCAGCCCTGGAGGTATCTACGTCGGACGAGTCTGGTGTCGTAGGTCTCGACGTCGGTCGGCTGAATGCAGGGCGAAGGAGCGAGGTGAGCGATGGCGATGGCGGTAGGGGGTTCGGCGGTCGATTGTAAAAGGGCGGAAAGAGGGCGGTCCCTGTGTGAACATGTTGCTGGAGATGTGTGTACGACTTGGATGTGTAGAGACCCCGAGATACAGGCGCATGCTCCTCTTCCTCACCCGAAGACTCACTGCCTATGTCTTCTACTGCGAACGCGCCCTCATCATCATCGTCATCGTCATTGTAGTCGTCCTGGTAGTCTTCTACAGAGGCTGTCTCAGAGACGGCACTGTTGGAAACCGGCGACAGCGGGTCTACATGGGGAGCGGACCGGAGAGGAGATGTAATGTTTTCGTCTTGCTGGCTCTCTCCATTGTACATGCGCAAGGTTGGTAAGTTGGGCGTCGACTTGGAGTAGAAGCCCGAAGGCATCGAGTTCCCCCTACTCTGAGGTGACATGTCGTTGGTCGTCTGGCGCAACGGGAGCCGCATGTCCTTTGCGTGCTTGAGCCTCACAATCACGCGTTCGGCGCTAGAATCGGAACCATTCCGAATCATACTTACGACTAGTTGGCCATCCATATGCCATCACCCTTCACGTCATTATACAACACTCAACACTCATAGGCTTTTATTTCTAAACATTACGAGATCACATCTATAGCTTGCTAGCCTCTCCGCTCGTCCTGTTCAGATACAGAGGATCTTGGGGCTCATAGCCATACTTCCTGCAAAGCTCCTCACCCTTTTTCTTCTGCGCCTCGATCCTTTGCTTGTGTGCTGGTCCTCTCTTGTTCTCGTTCCTGCCAAGCTGGAGGAGATGCACCTCATCTGGTCCATCGACAATGCGCATCGTCCTGCCTGACGCCCACATCTGTGCCAATGGCGTATCTTGGCTAACACCAGCACCACCGTAGGCTTGCATCGCCCAGTCAATCACCTTGAGGTTGACCTCTGGTACAAGAACCTTGACCTCGGCAATTTCCTTGAGCGCACCCTTGGCGTTGGTCTCGTCAATCTGGATAGCAGCATTGCACACAGCAAGACGGGCAGCGTCAATCTCAATACGCGATCGAGCAACACGCTCCAGCATGATGCCATGCTTGTTGAGTAGCTGGCCGAAAGGCTTCTTGCGCTCGTCGTTGATGCGAGCCAGGAACCACTCCAATGCCTTCTCGGCAGAGCCAATGCTCCTCATGGCGTGGTGGATACGTCCGGGGCCAAGACGGCCTTGGATAATCTCGAAGCCGCGGCCCTCGCCGAGCACCATGTTGCTGGCAGGCACGCGGACATTCTCAAATGTAACGTGTCCGTGACCGTGGGGCGCATCGTCGAATCCCATGACTGAAAGCATACGGTGGATGGTGACACCAGGCGTGTCATTGGGGACGAGAATGACCGACTGTTGCTTGTACTTGTCGGGGTTGTTGGGGTCCGTCTTTCCAAGAACGACGAAGATCTTGCAGCGAGGGTCACCGATGCCCGATGACCACCATTTCTAAAATCATGTTAGTCATATGGAGCGGAATAATGAAGAAAAGAAGACGAACCTGGCCGTTCAGGACGTAGTGATCGCCGTCGCGCTTGATGCTCATCTCAATGTTGGTGGCATCACTCGAGGCGATCTGAGGCTCGGTCATCAAGAAGGCAGAGCGAATCTTGCCCTGCAGCAGCGGGTCGAGCCACTGTCTCTTCTGTGCCTCACTGCCGTACTTGGCAATGACCTCCATGTTGCCAGTGTCGGGGGCGGAGCAGTTGACCGCCTCGGAAGCTGTTCGGCTCTTGCCCAGGTACTCGGCCATGAGCCCGTACTCGAGATTGCTGAAGCCAGCGCCCTCCTTGAAGTGCGCCTTGGGCAGGAACATGTTCCATAGTCCAAGCTCCTGTGCCCGCTTCTTCAGGTCCTCCATGATGGATGGGTGTGCCGAGAAGCGCTCTTGTACGCTCTGGCCGAGCTGGCGTGCGTATACGGCATCGGCAGGAATACATTCTTCTTCGACAAACCTCTCTACCTACAGCTCCAGTTAGTACGAGCTTTGTGGTCCTTGATTCCTCAAGCTCCTTACAATGTCGAGAGTCTTTGCGGCTCTTTCGCTGACAAACGGCCGAGCAATGGCGGGAATGCGTTTTGAAGCTGGAATGTGGCCATTCTGGCTGTTACTCAGCAAATCATAGGCTCGGTCGTATGGCACAGACATGTTTGCGTATGTGTGAAAGGGGAGATGGATTCTGGAACAACAAGACGAGGGGAATCCGGGGTACTTTAACAAATCGTGTGGAGGCGGCGCATTGGCGGCTATGAAGGGTGCAGTTGCGCTACTCCACGTCAAAAGTTGCCGAGGTATATTGCAGATCGACTCCGCTTTGATCTAGCTCTGCTCAATATCTCACACCATGAGCAGGCAATGGCTTGCCGATGAAACTGGATACGGGGTTGGCAAGGGACCAAGGCTGCTGCTAGAGTCCTGTTGGCATTGTACATATGTAGTTCCTGTGTCAATAAATAGTTGCTGGGGTAGTGGGTAGTTATTAGTTAAATTCCTTGCTGACGTAACGCGTGATAGCCACGCGTTCGGTGACTGCCCATGGCTCTAGTGAGCAGATGAGTTGACTAGCAACAATCAAACCCGACTATTACAAACACACAGCAGACACAATCCCAGAACGCTTTACGGAACTCCCCCGTGAGCTAATCGACATGGTACTAACAGAGCTCGCCCCTTACACAACGACGACCCTGTCTACCAGTGGACTCGTCTCCGCCTGCTCTCTCGTCACCTCAAGGCTTCAGTTGAGCAGCATTTCCGAGACTTTTGGTTACCTAGGCTGTCCTTTTCCATACCCATGCAAAGTATTTATGCCGATGCTTTTGTCATCTTTGAAGCCCTCGAAGGAAAGAGGACCCAATTCGAAAAGAGGGATGGAGACGCAAGTCGCGAATATATAGTATTCGAGGCAAATAGTGACCCAGAATATTTGGAAATGTCTCTTGAAGACGACCTGGATAGATGGTTACATAAAGTCACCCGTCCAGAGCTCTGGCCACCATGGGAAAATAGTAAATACGCGAAATCCATCATTGTTCGACTTGGCGAAGGCACACTGAACCAAGGCTTCACAAAAGGCGGTATCATCAGCGACACTGCCGTCTTAGGTATTAGAATCAATGCCAAGATGGACAGGTGGCAAATATCATTCGACTAAAAGTCCATATTCACCCGGCTTCTCACCGAAGAAGCGTTACTGCAGAGCTTTCGCGACCAGCTACTTGCAGACTTTCTACCGAAGATTGAGAAAGTAAAGAAATGGGAAAAGAGACAGGCAGCTATATACGGCTTTCTGCGCCTTCGCTACCAATTCCAGCGCAAATCCATGCTAGCCACATATCGCGACTACGTCGCCGGGTACAACTCATCTGACCTCTCTCGACTCTTCGGTCTTTGCGTGGAAAATTTTGACATGACATTGTACGTCAAGGAACCCAGAGCGCGACACCCTGGAGTCTTGAATCAGCATTTCGATACTGATGTTTTCACCCTTTGCGGCGAACAAAGCCTCGTCTTTCATATTCCCGGCTGGCAAACTTGGACTATCTACCACCTCGCGCGCATGCGTATCCTCGATGAAATGGTCGAGGACGAGGTGTTTCCCGTTGAGGACTTATCGGGCGTGGATGGGTGTGACTACATCGATATGCTCGTGGACCAGATGGTAGTGCTGGATAGGAAGGAATATAGTGACGAGGCACTTGAGAGGTACATGAGGGGTCCGGTCTTGGACATCAAGGGTTTCTGGGCATTCACAGAATTGTTATACTGATAATTTTGTTCATTTAGTCTCTTGTACATATATCTGTGGCCTTTTGTCGTGTGAAGATGAACACACCTAGTGTTATACAAGTGCCTGATTTCAGCACCAATAAAGCTTGTAATCTCAACGCCATGAGCTCATGGAATGACTGTACTACTAACCGTAACAATAAAAATCATCTTCGACGATAAACAACCAACATAATATCATCTAATGTATGCATCTTTTATAGTACCTTGAATACATCAAAAATAGCACTATCTCCCCTCTTCTCTATTCTCCATTCTTCCAGTTTACCCATCTCATAGCTTCAAATAAAAAAAGAAACAAATGCCTACAAGAAACTACGTTTTTCATCAAGCGAACCTTCCAAAAAGAAAACATTTCTTCCTCAACTCCAAGATACGCCTCCAAACCCAGCAACTACCCGTCCCATCTGAATTTTAAAAAAAAACCAAAATTAATTCATGACTTCATTAATCAACCTAAACAAAAACAAAACAAACTCCTTAGTTACACATAAAATCATCCAAGAACCGCAAAAAGAAGAAAAAACCCGCACATCCATCTTCCATCCCTAAAACCCCAACTCGGCATAACCAAAACCTCCCACCATCAACCCTCTCTCCATCTCTAGAAGAAAAAAGATAGAGAGAAAGGAAAACTCCCTTCTCTCTCTCTCTCTCTCAAATCCTGCCCCCCTCAACCATGTCCCTAACCTCCTCCCTCGAAAACCACCTCGGTCCCCCCTCCCCGTCCTCACACTCCCTCCACGCCCCACACACCTTATACTGACAACTATAAAACGCCTTCCTACGCCCCCTACCATCCACCGCATTCATCGCCACCAACCGCATCGCACGCGGTGGATTGCACCAACAGGGTTCACTGGGCGTGAGACCCCGGGTGTCGGCGAAGCCGTTCCAGGAGCGGCAGGAGAGGTTGGTGCAGAGGCGGTAAGGGCGGCCGTTGTTGATGTTGGTGGATTTCGTGGTGAGAAAGTCGTTTCGGGAGGAGCATTTAGGGCAGTTGAGGCCGGGGTTGAAGGGCGGTGGGTTGGGGGGAAGCGGGAAGGTGGTGGTTGTTGGAGCGGTTGTTTGGCGGGAGGGGAGGGTTGTGGTGGTTGGGGAGGAGGGGGAGGAAGAGAGAGAGGGGGAATATGGGGAAATGGGGGTGCTTGGGACGGTGGATTTGGGGCGGAGTGGGAGTGGTTTCTTGGTTCTGGATGTTGGAGAAGAAGAAGAAGAAGAAGAAGAAGATATGGTGGTTTTCTCCTGGGCTTGCACGCTTCCCTTGTTGGCGGCAAAAACAAAAGGTTGCGTAGTGGTCTCTTCTTTCTTCTCGTACAAACGTGCTGGTAGGGGTGTCTCCAATAGACTCTTCGGCTCTTGTCCGTTGGTCGGCTTAGTATATGAGCCTAGCTGCACATCGTCTGTCGAGTATCTTCCTCCCTTGTCAAGGCGCTTACGCATTGGCTTGATGGGCCGAGCTGCCATGTCCTTCTTTTCATCTTGTTCCTTGGTGTTTGAGGAAGAAGGGCTGATATCATCGGGATCTAGGGCAGAGGAGACAACGGTTTGCACCTTGGATGAGGAGTTTACCGAGTAACCTGGTGGAGGCGTAATTCCCTCCTTGGCTTTCGAAGTTGTCTCGACAACAGGTTCTTTGGTTGGTATTATAGGATCAAGAGCTGGCTGTCCATGCGGCACTGCGATAATTGTTAGTCAAACGAAGACTAGTAAAAGCGAAAAAGGACGGGATATACGAAAAACCTTACCATATGGGTACCTAACAACAGAGTCTGGATATTTCCTCCGGCGTCCGGAGCAGCAACAACAGAGCAGACCAAAGAAACCCATTTTGCAACTACTCCGTTTCGATCTAGTTACCCAAGTAAATCGTAGTTACAATAGTATGAACTTGCCTACTTTCATCCAACCCATAAATCCCGGAAACCCAACACTAGTTAAATACCCAACATAACCCTCCCCAAACCTAGGCACCACCCTCCTTAAAACCAAGGCAAACAAGCCAAGCTACCGAAACTAATCCGCCTGCACTCAGCCTTGCCTACCCCACGCGCTACACAGCCCCAGAAAACGATCAAGCAAGGAGAGGAAGAGTCGGAAGCAATACTCCGCAAAAACCCACCAGCTATCCAGTAAGAAAGGCGTCGAGAGGGAAAAGAAGGCTTGAACAGCTAAACTGCATACCTACCGGTCGACTCGCGGACGGGCATAGCCGCCCGTCTTCCTCTTTCACAAGGGTAAGCGAGGCAACATGGCTTGGCAATAAACAGCCCGTTTCCTCTTCCCCCAGACTTTTGTGGGATGCGGTTTCGGATATGGTGGTAGCCTATCAATGCATTGTTTTTTTGTGGCTGGGTGATGTGGCTATGATACGGATTGTTGCGGGATTCGAGACGGTGGTGGGCTTTTTGGTGTCTGGGGTTGAAGTCGGCGAGGAAAGGTGATTGCTCTTGCATGGCTTCGGTGATATGTCGGGGAGATGTTGGGGGCGGAAAGGGGGGGGGGATCGTACAGATTGATGGAGGTGTATAATCTGGGTTAGTTGAGACGTGGTTGTACGGGTTTTGGTTATATGGAGTTTCTGGCTTAATTTGCAAGCTGCACTCGTAAGCAATTGTCAAAATTCTTTGTTCAATCGTGAAGTCTGCTCAGCATTGTGAGAAGATGAAGATCTTAGGCATTCAGGTCACATCAATTTCTGGTTTATTAGTCAAGATTGATAGGGGCTGGTCTTTGACAGATAGGCTACAGCCATTCCTTTGAGAATACCCACTGTGACTGAGGCAATGCATTCTTACATGATACAAGCGCCAAAGCCTCGCCATGGCAGGTAGAAATGATCCTCATGTAGGCAGCCACGTATGATCGTGTTGGCGAGAAGAATGGTATTGAATTAAGAAGTGGATTCAAGATACGGAAGGGAAGCGCTTAGGAGGTCGTCAAGTAGGTCGTCCAGATAGAAAGATACGATAACTATGGCTTTACCCCACCCTTGTGACAAAATAGAATTAAAATCGGTACGAGAGCAGAGAAAAGTACGCCATCCAGGCTGGAGTCGACGGTTTCTATGTTTATGATGCCTAAGGCGTTTTTTGTTGCCGCCTGTTGATGTAGGGAAACAGACCATGTTGGAATCGGACAGTATAGCATATACGATGGACTAGTCAGGAATAGGTCGAAATAGCATTTGGAAGGCTGAACACTGCTTCGAAAAACTTAATTAATCGAAATGTCGATCGACCGGTATATCTTTGCAAAACTTCTGAAAGCCAATTCGTGTAATAGCGCATCCACTTGAAACAATATACCAAGTGAAAAGATGTGTGAGAATTCAGTAAAAAATACATATTATGTCTGATTGGATTTGTTAACATGCAAGATTGACTTGAATGTTGCACCTGGCATATAAAACTTAACTACTACTAATACAATACGTTCAGAAGCAGTTGATGGCAGTTAACTCAATCACCACAACGCATGAGTCATCACGTGTCCAGTTAAGAACTTGAATATATGAGAAACATCAGAAGATACTTGATTACAGCCCAATTATATTCATGTGCCGCACGTCATGGCGTTGTTGAGCGCCTTGGACTAGCACCAACCACCCTTTGTCGGTAATGTGACCAGAGGACCCCTCTGTATCATTCGTGCTGCAAACATTGAGCTACAGAGAAACCAACGGTAGCGCCGTCATATTCTCACACCCTGTGAGCTAGCCCGAGTTGCGGAAGTGGTGCTGGTTGGAGAGCCAAGATTTCGGTATAAGTTTAGGACCAGTTTAGCCGTGTAACTGTTCTGATTCTAGCGCGCAGACTAAGATCCCGTAGACACCACATGGAGCACAGGGGCTCGGGAAATGAAACTGTTGAGACTAGGCTGTGGTTGTTCTTGAGAATGGAACGAATTGAAGATGGTATGTTTTACAACTAGTGACGAGATATGCAATGCAGGTAAAGAGTAGTGTGGCAATGTGAGCTACCGTGCGGCTGCAGCTCGGGGATACGTAGATGCTAAAAGTCGGCACTTGTTTATTGAGCAATAATCGCAGTAACATATCTTGCGCTTGAAGTTGCTTCGAACATGGACATTGGCACGGCGTGACAAACGGTCGAGATGCAACAATGGCCTTTGGTCGTGTCATGAGCGATTCAAACATGGTGACTACAGATGCGAGTTGTGGACAATGCAGCCGATGTCGGTAGCCACACAGAGGCAGCGGCACAGTGCTGGGTGCACTTGGTCTGCTTGGACTAAACTCCGTGTGCGGAATTGCCGTGCGCTTGACTGCATGATGGGCCTGTTGACATTGCTCGTCAAGACAAGTCGTTTGTGTAACGTGGATGGGCACTCCATAAGGCTGAAGTGCATCTGTACATGTTACTCAAAGGTTGACGGGGGCACACACGGGGCCTCTCGCGGTGAGATTGCATTCAGGTTTAGTCGACGAATCAAGCACTGAGCATGGCTGAGCAGGCTTCGAGGCAATTTGCTCGTATATGACGGCCCGACGCCAGATCTGAGACAGAGCGGGAAGAGTTGGTGGTACGGAGTTGTTGTGCACCAGTGCGGCGGTTTGATTGACGGGGCGATTGCTCAACAACAATACTTCTTTTCTGCTATCGGCGATGGGGCGTAGTGGTCATGAGTAACATTACTCGCAAAAATGAAATACAAGGCTCGAGAGATTCTAATGTAAGAATGGTAGAGGCAGTGGGGCTCGGTATTTCTTCTGCAGGTAGTGAATCCGTGTCGAGCGGGCGGCAGCATCGTGGTGGTGCGGTGGTAGTCACATGATGGCAGCCAATAGGATGGATGTTGATTCCGAACGCGCTAAATGAGCATGCAGGTTGACGTACGAGGGGCGAATCGGGCCACGATAAATTGTGTAACTGGACTGGGCTGTTAGCTTACCCACACAACATGCGCCAAAAATGCAAGAAAAAACGCCCCCGTACTTGTCGCTTCAGCCGCACGCTTTTCGGAGCGTCGTGGTGCGGCCACGAGGATGGTCGGATTGTGGGATGAGTGTGAGTGGACGGCAGAGGAGCAGGTGTTGAGCAAGAGGCATTTACTGCCAAGTAGACGTGTTTGCAAGGGCCATTAACACGTGCCTTGCAGCAGCAGCAGCATGGGGCGGGAGAGGCAAGGAAGGGGAGCACAAGCGTCATGAGGAGTAGGTATGCAACAAGGGCAGAAGCTGCAAGTTTTGCCCGTTTAGGCACACAGGGTACACAGCGAGAGATTGGACGTGTAACCCGCACCGAGCAGTCGTTCACACATCAGCCAGTGGGCCGTGGCCATGGGCGGATAGTGGTGTCTACGTATGAGCAGGAGCAGGAGCAGGAGCAAGAGCAGCAGCAGGAACAGGAATGGGAGAGGCGGTGCAGGCAGCCGGTCAAGGGTGGCAGTTTGCACAGAGGGCGGAGCAGGGCTTGGCCGTAGCCCGAGAGGGCATGGTGTGAGGATTCAAATGCGCAGAGCGGCAATGGGAAGCATGGGAGAATTGGGAGGAGCAGAGCAGACAGTGGCAGCCGTAGTATGCAGCGCCTGGCGACGCCAGGGCTCTGGGAGGCCCGGGCATTCGGCTGTAGACGAGGGGCGCTAGGATCAGGGTGCAAGAGAACATCAGCTGGCCATGGAGTGGAGCTGCACCACGAGGGCGGCGCCGGGGCGTCTGAGAGCCATGACGAGGCAGGAGAACAGGCGACGGCGGCCGACATGGATGGCTGCGAAGCGATTGGCGATGCAGCACGATGCGATGTGATGTCGTCGTCTTGTTGGTGCGCCCGCTGTTCTCTTGTGCTTGTTCTCATCCATCTGGACTCGGACGGGCGCCCAAGGCCAACCAAAGCCCCTGCACCCGCCGTGCTTGCTGTGGCTGTGACGGCCAGCAAACATTTTTTCCTTTCCTTTGTCCCCTTTTTTTCTTCTCGTCGGCTGTGGTTGGCGGGCACCGGAGCAGGCAGGGCCGTGGGTGCTGGTGCTGCATGAAATTGACAAGTCGGCAGCGTCAAAAAAGCCTTGGTCGTGTTGAGATAGGCTCGCTAAAGCAGCGGGGGCCCTGGATGGCATGGCATGGGCGGAGTGGGTGGCTGTAGGGATTTTCCCCTCGCCGGCTCGCAGCAACAGCAGCAGCAGCATTGGCATCAGCATGGTAGGGCATGGGTAGAGTACTTTTAGGCCGCGAGTACTTGGGCCTAACAGCACGAGGGTCCTGGCATCAAACGGTCGTGTCGACAGAGCGGCCACGCAACGCAGGCTCCTCTTTACCAACGGGCGGCGGCGGCGCCCTCTAGTCGATGTCATGGCATGGATCTGGACCGTTATGCCAGTGCCAGGCAACGTGTGCCTAGCTATAGCTGTCACTGTCGTTGTTATTGCTGTTGCTGTTGCTGTCGCTGTCGCTGCCACGGACACGGACACGGACACGGCCAAGTGGGCGCAGCTTATTGTTGCGGGCGGCATGGTGGCATGGCGGCGAAGGCAGGAAAATCTCATGCCTCACGTGCAGGCCGGCGTCGGCAGCTGCAGACGGTCATGTTGAGCCAGCGTCGTGTGCAGCACCATCGTCATCGTCACCACGGCCAATGTATGTACCATGGCGGGTGATGAGCAGCACCCGACGAGCGGCGCGTCAACGCCAGCACTGCCGCCGCCTCACGCCACGGTGCCCGCTGTTGCTATCGTCATATCTAAGTGGTGTGTGTGTCTATGTCTGCGGTGTGGTGTGGTGTGCTTGTTTGTGTGTGTGTAGGTGTCGACTGGAGGGTAGAAAAAAGAAGACGACTGGCGACGCTGCTGACGTCTGTTTCAAGAACGACCCAACACACTCATCACTCATGCTCCCTGTGTGTGCATGCCTGTCTGTCTGTCTGTCTGTCTGTCTGTCTGTCTGTCTGACTGTCTGCCTGTCTGCCTGTCTGCCTACCAACCTGCTACTCCTTTTGTGTGCCTGTCCCTCTCTCCGTTTCAGCTCCAACTTCAGCTCCAGCCTCTACTCTGCTTCTACTCTCCTTGTTCTCTCTGCACACTGTAGCCTCCTCTAGTAGTGTGCTGCTCCCTACCCCTTCATCCATCCCTCATCCACATCCACATCCACGTCCACAGCCATCATCCACTTCTCTGCAACGTCCGCCTCTCCTGCAGGTCCATATTTCCTGCACCAGATTTGCCCGCTCCTGTATGGTTCCCTTGGACCTAGCCGCTCCCTTACTGGCCTGCGCGCTGACAAGTACGTGAATTGCAGTCACGTTGACACCCAAACTAGCACTAGGACTGCTGCCCCGCCCTTAATCCCCAGCACTGCCGTCACTCAACCCCATCGTCGCCTCTCCTCGCTCCTTCACAAGCTGCATATCTTCGCCCTCAATTCTCCTCTGCTGTCTCAGCTCAACCCAAAAAGTCCCTGACCTCGTTGCTTGCCCATTGCTGCTCCGGTCACCACCTGCGCCTGCCCTGGTCGCTAGCTCCGTCAGCCACACCAGCGTCACCTGCTACTGCACAGACGGCACGCGGGACCACGCCCTCTTGACACTCGACCTCGCGCCTACTCCCTGTTGCTACTGCTGCTCCTCAACCACCACCACCACCACCACCACCACCACCACCAACCACTAAACCTCTCCACCACCTGCCACCCACTGTCTGCCGCCATCTCTGCCCATATCCACTACGGCTCTCCTCCACCACGCTCGCAAACCCTGCCACACCCTGCTCACCTACAGCCCGCCCCACTCCCGATAGCAATCCGCGCAGCGCTTGCGGACCCCCTCCCCTACGCATAACTCCAAACAATGAGCCAGAACCGGCCATCGGCCTTTTCCTCGCTAAGAATGGGTGGTAAGTAGTCGACTCCCTTCCATCAGCCATGTCAATTGCTGCCATGCTCACTCTCTGCTGCAGAAGTTATCCGCGAAAAGGTCCAAGACGGCTTGACCGGAGACTACAAGGACCTCGCCTACACGCAATGCAAGATCGTCGGCAACGGCTCCTTTGGTGTCGTCTTTCAGACCAAGTTGTCACCCAGTGGTGAGGATGCCGCCATCAAACGAGTTCTCCAGGACAAGCGCTTCAAGGTGTGTGTTGCGCGTCGCCTTCCCCCCTTCCCCCCTCCCTCCCTCCCACATGCGCGCCCCTCCGGCTGACTCCCGGCTGACTCTCCCCAACAGAACCGTGAACTCCAAATCATGCGCATTGTCCGACATCCCAACATTGTCGAGCTCAAGGCCTTCTTCTACAACAATGGCGAGCGGGTACGTGTCTGCAGACAAGCGCGTTTGGGTCTGTCGTGTAGCTAACCGTTTCAGCCACAGAAGGACGAGGTGTACCTGAATCTCGTGCTCGAATTCGTTCCAGAGACCGTCTATCGAGCCTCCCGCTACTTCAACAAGATGAAGTCGGTCATGCCTATCCTCGAAGTCAAGCTCTACATTTACCAGCTCTTCCGCTCGCTTGCCTACATCCACTCGCAGGGTATTTGCCATCGGGACATCAAGCCCCAGAACCTGCTGCTAGACCCCTCGACTGGCGTGCTAAAGCTGTGCGATTTCGGAAGTGCAAAGATCCTGGTCGAAAACGAGCCCAATGTGTCGTACATTTGTTCCAGGTACTACCGTGCCCCTGAGTTGATTTTCGGAGCCACAAACTACACGACCAAGATTGGTATGTGCATTTGATCAAGACTGTGTCGAGTGTGTGTATGTGTGCTAATTTGGCGTGTAGATGTCTGGTCTACAGGTTGCGTCATGGCTGAGCTGATGCTTGGACAGCCGCTTTTCCCAGGCGAGTCGGGCATTGACCAGCTGGTAGAGATCATCAAGGTGCTGGGAACACCCACCCGCGATCAAATCCGCACCATGAACCCCAACTACATGGAGCACAAGTTCCCGCAAATCAAGCCCCACCCATTCAGCAAGGTATGTCTGGTCTCTTGGTCCCACCCGATTTGCTGTGCCACATTTACTCACACAAACTCCTCAGGTTTTCCGCAAGGCGGATCCTAGCGCCATCGATTTGATCTCCAAGCTGCTCGAGTACACTCCTACACAACGTCTCTCGGCCATCGATGCCATGGTCCATCCATTCTTTGACGAGCTGAGGGATCCCAACACACGCCTGCCAGACTCGCGTCATCCCAACGGGGCCACCCGCGATCTGCCAGAGTTGTACAATTTCACCCATCATGGTGAGCCTAGTCCCTTGACTCTCTTGTCTCACAGTACAATAGCTAACTAACCCGTTCAGAACTCTCCATTGCCCCTCATCTGAACAGTCAGCTCATACCGCCGCACCACCGCGCGACACTGGCTGCACGTGGCCTTGACTTCGAATCGCCCAGCTTCAAGCCATTAACCAAGGATCAGATGATGGCCAGGTTGGATTAAGCCATGCTTACCGTCATTCGAAACGATAATATTTCTTCATGCGGCGACTTTTGATCCTCTCCGCTCCTGAGCACAAAGCTATTCCGTCCGGAGAGATGCAAAAAGGAGTCTCAAATGGGCGTCGGTTTTATTAGGTGTATACTACGAGGAGCGCATCCTTTTCTGCTTTGTCTGCGCGCGCGTCTGAAATGATACCGACATTCACGTTTACAAAGAATGACCTGGCTTACTTTTCTTTCGGGGCTACTGGCCTTTTCGTTCACGCGAAATGATGGTGGGCCTGCACTGCAGATGATGTTCCTCAGTTGCCTTTGGACATGATGAATGGGCGCAAAAGGGTTGCACAGTCAAAGGAATGGGGGAGCTAGCAAAATTTGGGATGTACTGAGTATGGAAAGCTGACGAAGGGTCTCGCTCATCCAATTTCCGACGCTTCAGCATGGGTTTACGATGCGCCACCTGCCTTGCATGCGGGAGTTTTCCTCTTTCTTTGTTATTCAAGATCTATTCAATGGGCTGCACATGGGATGGTGAGGCTCATTTCGCAATTTGGACGGTTTTACCCTGACCTGTCGGAACGGCGATCCTGTGAGGAGAATGGCCTTTGCACTGAGAGCATACGGACTGGCAAATTTACGACTGGCATTGGAACACTACTAGACCGAAGGATTGCATGTCTGCAGTGGAGCAAATGCTTACATGGCAACGACTACCCCTGCTGTCTTACCTGCCTTTGCGCGTACTCCCTAAATGGATACAAGTCTTTTCATATTCTTGCCCTTTTGACCTTTTTTTTGTATGTGTTTTACATGTGAAGTTTTTATGATGTGAGCAAAAGAATAGACGGGATTTGCAAGTCAATTCATCATGTCTTATCTGGTAATTGCTTGCCTTTACTCCCAGACACGAATTCACCTTCAAACAACCACTGGGTAGTGTGGTGAGAGAAGCAATATATGCTACAATAGTTCACAATGGGTGCTTGCGTATTCTCTCACGGTCTACAAAAATGTAGTGAGCGTAAGATCTATCCTCCTGCTTCATCAGGTATACTCGACTCAGGCTGTGAACTTCTCTCTATTGAACAAACTTGACGTTTTTCGGGACACAACAATACAGTATCAAGCATAGCACCAGCTCAGAATGCATGAAACCCCAGGTGTTGATCCTCAAAAAAATCTAGTTGACACCAGTTGGCCAAGCAATGACATGTCCATGTCCGTTGACATTGAAGATGCATGCACGGAGCGCCAAGACAAGAGCACAAATGGCACTAGCCTGTTTGGATCACAAGCTCTCGCGGATGCTCCAGAGCGACTTCCGCGCAGCAACCTCGACAATCCGCTTTCGCGACCCATCCGCAAACATCGCAACCGAGTTGCCAAACGCCACGGCCGCCCTTCTGGCTTCCCCCACGGCGATTTCTACCGTCCCTACAGCCACATATACAAGGATTACGACAGCCCAAACAACGGCACACGCGCTACCTGTAATTCGAGGCCATCGCGACACTGGGAATTCTCACCAGATACATTGAAGCAAAGGGATCAATCAGATATTGTCGCAGCCATGGCGGATATCGATTTCAAGGAGGAGCGCGATGATAGGCGCGAGGACCGACGTGACGACAGACGCGATCGCGGTGGTTATCGAGGGAACAACAAGCGCCGCCGTGACGGTAAGTCTACTTCTTTATCTGCTAGCAAACTTGCGCAGTCAGTATGCATAAACGGGAGAGTCATAGGATATCTCATGACTGCGATGCGCATCAGGCTGTACCCTCCAATACACTTCTTCGTCATGCGCAATGCTTCATCTTCAAATGACGGTGCTGACATGGTCGCGTAGATGACAACGACAACTACTACCGCGGTGACGACCGCCGTGGGCCCCAGAGGCGCCGCCACGATGACGGCCCCCGTCGCCGATACGAAGAGCCCCCATTCCCCAAATTGAGGAGACTGCTTCTCAACATTGCCAGCTCCACCAAGCTACCGCAAGACGAAGCCATTGAAATCGCAAAGTACTTTGGAGAGCACTTTGACGACGAGCGTCTCCGCTCAGACTTCTTCGATGTCCTAGTCCAGCTGTAAGCACTGCCATGGCTGCATATCGAATTTCACTGACACATCCTAGTATTGTCGAACAGCCCTTTAAGATTCCATTTGTTGCAGCCGTTGCCTACTACGCAAACGATGTCAAGCCAGAAATCACAATCGAGGCCATGAAGCGCGTTTCGGACAGGGCACAAGCGGCTCTCAACGCTGGAGAGTGGAAAGAGTTTAAACTACTTCTAAGGTTCTTTGCCTGTCTGCAATCGCTGTATGAGGATGATGGCGTCTTCACCTTCCTTGGCCAGCTCTTCGACACGGTCGTGGACCTGCAGAGTGCCAACGAGAACGATGTAAGCGGTCTGCAAGACATACGCTGTTCCTTGCTAACAAAACCAGGTTGTCGGTATCGAACTCGTCAAGATCATCCTCCTTACCATCCCTTACGCACTCGTAGCTGGAGGAGAGCGCTTCCACGAGCAAGCAAGGCAACTGTTGAAGAACACGGGCATCGTGGCAAGCAACATGGTTCCCATCGAGAGCCTCATCCACTCGTACGTTGGCGATTTTGAGTCAAAGCCAGTCAGCTACAATAGCGTCATTGGCCTCCTCCAGGCGCAGCTTTCGGCTGAAGCGGATTCTGGATTCGAGCTCAGGTGTATTCCACGCGTTGACCCCGAGGCACTACGTATTATGAACGCCAAGGAAGAAGACGCTTTGCCTACAGCTCCTCAGACGCACACTTTCCCCACATTCATCATCCCATCTCCCGTCAACCCTGGCCCAAGGCCTGTCTTTCCCGAGGCCTACTTTTCCCTCTTCGCCGACCAGGAAGTCGATACCGTACCTAAGACTACTGACATTGCGTCGTCTCTTGTACGCGATGCTATTGTTGACACGATCAATCAACTTGACTTCAACCGGGAGATGGTCGCCAAGTTCCTCGTCGATGTGGACTGCTACTGGTCTGTCGACATTTTTGCCAAGCGTGGCTCGCCCTTTGATAAGTTCCGCGAGCTGGTCGGTGACAAAATTCAGTACAAGTCTGAAGATATGATCATCGACGCCATATTCTCACAACTGTTCAAGCTGCCTAGCGCCGAACACAAGCTCGTCTACTACCACTCGCTCATTACCCAGTGCTGCAAAGTTGCTCCCGCTGCCATTGCACCGTCACTTGGAAGGGCCATCCGTACGATTTACAAGAATCTGCCCATGATGGATCTTGAGTTGGGCTATAGGTTTCTCGACTGGTTCTCGCACCATCTCAGCAACTTTGAGTTCCGATGGAGGTGGACTGAATGGTATGTTCAAAAGTGTGTGTGATAGAGACGTGCTAACAACATCAGGCTTGAGGATCTCGAGCTTTCGAATCTGCACCCGAAAAAGGCATTCATTCTTGCGACCTTGGACAAGGAAATTAGACTGTCATTTGCAAAGCGCATCCGTTCGACTCTGCCAGAGCCTATGCACGCTTTGATTCCCGAGCGTCTGGATGCGGACAACAGTCCCGATTTCAAATACGATAGCCCAGGTATGTACACACCAGACGTGAATGCGAACATGGCTGACACTAGCTTTAGATACCCCATACGCTGTTGAGGGTCAGACCTTGCTCAACCAGCTGAGGAAGAAGGCTACAGCAGAAGAAGTGCAAGTCACAATTGATAGCATCCATGAGAAGGCTCTTGCGCAAGGTGTTGGAGAAGTTCTCGTGCCTTCAACTGATGCTTTTGTCACTGCCATCTGCCGTCTGGGTGCCAAGTCGCTGTCCCACGTTCTGTCTTGTATTGAGCGAGGCAAGGACCGCCTCCTGGAAATCTCTCAAAACGAGACTGCACGCCGTCAGATTGTAGCCAGTGTGGTGGAATACTGGAAAGACCAGCCTGGCGTCGCCGTCCGCATTATCGATATCCTGCTCAACTATACCATTCTTGCGCCAATGACGGTTGTGCAGTGGGTATTTGGTAGCCACATGGGCGCTGGAGAGGCCTTGACCGAGAGCTGGGTTTTCGAGATGGTGTCCAACACAGTCGCCAAGGTCACCAACCGCAACCGCCAGATCGCATCCGCCCGTCTTCAGAAGGGTCTTCCGCAGGAACAGATTGAGATGGTTGAAGCTACACTGGCCAAGGACAGAGACAACGCCCGGGAACTGTTCAAGTACATTGAGGACTCTACGCGCGGCGTCGCAGAGGGTTCTGCCGACACAATGCTTGAGAAGTCTTCCAGCGGTGCGTTGACTGAAGAGGAGGTTGAACTCATCAAGTCCTGGGGCAAGCGCTGGCACACTGTCTTCATCCGCAAGGCTCAGGTTGAAGAATCTGTCGTCGGAGAAGAGGCTGTCGAGGCAAGGATCAAGCTTCTTGCTTCTGAGCCTGACCCTGTTCCTGAGAGCATGGAGCAGGATGGTGAAGGTGTCGCGGATGCCACGAATGACGACGTGAAGATGTCGCTTCCCTAGCTGGATGAAGACCGCGGAGTACGATATTGGCGACTAGCAAAAGCATGCGGGTAGACATCAACATTTGGAACGGCGTATTGGTGTGTGTATGGGGAATCTGCATATATGCTCACCTCACGTGACGTCGCGTGATATGGAACATGCAGAAGCGGATTATAGTCTATCTGCATAGTTTGTATTATAGCCATATATTTGAATAAATTTGACAAAGTTAGTCTCGCATATATCCATGCATCCATGTTTGAGTATGATGTAGTAGTTGGCTGAGGTGTTATGGAATAACATCAAACTATCAGTATTCCAACTAGAGGGTTCTGCCGCAATGAGCATAGCATATTCCTTGTCGGTACTAGGCACGACAAACCTGTTAGATTCGTGCAAAAGACAACATTATCAATGGGCCTCTGATGCACAATGACTGCTAGCGCGTAGCATGTCGGTGGTGCATTTGAAGCTTGGACCGCAGCCTCGTCATGTGAAAGAGGTTGGAGAACCTTGCAAGGCCGTCGCGGCATGCGGCGGCACCAAAGAAATGCAGCCCACCGCCAACATTCGGGCCGGACAGCATGTCACCTTGTATCGCATGCCTTTTGTAGTCCTGTATAATATCTGAACGCGATAACTTCTTTCACCAACCGCACCTAAGCACACGGGCGTGCGATATCACGGCCGGCGCTGTTCCCTCGGCTGGTCCATCGCATTCCGCGTTACCCTGCTTGGGCCCAGCCTGCACCTCCCGACGCGATGCATATACCCCCCAGCTACGTCACTGCTGGCTCAGCGACACCGGCATCCGCGCACACATCGAGCATAATACTCCTTAATGGCTTATCATGGTTTTCAAAAGAGACGGGCGACGGCGACAGCGGCGGCGGAGGAGGTATTAGATACCCGGAGAACTGGAGCAGTCTTATCGGCATCGTGACGGCGATAGTAGGAAACGTGCTGATATCGTTTGCGCTCAACATGCAGCGGTACGCGCACATCCGGCTGGACCGCGAGTGGCAGGAGAAGGAGCGGCAGCGCAAGAGGAGGAATGCGTCCGGGCTGAGCTTGAACCGCTTGAATGAAGAGGTGACAAAGTTTGGCGGCAGAGGCAAGGATCAGCACGGAAACGGCATGGCTGACCAGACACATGCGCCCGATGCGAATTTCTTTGAGGCGACCGAGTCGGATCCCCTGGTTGCGAACTCGCACTCCCAGACGAGACCGGGTGTGGAGAGGGGTGACAGCGCAGGATCGGGGCCGGACGAGGAGGTCTACAAGCAGAAATCGTATCTCAAGTCGCCGTACTGGTGGTTCGGTATCATTCTCATGACGGTGGGAGAGGCAGGGAACTTTCTCGCATACGGATTTGCGCCTGCGTCTATTGTCTCCCCGCTCGGTGTCGTTGCGCTCATTTCCAACTGCATTATTGCGCCGTTTATGCTCAAGGAGCCGTTTCGTAAGCGGGATGCGCTTGGTGTTATTATCGCAGTTGGAGGCGCAGTAACGGTAGTTCTTTCAGCCAACGATAATAATCCGAAATTGGGGCCCGGCGAGATTTGGGATCTGATCAGGCGATGGGAGTTTGAGACTTATCTTGGTATCACTGTTGGTGTGATTATCGTGTTGATGGGTGCTAGTAACAAGTATGGGGACAAGAACATTCTGATTGATCTGGGGCTTGTAGGGCTGTTTGGTAAGTTTTGGGAGTTCAGTGTCCATGTCTACAATGCGGTGGCTGACTTTATCAAGGTGGATACACTGCGCTCTCAACCAAAGGTGTTGCGTCATTGCTTTCATATACGCTATGGCGGGCCATTACTTTTCCAGTCTTCTATCTACTGGTTGCTATTCTCGTTGGTACTGCAGTCATGCAGATCAAGTATGTCAATCGTGCACTGCAGCGCTTCGATGCCACCCAGGTCATTCCCGTCCAGTTTGTTCTCTTCACTTTGTCGGTTATTGGCGGGTCGGCAGTGCTCTACCGCGACTTTGAAAGGACTTCAGCGCAGGATGCAGGAAAGTTTATCGGTGGATGTGCCTTGACGTTCTTTGGCGTTTGGCTGATCACGAGCGGACGACCTCCGCAACACAGCGAGGAAGATGACGAGTCAGATCATGATGCGATGTATTTGTCAGGAGAACGTTATACCGATGATGTGGACGACACAGGCAACGATGTTGCTGCAAGTACTCGATCGACATCACGTCCACTTTCACCACCTATCAACATCCCTTCTCGCTACCGCGATGACGACTCGCGCCCATCAACACCAACCATAGTGGTTATACCCGAGCCAGTAACCCCACCAAATCCCGTTCGCTCAGTCTCTGCAGACATCATGTCTTCTCTAGTCGCAAACCCATGGACCCAACCCAACGAACCCGAAAATCGAACACCACCGCTTAACCGCCACACCTCAACCCCCGTCTTACCATCCGAAGCCGCACCCGCACCCTTAGCCTCCACCAGTGACCCCGTACTCGGACTCCCCTGGACTCCCACAAGAGGAAAATCCCAAACCGACGTCCCCACCACCCCCGGCTCCCAACTCCGTCGTCTGCGCACCGTCGACCGCCCCCAGGGAACCCGCAACAGCATCGCCGGTCCCCTCCTCGCCAGCCCGCTCAGCACCAGCCTAAGCACCATGGTCCAAGACCTCAAGCGCGGAGCCAGCGTCCGCTACCGCGACCCGGAAGATTCCATCCGCCGCCGCGGCAGTGTCCTCGGTATGGGTTCTTCCTCACGCGACGCCGCCGCCACCGTCGATGACGGTACTATGATGGGCGGTACCACCACGAGTGAACCGCTGAGTCGCCGGCAGACGCGCGATAGCCAGGCTGGGCCGTTGAATGGCGCGGCGACTACGCAGACGGGGAGGGGACGCAGTCTTAGTGGGACGCTGAGCGAGCTTTGGAGGGGGCTTGGGGGACGGGGGAGTAGGGAGGATATTAGAGGTGAGGTGGAGCGTCAGGGGAGGGATGAGAGGTAGTTGAGGCTTTTAAGGGGAGGGCTTTTAGGGGTGTTTTTAGAAGTATAGAATAGAGGAATGGGGTTGGAAGAATTGAATGCATTGCCGTTTTTCTTTTTGACCCTTTCTTTTTGGTTTGTTTTTTGAACGTTGGTCTTATGTCTTTAATGATGTGTAATCGCGGTATTTATACCAAATTCTTTTCTTTTTCTCCCTCCTACAGAATCCGTTTCTAGTGGTGGATGCAGATTTGAGAATCTCCATGTCGAATATACGAGAAAGTAATAGTCACCGTTGGATTTTCACCAAGTTTTCAACGAAAAGTCAAGATTTGCTGTTGCTTGGTATAAACTGATATGATTTAACTATCGTAATTGCCCAATTCATCTACAACATTATTCTCAAAAGAAAAAAAAGGGGGGGGGGAACCAACAAGTCGTAACTAAGACATATGCCAAAATGCCAAAAAAAGGTATATCAACAAAGAAAGATATGTAAAAAAAAAACTTCGAATCACCCCCTTACTAACTACTCTTGCTGTGGGGTATTCAAGGACCCATGATGTCAGGCTGATACTTGGTATTCGCGACAACAAGATTCTGGTACTCCTTTACATCCGCACCAGAGATGACCGTGCTGGGAGTTTTCCAGCCGAGTTCAGTGGGAAGACGCTCGTTTTCTGCTTCATCATTAGCCTTGTCGCCAAACGCAAAAGCATAGCAAAGGATGAAAGAACTTACCAAAGAAAAAGTCGACCTGATCCCTCTGCGCCGTCTTCTTGCTGCGATCCCCAAACACAATCATGTAGATGGCAGTCTCCAAGTGGCTGAAGCCGACGGCGGGCAGGGTGATGGAGAACTGCGGGTTAATCTTGAGCGAGTCGAGCATACGCGCGAGACGGGCGTTGGCGGCCATTTGGAGGGAGATGGTGGGGGCGGTGAAGAAGGAGCGGGTGCGCTGGTAGATGGTTGCGTTGAAGGAGGTTGAGTCGCCGTTGATGGCGTTGTCTTGGCGACTGTTTAAGGTACATTAGTTACTTCATCCCATTTCATCTCATACATACATATGGGATAGTGTAGAGGGAGGGAGGGAGGGAGGGAGGGAGGGAGGGAGGG